CATGGACTTTGAGAACGAGATGAAGAACTACCTCAAGTTCGTATCTGATGAAGCTCACAAGAGAGGTCTCCGACTGAGTTTCAACACTGAGGTCAGTCTTGAGCAGGAGTTGAGTAAGAGCACCAACACGGATGCCAAGATCGTGGTCATCAGCTACATCATCATGTTCCTGTACGCATCCCTGGCTCTGGGCTCTACCACGCTTACCGTACGATCCGTTCTTCGCAACCCAGCGAACGCGTTTGTGCAGTCCAAGTTCATGCTCGGTACTGTCGGCATCTTGATTGTGCTCATGTCTGTATCTGCATCTGTCGGACTCTTCTCAGCAGCTGGTATCAAAGTCACCCTGATCATTGCAGAGGTCATTCCGTTCCTCGTACTGGCTGTTGGTGTTGACAACATCTTCCTCATTGTGCACGAGTTTGAGCGCATCAACATCAGCCACCCCGAGGGTAGCATCCCAGAACGTGTATCACGAGCACTTGGACGCATGGGCCCTTCGATTCTACTCTCTGCGCTCACAGAGACCACCGCATTCGCTCTTGGGTGTGCCGTAGGGATGCCTGCCGTACGAAACTTCGCCGCGTACGCTGCAGGCGCCGTCTTCATCAACGCTATCCTTCAAGTCACCATGTTCATTGCTGTCCTCGCCCTGAACCAGCAACGTGTGGAAAACAACCGAGCCGACTGTTTCCCGTGTGTTCGTGTTGGTCGTGCTGATCCTGGCTACCTTAACGGTGGTATGGGATACGGCGCTGGCGAGGAAGGCGCACTCCAGCGATTCATCCGCAAGACGTATGCTCCAGCGATTTTGGGAAAGAAGACAAAGGTCGGCATCATTGCGCTATTCTTCGGAATCTTCACGGCCGGTCTTGCCCTCTTCCCAAGTGTGGAGCTAGGCCTTGATCAACGCATTGCCATCCCCAGCGATTCTTATCTTATTCCTTACTTTAATGATCTGTACGACTACCTCGACGTCGGCCCGCCAGTCTACTTTGTCACCAAGGAGCTGAACGTTACCGAGCGGAAGCCTCAAAAGGAGCTTTGTGGACGCTTCTCCACTTGCGATCGAGAGAGCTTAGCCAACATCATCGAAGCAGAGCGCAAGCGGCCTGAGGTCTCACATCTTGCAGCTTCGGCCGCTAACTGGCTCGATGACTTCTTCCTATGGCTTAACCCCGAGAACGAGAAGTGCTGCGTCGACGAAAAGGGCAAGCCGTGCTTCCAGGGCCGTCAACCACCTTGGAACATGACTCTGTCGGGCATGCCCGAAGGCGAGGAGTTCATCCACTATCTTCAACTCTGGATTGATGCACCGACTACTGAAGACTGCCCACTAGGTGGAAAGGCCGCTTACTCTGACGCTCTAGTCATCGACTCGAAGCACCTTACCATCCCCGCATCCCACTTCCGCACTTCACACACGCCTCTCCGCTCGCAGAGTGACTTTATCTCTGCCTACACCGCCGCACGTCGCATCTCGAAAGAGATCTCCAAGGACGTCGATACAGAAGTCTTCCCCTACTCCAAGTTCTACATCTTCTTCGACCAATACACAACCATCGTTCGTCTAGCCGGCGCCCTAATCGGGTCCGCCCTCGCCGCAGTCCTCGTCATCACCACCATCATGCTCGGCTCCCTTGCCACTGGTCTCGTCGTCACCCTCGTAGTCGGCATGACAGTCTCTGCCATCATCGGCTCCATGGCTGTCCTCGGCGTATCTCTCAACGCCGTCTCGCTCGTCAACCTCATCATCTGCGTCGGTATCAGCGTTGAGTTCACAGCGCACATTGCCCGTGCATTCACCTTCCCCAGCCGCGCTACCATGGAGAAGGCACCACGACACCGCTTCCGCGGTCGTGATGCCCGCGCTTGGACTGCTATGGTCAACGTGGCAAGTAGCGTCATCAGCGGCATCACCATCACCAAGATCTTGGGCGTGGGTGTTTTGGCTTTCACTAGGAGTAAGGTACGTTGTCGCCATCCCCGCTTTCCCTTCCGTTCCCCATTCTAATAACTCTCCAGATCTTCGAAATCTATTACTTCCGCGTCTGGGTCGCCCTTGTTCTTTGGGCGTCCACCCACGCACTGATTTTGCTCCCTGTACTACTATCGCTTGTAGGCGGTGGAGGCTACGTCGACCCAGAAAGTGATGGCGGTCTCGAACAAGACCTACGGCGCCGTCAGTACCCTGCTTTACTCGCCGAAGATGACGAGTATGACAGCGATGACTAGGACCATGGTCTCTTGGGAAAGCATTGGTGTAGCATGTTCTAAGGATATGGGGTTCAGACTTTTTTTGGCTTGGGATGCATGGAAGGCGTTTTTTCTGGTTTGGGTTTTTGAATGAGGGAGGTGGGGTATGAGTCGAGTGCCGCAATCAAGAGAGGGAGGGGGATGAAGCAGTGGATCCGTTTCCAGCTTTCGAATGAAGCTGTATGATATCGCTATTGGATTAATTTGATCATATTAAAGACAGCAAGACATTTATGTTGTCTAATGCGTTGTAATGTGCCTTGATGCTTGTATGGCCCCCAATGATGGTTCTGCGCATACAGTGAGCAATGGAATTGTCAAGGCTATAGCGAACTCACATGTCTAGAACGCGGTGGAAAGGCGACGTGGCTGTAGAGTGGGTCGCTTATATAACCGTCTGATGCGCCGAGGTCAGTCCCATCCGCATGTCACCGTCAATGTCACCAAGCCAACCCCATCTTGACATGCAGCCGCCATAGCTCTTCCGCATGATGCCCGCGCTTATACAAGACAATAGGCGTTTGCGACCCGGTCCCTGAACTCCGCCTACAAAAACTTCGCGTTTGCCACATTTCATCCACCAATGGCGACGCGACGTGTCCGCGGTAGATCGACGGCAGATACTCCTAAGCCTCTCCAACTTCGTAGCGCCGATGGATGATGCTTGTTGAGACACGACTACCGCGACTTTGGCGAAGGCGAACCAATGCATGACGCAGAAGTCTGTAAGGTGGACCGTCGGACATACTTGATGCGCGGAGGCGGCTGCCAAACATGGAGATGGTGCCGTCTGGGGCTCGGTGACGTCTCCGACCCCTCCATCCCACCTCCGACAACTTTTTCCCCAGACAACGTTTAAAGGTCCAGAACATCCGCATTTCAGCACTCACAAATTCTTTACTTTTTCTTCTTGATACCCCAAGTTCACCAATTGCAAACATGTCTCTCGGAAGGAAGGTTACTCTCAACACTGGCGCTGCCATTCCGTGAGTACTCAAACAAACACCCCGCAGACATACGTATCAATTGCTAATCTTTCCAGCCAACTTGGATTCGGCACATGGCAGGCTGAACCTGGTCAGGTCGGCGCCGCCGTCCTCGAGGCCCTCAAGGCTGGCTACCGCCACCTTGATCTCGCCAAGGTCTACGGCAACCAGAAGGAGATCGCTCAGGCCCTCAAGAAGGCTTTCGGCGGCGAGGTCCCCAACCTCAAGCGTGAGGACGTCTTCATCACATCCAAGCTCTGGAACTCGCAGCACCGCCCCAAGGACGTCCCCGGCGCTCTTGACGACTGCCTGGCTGAGCTTGGCCTCGACTACCTAGACCTTTACCTCGTCCACTTCCCCGTCGCTTTCGACGAGCGCGGCGATGTCCACAACAACCTCTTCCCTCTCGAGGGCGAGGACGTCAAGATGCTCAACGACGTCTCCATCGTCGACACATGGAAGGCCATGACACAGCTGCCCAAGGAGAAGGCGCGTGCCGTCGGTGTCTCCAACCACACCAAGGAGCACCTCCAGGCTATCATCGACGGCACTGGCGTCACCCCCGCCGCCAACCAGATCGAGCGCCACCCCCGTCTCCTCCAGCCAGAGCTCATCCAGTACTGCAAGGAGAAGAACATTCACATCACCGAGTACTCCGTAAGCAGCTTCCCCTCTGCTTCCCCCAACAAAACACTAACAAACCCCCAGGCCTTCGGCAACAACATGGTCGGCGAGCCCCTCCTCGTCCAGCACCCCACCATCAAGGAGATCGCCACCCGCATCGGCGCCTCCCCCGCACAAGTCATCCTCGCCTGGGCCCAAGTCGGCGGCCACTCCGTCATTCCCAAGTCCGTCACCGCGTCGCGCATCCAAGAGAACTTCAAGGAGGTTGATCTGTCGGAAGACGACTTTGCCAAGGTCGAGGAGATTGGCAAGAAGGAGCCCCGCCGCTTCAACATTCCTTACATTGCTAACAAGCCGAGGTGGCCTGTTAACATCTTTGGTGAGCCTGAGGAGAAGGACGCGCCGCATAAGGTTGTTGTTAAGGTTTAGATTGATGGTGTGGAGGTGATAGGGAGGTGGGAATGAATAATAGAATAAATGAATATATACCCCCCATATATCTTGCTTCCAGATACGATGGCGATGGATGAACCTGTGCACACAAATCACCATTCATACACAACCTTCATCTGATGTAGCTAGCCATGCATCGTACTTTGCTAGAACATGGGCACGACGGAAGTCACAGAGTAAGGATGCACATCGATAAGATTCATCGGGGGTGGAGCGCGATGACCCGAAAAGACAGGGATAAGCCACGCGGGTAAGCTAGAATAGGCTTCATGACGTAGTGCCGGTCTCGAATATCAACGCGCTTCACTCCGCCGCGTCTACGCTCTTCACGTCTTACACTGCATACTACATTGTGACTTAGTTGATGATATGTCCGCAACTTAATCTCGCTATTTGACTGCGTGTTGTAGGTCGCTTTCTGTGATTTCTGGTGCTCTGGATCTTGGTCGAGCCATGTTGAGCCTATTACGACGCGACTAATCATTTTCTGGCTTCAAACGTCTCGTTACCGTCCTTGGGATTCCCAGTCACTTGCTCTTCAGTTTTTCCGTTTGCGTGCGTACCATGAGGACGAATACATCCTCGCGGCACTTTATGGGCCTGATGTGCTCTGCGTCATTCGTCTATGATCACTTCGTCACCTACACCACTACACCTGCCGCGACAGCAATAGAACTACCTGTGGAAACAATACTGCAGCAGTCAAAGACCCGTATCTACTCGCCAATCTGATACGCGACCGTCACAAGAACTTTCAGGGTGCTCCTGCACCTCTCTCTTACACACACGCACCATCTCGATTCTTAGCACCACATTCACTTCCGCGCCTCGCTATCGCTTATATATCTAGACAGACTAAGATTTTACACCACCAAGAAATTCGCAAATACAATCCAAAGCCCCACAATCCCGCCCACACTGCGCAACAGTTACGATGCCACTGAACAATGGCGCCAAGGCAGCGAACGAGCACCTCATCTTCGTTAAGAACGTACCCGGCTACACCGAGACAGAGGAGTTGAAACGAATGTACGAAAACTACAATCCGACAAGTCTTAAGAACGTCTATCCGAACAGCAATGTTACCACGATCGTCGTCGGCTTCCGCACCAAAGCCGAAGCAACGCGTGCTCAAGAGGAGACAGACCAGACGCGCATAGCGAACGTCATTCTCAAAGTGGAGATGTACAATCAGCGACAGTCGGTGAGATACCTGCGGGATCAAGGGCAAGCGAATCGGTCACTGGGACAGGTGGAGCAGGACGAACCAGGATACTTCGACGAGCCAGCGCAAGAAGACGCGCCGTTCTTCACGCCACCTCTAGAACCATACGTTGCGAGAGATCCCGCTGCGGCGCCGCAGGGCACCACGTGGGCCGATGTCGCTGGCAATCGACTTGTTCCGGTCAAAGAGGCGCGAAAGCTAAACGGCACAGACAGCCCAGATACCGTACCATCAACACCTACATACACTCCTCGCGTGCCAATAGCTGTCCCACAGAAGCTCCTCCCGCCCGGCCAACAGCAGCCTGGAAGCTCACCACCCCCAGCAGCTGTCTCACTAGGAGACAGCACTCCCGAAGCCCTGCCCATCCTGCCACCTCGCAGCGTCGTTAGCACAAACACAGACACCATTAACGAGACCGAAGACCGCGATAGAACGATTAGCGATATTGCGATCTGGCAAGCGACTACACAATGGGCGACCGAGCGCGGTAGCTACCAAGCCATACTCCAAGAAGTAGAGCCTATCGATACTACAGCGCGTATTCAGCAACGACACTGTCGGGACTGCGTGTTTTGTCAGATGCGGAATAGATCTTAGTGGGAATTTGATGAGCGTCGAGACAAGTGTGAAGAGACGGAGTTAATTTCGGGAATGAGAAAGGTGCTAGCGTCTTGCGTCGAGCAGACTTTGGAGGAATTAGACATACTTGGAACCCGCCTTGGGGATTATCTAATGGAATCTTTGGACTTTTGTTAGATTAGTCGCGACAGTCGGAGAATCAGAAGCTTACGGGATGTAGTTTTTCTGAAAATGTGACTTCAATAATGAATGAACCAGCACGATAGAATAACGAATGCTTGTTAGAAGAACAAAGACGTGTCGCGCATCTGGCAGCGGCAACGCGACGGATTCGCGGGTTAGCTTGATCAACATCATCGTGGCTTCCGTTCGTGTTAGCGCACTTGCGCAGGGGCTTCTTGCCCGGTTTACGTCTTCAACTCATCAGCCTTCATCGCTTTCATCATCAAACTCATCATAATCACTCATTTCTCGCAAGCTGCATCATGGAATTATGAAAGCTTATGAAGGCTACGTGTGATACTTCATCTATGAAGTACAACGCGAAACATTGATATGATTACCAGATAGGCTTTTCATGCGTAAGCTCGCTAAGAGCTCTGGTTACCATACCCTACTCTACTCCCCTATTGCCATGCGAAAGCATGCTGAAAGAATCTGCTGACAAAGACTTGCAGCTGTTACTGAGCTCACCGAGAGTTTTGCGTGCCTGTACTCCACCCTTCCTATGTCGCATTCCCAGACAAAGTGGGACAAAGATTTAACGTAAGCGTCTAACACTCCATATACCCCATATACCGATATACGCCGTATCGGTAGGTCATGCTTCCCCGTTCGTCTTAAATCAATACTCGTCGCATACCCCACCATGCTCTTGCTCAATGGTACCCCGGCTGCCTTGTCGTTAGTGCAATTGCAAGGACCGGGTTCACTACAGCAAGTGTGTTGAGAACGTGTCTGGGATGGTTAGTAAGCTTGACAACCAAGATGGATTTCAGCGAACATACCGATGGGGGCCCATGCTCTAGCTCAAGCTGTCCGGGTAGTCGCTCAACGGCTGGAGCTGCCTCATCAAGAGATGTGTCAATTTCAGCTTAAACCTCGTCTAGTACAGCCTGAACCTTCGCCTCAAAGCGGCTCATGTATTCTTTCAAGAAGAACAACACCGAGCCCGGATACAGTTTGCCCCAGATGAGTGTATCTTTCGTAGCGCGGAAAGTCCTTATCTCGTTCATGTTGATAAGCGACATCCTGTCGCCTGCCTGGGAGTCCTGGCACGACTGGAAGCCCATGAACGTTTGAGTTATCCTTCATACCCGGATACAGTACACGCATTGTCTGGGCAAGCTGCGTTGGTGTCAATTTCGAACTGCCGTCGCCGCCGTGTCGGGTCATCCTCAAGCATTCGAGACTCGCTTCCTCTTCATTCTTGAAAAGAACAATCCAGGGCGCGTCCTTCACGCAATAAAGACCGTCGAAAGTTGGGAAACAGTCTGACCTGGCGATTTTGGCATTAACGTTCGTAGTTTCGTCAGCAGTGACCTCCCAGATGATTGTGCCGGTGGTGATGTTCTTGAGTTCCGCCTCTGGTATCTTCTCCCTTACTTCACCGCATTCTTCCAAAGATGTCAACTATTTCAGCAACCCTCAAATGTCAGGCCTGCCTTCGTTTTCCGGGGGAAAATTAGATAGGTCGGCAATACGATGGCTTGTCATGCGGTCGAGCAAGGACATCGAGACAGCCGGTGCTACAGCCATCCTTCCAGTCGCCAATGCAGTGTCCGGGGCGATCGAAGATGTACCACTCTTCGAAGTAGCGACGCTAGAACATGTCGACTCTCCTAAACCCAAAAACATGATTGACCTTTGCTAATTCTAATATGATATTAGTAAAGAGCTCTTGGCTTTTACGGTCGTACTATGACATCTAGCGAGTGATTTACTTACGGAGTGGCTCTCCTTCGTCTGCAAGCTTGAGCACTTTTCGTCGACTCTCTCACGGTACATCCTCATCGTCGATGTTCCTCTTCTTACCTTGGCCCGCCATGTCGAATCAGCGCGTCGTGGTTATGAGGGTCGAGTATCGATCACACTGTGGAGGAAACCAGCGACTTCGGTAGTGGGCGGCAGAGGGAGTCTGGACACTGACGAACCCCAGAATAGCGGGCTGACTGGAGGCTGGTGGCCCGTCCGGGAGAGGCCATGGGACTGGCGCGCTTTGGCCTGGAGTAAATCTTCAAGGTCTGCAATCCGCGTTGTGCGGGCGGTAGGCCTTTCGAGCGATGAACCTTATGGGCGGGTGGCTGACAGAATACTCAGCTGGTAGTTGAGTGTAAGGACGATCGGTGTAGAGAACAGGGTACTGACTCCGTCAGTAGTTATGAACTACAGAGCGACTAGGGCTCGAAATGAATGCCTTGCGTACGACATCGGCCCTAGCGCCCGCATATTACGTGAAAGTGCTCAGACCAGTGAATACCTGACCTATGAGAGTTTTACTACCTCGTACTTGCGCAAGCGTTGCTGAACACTTTGCTGTTTTTAATTCGCATCATCACTCGCATATCTGCTGGCTCGATATAAAACTACGACGAAATTACTACATATGGGTCAGTGATCAATGTGACGGTAGTGGTGTTGATCCAAAATGCAACGAGTAGCATCTGAAGGCCGCTTTGTAAATCAATATATAAACAGCGAGGTCTCAAACTTCTTGACTAACGGGACTTTATAGCGAGTCCAGTACGCGACGACACGAAGAGGCAAGATCTTCCTAAAGATGCAAAATAGCAGTTCCATATACGTGTCTTTGGGAGATGACTTGAGAGACAGACAAACTCCTCTTTAAAGCACCATGGTTCAGTCTCAAGAATGTTACCTCCAGAATTCGCAGCAGACCAGGAACCGATGGCTAAGGACAAATGCTGTAGTGTGCTCTTTGATAGCTCTTACAAAGCTGCCGAAAACGCTCATGGTACTTTCTTTGTCCGTAGCCGGATGACGTTCTAAGATACTAGCTCAACCTTAAGCTGGTTTACACCTGAATAATTTGCACACGTCATCCGGCGACGCTGATAGGTACCACTGACCATTAGCACTTCCGGCGTACCAATGTCACTGTATGACGGCGCTCAGATGCCGGGCCGCCAGTCGAACCACCCGGAAAAGGAGGATTGTTCTTCGAATTTCCAACCCCCAGCAAGTCCGGAAGATTACAATACGATCTCAAAGGCAAATGAACAGGCCGGAGGCCATTTAAAACTTTGGCAGACGGTACTCAGCCATGAAGACTCCAAGACAAGCTACAAGACGAGCTCGGCTGCGTTCATTGGGGTACCGGTAGACGGAAAGCCAGCCATAGCGCTATTGCCGTCTTACCAACTCGGTCAAAGGACGTTGAAGTGTGTAAAGCTTCAGCGCGCTCACGGAGAGCTCGAGGGCCGCCCCAAATTGATATTGCACGTATCGATAAAAAGATCTCTGGCCTTCAGCAACTTGTCTACTCATACAATTCGGCCTTAGCAAAGGCCCAAATGTCAAAGCATACCTCTGGACAGGAACACCACTAAGAGAAGTCGCGTACGAGAGTCATACGGATACGGGAGAGACTATCGAAAACAGAAGAGGTTATTTCACAACTTCAGAAGGAGAAAAATAGCATCGAACAGAATGAGAAAGAGTTGAGAGACCAGTGGCACAACTACATGAAAGCTGTTTCTTTGAGTCACGACGATGCTTTCATCAAGGCAGGGATCTTACCGGACTACGCCAAGGACGAGAGCAAAGATGTACCGGGTATTAACCCCCCAGAAGAAGAAGAGGAGGAAGGAACTGGTATTTCCAAAGGGGTGGGGAATAAATCGCATGAAAGCCACCGAAAGAGACACAAAAAGGAGACACTTGGGATGTGCCGACTGTAGCGCCCGCTATCAACACCGTCGCAAAAGATGACATATTAACTGGCAAAGAGATTGTGTCTTATGACAAAAGCAACCAACCCAGGGAGTCCCGATTACTGAAGGAGGCCAATATCAAAAGCAAACTCAACGCAGCAAAGAAAGCCTACCTCAAAGCCGAGAAAGTGCACAAGAACCATCGAAACCAGTACGAGATCGTATTCGGTAGATTATGCGCACGGAATCCGACCAAAACCAATGGCGAACTTGCCACTACATTTCCCTCCTTCTTCCTCAAGAAAGGATAAGAACTGATAGGTGCATTACGTGATGTGGAAAAAGCGTATCGGGACGCAGAAAAGCGCGCACTCGATGCGAACGTTCTCATAATTCCGGACGAACTTATCGAACCAGATGTCAACCCATGCCTGGATCTTGATGAGCTAGACGCGATGCTGATCTGTACCGATGGCGATAGGGAACGTATTCATAGATGGCGCAACGTCGAAGCCGGTATTCTCAGCCCGCCGTCTATTCATACGATAGATACGTATTATGATGCTAGCTCCAGTGACGATGATGGCAGCACTGAGAGTATTGTGAGCGCGCAAGATCGTGGAATACATAGTAGAGAAAACGATCAACCGTCGGTGCAGTCTGCCAATCCATATGTCGACATACACGCAGATTCCCCAGCGGGTGATGAACCCGAGCCTCGTCATATCGATGGAAACACCACGGACGAAACGATCCGATTGAGCAAGCCCGTTACAAGTCAGAAATCCGACGCGTCTACAGAATTAGCGTCTACAATAGATGGCACAGCTTCCCCTGGAATGGAAAAGCGTAAGTTCTGGGGCCAGGTACAAGTACATGATAGCTATAGTGTTGTCAATCCGGGGATCAAACGACAAAAATTCGATACTTGGGTGCCGGAATGCGCGAGGTGGAGGGCGAGGGATTTACCATTAAAATAAAAGGTATTTTGTCTTCCATGACCCAAAAACTTCTTGATGTTTTTCTTGCCGTGAAACCTGAAGCTTCCACTCTGGGAAGTTCACCATGCCCACAGGTGAGCATGCCGGACCGAGTATTGAATAATGAATTGCGTTTTTGACTCAGCATGGGGTTTGTTCTTGGTTCGGACTGGTTTTCAAGATTGTACTATGGTATACGATGAGATCGCGATACCTTTGAGGTCCGTACCGCGTACCATCTGTACAGAGAGCGGCCGATACGGGGGGACTCAGGCTTGTTTCCTGTGATATACTTTCGGGAGCCAACCCTCCTCTCTTTGCTGACACGAGAGCATTCTGAGTAACTCCGCGACATGAGGTAAAGGTGCTCTCAGTGAAGAACCTTGGAAGCACGCACCAGATCAGGTTGCATGTTGCCTGTTTGAGCTAGTGCCGGCTTGAGATTGGAACCTGACTGGCCTTCTCACAAACGCGCAGGCACTTCTGTGCAGCCCTACCATCTCCGCTTTCCATCCGCTGAAGTCATAGCCAACGCCACGACACTCACTCAGTCATGTCTGTACAACTATACAGGCTTGCTGGTTCGGTCGATGACCTGAAGGAAGCCATAAGTAACGTCGATGAGAAGTGAGAGCAGCCCATCTAGTATGTGAATGATTAGCTGAACTTGGCCACTAGAACACGCACAATCGAAGAAAAGGATGGCGAAAAAGCCTACATAGCATCTGAGGAACTACGGTTGCTGGACATGAGACGTCTTGCTTTTCGCGGGTAAGCCACCCGGAATTTGAACAAGCGTAGCCATTCATACCAACGACCATAGAATCTTATTATTTAGGCGAGAAGAACAGTGCCGAGAGATCATACAGGAGCTGCCAAATGCGGTTCTGGGGAAACTGCCACGCGAGCTCCGAGACATGGTCTACACCGAGCTATACCACGGAAGCCAGGACGGGCCGTACGAAATTGTCGATAACAACTCCAAGCATCCACACAACCCCTTGTATGAGTTTGCGCCAATGGTCAAAGCATATGAGCCGCCATACTGGATGCGAGAAGGAGAGGTCGGGCCTGAGTTCGCACGAGAAATTGTAAAGATCTGGTACAAGTGCGCTTATCTCTCGGTCGATATAAAGCTCCTGCAGCCACTCTTGCAAGACGACGATGGAGTCCTGTATGACAGCTGGTCGCCTTCGGTCCGAACATGTCATTTCCTTCGGGCGCTGGCAGTCATTATTGGTCCCGTGTCGTTGACGTTACATACCGGACATAGTAGGCCATCTAGTCGACCAGTACACATCCGACAGATATGTCAGTCACTCTATACGTTGTTGGAAGAACCATGTGTTGCGCGGAAGGAGGGTTCAAACTGCACATCGCCTTTCAATGGGATGTATCCGACGACTGGTCCGACTACCTCAAGGCAATCTGCCCAGTGGTCTCGCGTTTGAAGATTCAAGGCTTCTTTGTGTCAGGTAGCCAAGATTATGGAGATGGTATCGGACACAAGTGCTATCAAGATGGCTGTTCGTGCGAGTCCTGGCGACTTGGAGACATTGAGTGGTATGGTAGCGATATCAATGATTGGTTCGACTGCTCAGAGGAGGAGTGTATGAAGAGGATACAAGAGGAGAGAGAGAGACACGGGGGGTGAATTAGCGTCAGTGAAAGGAAACAAAGCACGGAAATTGTATTTGGAGCATGAAGCCAATCGGTAAACGGGATGGCTGGTGCCCGGGCTTTTCGTCATCACATGAACTAAAGTTCATCCGCATCTAGACGCTTTGTTAGAGCCATAGGTTCTAGTAAACACCCTGTTGTGCCGATCATTGTGACATCGTTGCAGCTAGCTCCCGAACCGAATGCGCGCGTTGATTGAATCGTCGGCAACGGCGCTTCTAGGCGCGTGTATGGTGAGCTGAAATATGCACGACTAGGCGCGAGACGCTAGATGCGCGTTATGGAAAGACAATCATCTTCAGTGAAGCGGGCGAAGGCACGGGAAGCGAAATTCCGTTGACGCGTCCAGGAGAGAGTTGATCACAGCCTTCCGAGATCAACATTACGGCCCTCTTATACTGGCCAATCGTACAGCCTTTCTTCTCGCAACAGGGGTATCGGCCCCCGCAATTGCCGCCCTCATCTTCGCCACCCAAACATCAACACGGGCTTGATAAGGCCTGTCGCATCCCGCGAGTCCCTGCATATTATCCTTCCTGCGGCTATAACTTTTGTTTTGCAAAGTACAGCGAATAAACATGCCCAAGTTCTTTAAGCGCATCTTCAGCGATGCTTTGTTCCGGAAAGAGCCGGACGTCAGCGACATGCAGCGATCGCGGCGCGTGCTGGTGAGGAGCTCAGGAGGCATGCCAGAGGAACAGACGAACTGGAGAACATCGTTTTTCGATATTCAGGTTCAGGACGAGGAGCGTCGTGCGTTGAGGGATGGGGCAAGTGTAGCCGGTAGCGACATGCACGCCGCCGAACGACCTATTCTAGCACCGAACCACGATCAAATACCAGCGCGCAAGCCGAGTCGCGCTCGGAGAAGGCTCAGCAAGAGGCATCGAAGGCCCGCTTGAAACGGGTTTGGAGGTATGTGTGTTGAATGCGACATCAAGTGCTCGATGCTGACAAGTCTCTCTAGAAGGCCCTCGCAGCGTCAATACGACCACATGCTGGCATGATGGAAGTACGATAGCATAGTGCTAAAACGAGACACGTAACCCTGCACGAGCGGCATCCTCCAATGCGATGGATTATGCCATGATCGAAATGGCTACGATAGTAGCATCCCTGGCGCAGCCGCAGCCTGGCAGGGCAGCTACGCACGGCGGTGAAGGCAAATGGAGGGATTTCCATATCACACTATTCTAGATGAACTCGTCCGCGTTCATCGTTTATCTGGGATATCAGTTGTTTACTCGCAACGACAGCCTCCTTAGGATAAGACGAAGGATCAGAAGAATTGGGTCTCGTCACGTGTTTTGCCCCTCACCGGGCCTTGGCTTGTCAGCTCTCCAAGGTTCACGAAATTTATATGAATCATCGAACGTCAAATATTGTCTGAATTCCGCATTTCGCATTCTCTTCTTCGATACACGCCAACTTTTTGCTCTTTCCGTCAACACCTTTGCAAAGCAAGCTGCTATCAATAGTACTCCCGTCATTCGAGAATTAATCAGCGAGGGAAACTTTCCAGTCGCGTTGAACGATCACCCTATTTGGTACGTTTCACCAAAGTTGGTCCATCGGCTAGCCTTTGCACCGATGTGATTTCTTGCAACTGATCTCCGACTTTTAGCTGCTGTGAAGGACTTCCCGAACACTTTGAAGCTCAACGTACGCCGGACAGCCTGCTTAGGGGGTTAAAGATATGCGATTATATGCTTTGATCATCTTTCTGCTCTGCATCTTGTTACATGTCGACGCGGGCGAACAGCGATGCAAATGTGTGAGTTGAGATTACGCATTCATTGAGTGCTGCTAACGCAGGGATCAGGTACCTGGTGATGCTTGTTGGCCTACTTTCAACGAATGGAGCGACTTCAACACGACACTCGATGGCGCACTTATCCGAAGCGTTCCACCTGGAGCAGTCTGCTACCCTTCGAGGCCGGAGTTCAATCGAGAAGCGTGTGACTTCGTGACGTCGCGCTGGTTCGATTCTTCATATCATGCTACGCATCCCGTCAGTATCGACTACCCTATATGGGCAAACAACTCTTGCAATCCACTATTTCCAAACGGAACTAGCATCACTGGCAATCCACATGCTGAAGCGCAAGGATGTAGTATCGGCAACTACCCCGCCTACGTAGTGAATACCACCACTGCTTCTCAAATCAGCACAGCTCTAGTTTGGGCAAGTGCAAGGAACATTCGCGTTGTCGTGAAGGCCACTGGACACTCATACCAAGGTCGCAGCACTGGTTATGGCAGCCTAAGTATATGGACGCACCATATGCGTGGCATCGATTATCTCGCCTCTTTCAGCCCGGCGTTTTGCCCTGATCGGAATGTCTCAGCTGCTGTGCGTGTTTCAGCAAGCCATACGAACATTGAAGTTCAAGAAGTAGTTGCTCAGTACGGAATGGCGATTGTAACAGGTGCCAATCCTAGCGTTGGGCTCATTGGGTGGCTCACGGGCGGTGGCCATGGACCGCTTTCGACCAGCTACGGGATGGGGGCCGACAACTTGCTTGAGGCCTCCATCGTCACACCGGACGGTAAAATCGTCCTCGCAAACCCATGTCAAAACCAAGAAATGTACTTCGCCGTACGAGGCGGAGGTGGCGGAACATTCGGCATCATCACTGAAGTCGTCGTTCGCACCTTCCCAACTCCAAGAACTACTGCCCATACCTTCCAAGTCCGCTTCAAAGACTCAGGCAGAAGCACCAATTTTTATGAGTTCTTGGGATATCTGCACGCAGAGATGCAGCGGCTGAAAGAAGGCGGCATGCAAGGGTATTACCTGGTTGTTGGACCGCCTATCGTCCCTACGCTATCATTCTCCTGGACATTCCTACTTTACAACACTCCAAACGGAGTAGTTGAGCAACTCATGGAACCTATCGAAGCGTATCTGCACGAGAGGAAGGAGATGTTTGAATGGCAATCAGTAATATCGCACGCGAACACGTATCTTGAGATGCACAAATCCAACTTCACAAACGAACAAGTCGCAAATAGCGGCTCAGCATATGGCTCGAGATTGCTCAGTGCTGAAAGTCTGGCGGATCCAAACCTTACAGCGGGCGTATTTTCGAAGATCGGGCCCACTAATAATGCCTCTAAGCCAAATGTAAATGACCTTAGTTCTAGATGACATCTGCAACATTGGCTAATATACCCATAGGGACCAGCAGCTAACCCAGTCCTCATCGGCCACATGATTGCTGCACCAAACGAATCAGCTTACTACCCTCTTCAGAGCTCTCTGAACCCTGCATGGCGCAACACTCTCACGCACCTTATCGTCGTATCGCCGTTCGGTGACACTGCATCCCAAGCCCTCATAGATTACGTATATTTAGATATTACACGCAGAAAAATCGAGGCACTGCGGCAACTGAGCCCCGACACTGGCGCATACTTCAACGAAGGGGATAGCTATGAACCGGAATGGCAACAAGCGTTCTGGGGCGAAAAGCATTGGATGTTGAGGGAAGTGAAGAGGCAAGTTGACCCAAAGAGCGTACTTTGGTGCCGTAGATGCGTTGGAAGTGAGGCTCTGGTGGAGACTGAGGATGGGCGGTTGTGTGAGGTGAATGCGGAGGGCCACGACGAGCTTTGAGGTAGACCAGCTGAAGCATTGGCGGCTTTGGGCTGTTGATATCTGAACACATGATCAACCTGCGTCTACTTCTCATATCATTCATCGCTTGTGTCAAGGTTTTTCCTTCGACGTGGTGTCCAGTTGGTTTCATGGGAGACAATCTGGACGCCGGAGATGAAGTTATTTCCGGGCCGAGATAGAGCCGCAGGCCACTTAGTCATCAATGACATTGGAACATCAAACGCGCCCCTGTCTCCTACGCGAACGTGGTTTATAACATTGCTCAAGCATCCGTACTGCCCAATGTGATCAATGTCGATGTAACCCTATCAGTTCTACCTGAACAGCTCGACACATCTTCACGTAGATGTATCAGCCCGGCCCAACCTCTGACCTCGCACCGCGTCCATTCTCCTTCCAAAATCGACCTCCCACACTTGCTGGTCGCTGCCAGACACAACGTATACTGTTTGATCATGTGGTCCAAGTGATCATGATGTTAGACAAGTTAGGCACAGTTGGCAAGCTTTCAACCGGGCATATGGCGGCTTTGGGAATCCCCTAGACTCGACGCGTCGCATGGAAAGCTTGCGCGACTGCTCCACGCGCACAATGTCAAGCTGGCAATTGGTCCGGGATATGCCTTGGTGCCTCTCTGAACAACACAGAGGCAAACGGATCTAGGATAAGAAGCCAGCAGCACATCGAGAGCCGGTGGTTGGTCGGAGAACACCGCTTTGACCCGGAGCAAGACGGTGCCAAGACGTACACACGCCCAATCTCCAACCTCTTCTGAAAAGATGGTACGTGGTTATCTTCACCGCTCGTTTACGTTCGGGTCTTCTCTTTAGAGAAACGTACGTACAGGCATATCAGGGAGATACCCTTCTGAAGCCCTGCTGGTCGATGTGTCAATGTTTGTGATCATGAGTCGTGGTAGACATGATCTTTCCAGGTGCTTTAGACTGCAATGGCGCACTTTGCAATCGGGCATTGTATTCAGGTTGTCTCGATATGCGCCTTCGTGATGGCTTCCAACAGGCATCGTTACATCAACCTTGACCCATTGAAGTTTGGTTGTTGAACACGGACTCCTCTGAAGCCTTACCCACAGACCGTCATCGTACATGAACACGCTTCTAGATTGACTCCACTCTGTTCTCCCAGCCTTCTTTCGGATCCTCGCTTCCAGCCTTTCCATTCTTTCAACGGCTATTCGCGTGAAAGGCCAGTACGTCTTTCAAGCTGACTAGCAACTGAGGGTGTATTGCAAACCTAGAAAGCACTGCCTCTCTTATGCACAGACCTTGGAATTCCTAAAAGTGCCAATTACACATCACCATCATCCGACTTTTTCCGCCTTACAGCCAACTAATTGGGCTAGCTGCACGTTACAGAAGCCCCGTGAAAGCCACTTTCTACTCGCACTCGGGTTTTCTGGATCTGATAATGTAGCGCCGTCGCTCATTGTCATGCCAGTGGCCGGTAATCGGGCTAGGTTATTTTCCTTCGCTCGCTTAGATGTTGAGCATGAAGCTAATGACGCACGCTGCTGCGCACGCAATTGACAAGTGCGGACTCTCTTCCGAACTAATGGCTCAACTACTTGCAGCATGATAGTGCCTGTTCATTTTCCTCTCCGCTGATGTTGTTGTTATTGTTTATGTCAAGGTATTGTGGGCGCGTAGGGAAACGACGTTTCGTCAAGCGCTGGGTCGCGATGACGGCCGCAACGGGGTTGTCGCACAAAGTGTGCTATCCCTCTAGTTCCATAGGCTCTACTGCTATTTCTTTGTTGCTCTTGTTTCCTTGTTCCCCACACTTACACTGGTGGGTTTGAGCTTACCGTGCATGTCATATCGGTCCTTTTGCTACGGTTTCGTCACCGCTCATTCGGTTGAAGGACGATGCGACCAACGCACCTTACACCCCGATCGTGTGGGCATATCCTTGTCATGGTAGTAACTCCTGCCAATTGGATCATTGCGGCGATTTTTGCCGTTGTTATAGGTGTAGCTTTGCGAGCATCATACTGCTTCAGCATTATGTCGCCGGCGGCCAGTTATCTGATGCGGATAGGCCACTAATATGGAGTAAGGTGCGATGTCGTAGGTCACTTCCGCCCCACATGCCTAGCTTGTAGGTCTCCAATTGCTGGTACCAAGTGTCATGTTCAGTACGTACGATGTTCAGCCGCTTTTGGACGACCATATCAGCAGTAACTGCCGCCATCTGAAACTGAGAAATGCATAAAGGCTCGCCTGAGCATACCCCTCTTTCTGCGTCATCAGGCAAAGGTAGGTTCTCGAATACCTATCTACGTGTGCCATGCTCCCGGCGCTTTCCTTATGAAAGCCACGTGCACGGCATATAGCCTTTGCCAGCCCCAATCACTGCTTGTTGATGTTTTTCCGGATCAGCACATTGTTGTCCGGCCATATCAGCGACCCAACACGGTTACGATAGCCAGATTCATGCGTAACACCATCCTTCCGCATCCTTCGCATGAACAACACATCGTCGCTAAAGCTCTGTTTTCTTTGTCTCTGATCAGTGCCTGCACGCCCTCATCGGTCTGACAGGCTGCTCGTATAGTGGCCAGCCAAAGGATGTCCACGGCATCAGCCAGGCCATGAACTTGTCCCCTGATCCCTCCTCCGTTGTGCATATGCGGCTAGAGGTTGGTTGCATGCAACAGTTTCCCGTGCTCGAGCGAAACCTGCCAGTGCCACCCACATGCTCTCTCGGTGGTCAAGCGAAGACAAGGCAGGGCTTTCAGCCTGAGGTCCCGCCACTTCGGTCTTTTCACGTTCTGCACGGGATGGCCGCCATCTACTGTCACAACTACTTCTAGCATGAGTCGTAACTTATCCATCGTGTCATGCTTGACCTTATCCCAGTCATCAAATACCTTGCTTTGACTAAGACGTGTGACCCGTGGAGTGATGTGTGATTTCCTTCCAGGCAATCTTTCGTCATCCAGTCTACGCTGGTCTCGGCATACATGAACGTTCTCATCCGCGTTGACCAACCATATTGTTCTTACGCGGCGACATGTAACCTGGCTGGCCAGAACGACTTGACCCACCATGTAGCGGCGCCCACCAATCCGCCTCCACACAGCTTAGCCTCGTCATGCACAAAGGGCGCCGGTGACCGCAGCTCCGGCCCACACAAGCACAGCACTCGCTCGTCTCGGGATCAAAATTACGTGCGACTTGCCATCTAGTTCCATCGCTGCCCATGTACTCGCGGCGTACCCAGCATCGCCTTGCTCTCACATGACGAGAAGTATGCGCGGAGTGCCGCGTAGCAAAATCCAACGTCGAGCCTTGATGAGATTGAGGTTTGCGTACTCAAGGAGCCCAATTCTGGGCATGTTTGCATGCAAGGACCATAGGAGGCCAAGTCACAGCGTCAGAGGGACCCAAAAGAGGTGGAATCAGCAACGGGTCGATTCATTGCGCAACTATTTGCAAGGTTACTTATGGTCGCAGCAGTGGCCGCAGTTGTCATGTTTATTGTGATGGCTGGTGTGTGGTTCCGTGCACGACGCAAGTCCGTCGTTGGGCCGGATGACACCACAGGGACACTTCGCTTTCTGCATCACTCGATGTAGGCTCACTTTGCCGCATTCATGCCATGGATGCCCAGTACACAGTTAAGGAAGATGGTTATGAATTTACGGCTCAATCTAACTGAGAGAAAGCAATTGGCTCGGTAATGTGGAATTGTTGCCTTGTTTAACGACAAGGCAGACTGGTTGAGTCGACTTACGAAAGCACACTGCATCATGTTGCCACTGCATTGACTACACAATATAGCTCAAGCCTTGTTTGCCATCGTTTTGGGCTCACCGGTGAAGACGGTTCTAGTCAAGAAAATCTTCCCATAGGCCCGGTGGAAGCATCCCTCGCTGAATATGAGCGGAAAGGCAGGCGAGCCAACGCGGATGTGTTCGTAAAAGCTATGACAGATGGCGAGACAACGCCAGGGATACGGCTTCTCCTTTGATCAACCATATACCGCTCGCCACGTCAGAGGATCTCCGATGGGGCATGCTTTGGCTGGTTCTAGTGTGTCTTCGGGGGTCCAGATGATTACCGTGATATGCGATGGCGGCTTAGGTTCCGCATTAACTTCACGCCATCCTGTTATCTAGGATAGGAATGCCTGTCAGCGTGCAGGGCCTAGTCAGTCAACAACGGACCGGCCACGGGCAAAGTCAGCCGTTGAGTGGGGATATCGATCAGCTGAATGAAGGACCCAGTCCGTGCTATGCAACATGCATGCGGATGTTGCTAGCGTTCCATCCCAGTGGCGATGCTGGGTGACCAGGTGCGAAGGCGAAGACGCATGTCTGCAGCAGAACAAGATAAGGTGACTGGCCAACAGCGTTTCGAGTCCATAGTGGAAAGACCGGCATGTTGTGTGTCAGCCAAGCGGTAAAGGTGAGGATCTCTAGTGGACGCAAAAAACAGCCGAGCACCATCGGTGAAGCTCAGTGATGCTACACAGGTTGATTAGCGTGACCACAAATGGAAAATTTGGGGGTCGAGCATGTAGCGTAGGAAATGAGAAATGCCCGAAGTACCGTGACCACATGGCGTACTAGCGCGTAAGGAAAGAGCGATGCCCAACCGCAGGCGACGATACTGCTTATTCTCCAGGGTCTGGTCAGTGCATCTTGTAACGGTTGACCATAGCTCGAAGTGAAGAGAGTGGAACCTAGAGATTCTCAAGGTTGGCCCGTGTATTGCCTGGTGGCATTTCCACTGAGGTACCAATAGCGGGAGCCATTGGCCAATCGCTTGTTGGACCCAGGAAAATATTCTTGAACCGGACTGTAACTCGGCATACACCAAGCAGCACGTGATCGTATCTCGGTTCACGAATGCTCCATCTCATATGGCATGAGAGGCCCGGATTGCTCGACAAGGACACACCATAACACCCCCAAGCGCCAACTAAGACATCTTGACAAGGAACATGAGGGATTTTCGCATCTGGAACAAAGGGTTACGTGGTTGAGGAAGCCACGACACGTTGATCCCCTAGCAAATGTGATAACTGTCTGCAGCTGGAAACGCCGGCACGGCCTAGGGTATCATTTCAGCCCGTCTCCGCATTACTCTAGCGTCAGAGTAAGAGGGATCCGTGAATCGTAGCGATATCGTTGGATGGAGCCCGGTGGGGTGCTACCACGTCGACGAAGGGATAGGCTACGGCATCAATTTATGGCCTGACAGCGAAGCGGGCTCGGGCTCGATGGATGGCCGGCGAGACCGGCGAGGGGAGTTCGTTTCGAAGGATAAATAGCGGTACGCTGCTGCCAGAATATCAGTCTCTCCACACTCAGTTCAAAGATCTCTTCCAGTCATTGACCACAGACTTTGATCCTCGACCATCTTTTGCGACACCAGGCTTGACCAACAACATCTTTCTTGGGTATAGACCGTAGCCGTCTTCACCAAAGGCCTCCTACCGTCCAACCATTCTGTATGTGTCTTTGAGAGTCAAGATTGAGGTGACCCCTGAGCTGACCCACTTCCAGGAACGCGATCGCTGGCCCTATCAAAAAGGTCCAGTGTTTGAACGAGCAGCAACAGGTAGGCGTTCGAGTGCTGATATCCAAGCGGTTCGTGAACAAGACTAACGTGTTACCGAACATCAGACGTCCAAGCTCTCCCAGCCTGAAACATGTGCTTCTACGACCAACACAGGTTCGTCTGCGGCGACTGGAAGTGGGGCCACTTCCGACAACACTGTGCCAAGGAGTACCGAATCGGCGAGACGTGTGGTATGAAGCTCATCATGCAGACCATTCCTACGGGAACATACTGCAAGCTCTGTGAGAAGATCAACACCAAGATGCGCCGCCGAGCCGCTGAAGTGGACCGTATTGGGCGTTGGCAGCGAGAGCCTCACAAGTTCGGTGCTTCGATCGAGAAATCGATGGAGATGATTCGCAGTCTGGATGGAGAGATCAATGAGCTGTCTTGCGAGCGCAACCGTAGACTGCAAGCGGTTTACTGAGGTTACGGCGGTCATGGCGCGGGCGTCTGCGGTTTCGTTTCATATATACCGCTCCGGTATTTTCTTTCAGATTGAGGCCATTCATTTTTCGGTTCCGGAGGCGGAATGATGCATGCAGGGCTGGCATTGAGCGATGGCATACGGAACAGGGAAGGCCGGGCGTTACCTCTTACAGTCGCTTCTTTCTATTCCTGAGATTCTCAGTATTTAATGATGCAATGACCATTTCCAGTTTATTTGATTGGCTGCGTCCTGGATTGTGGTGATCGTAACCGCTGTGATTGAATTGGGGGCTGAAGCTGTCCAATCCGTGACCGTCGCGTAACCGCGAATAGAAGTGGAGAGCTCATAGTGCACGGCCCGGCGAGAAACAGTACGGCGCTTTCCCCTCAGTCAGGGAAGGCTGGTCGAGTGGTTGGGCGACGAATTTGCGCCATGCAGCAGCAAGGTCGACCATCGTGAGATGAAGCGGGCGGAGGGTCGGATTCGATGGTGTTGTTGTGTTGGAAGACGGCTGGTGGGGTAAATTTCGCAGCTTGGCAGACACGTGATGACGCTAGGGCTCACTCGGATGGTGTGAGCGGGTAGTGCCGATAATACCCCGGTCTTAGTTGCCTATCCCATAGTGTCAGCTGGTCGGCCTGCACTCACTCTATCATCTTGTGTACTCTTTCTTCTACGCCTTTGGCCTGGCTTGCGTTGCCGAATGTACACCACGACATGTTCGTTCGTCCGTAAAGCTATCCTGTACAGCATCCCGCATGGTCTCCGGTCGATTGTCCCCCCTGTGTGGTCGAGTTCATGCGGCGCAGACGTGTGTGCGCTTTGGACTATCGAGGGAAAGGTGCGTGAACCGATGTGTTGCTCAGGTGGATGTATGCAGTGGTCTGCGAGTACCTTGCTCACTTTGTCGGGGTCGCTCTGACGATCATTTGTTCCCGTGGACGATCTGTCGTGTCCGTGTGTCCCATCGTGCTTTTCGTGCGGGCTGCACGATGTTCTTCCTCGCTCTTCCGGTTGAGAAAAATGCTATTGAGGTCAGCTAAGCTATACAGTGGTCGTAGTAGGTTGCAACAGTCTCAAGAGCCAGGAAGGAAGGTTAGAAAGGTCGACTTACGTGGCGAACGCTAAGTGGCCTGAATAGCGGCCGATCGCCTTCATACGTCTCCAAGGTTCGACTCCACCACGTTTCTCCTCCGCCATCCGCTCCCCGTATCGTTATCCAGACTTGGTGACTCACTACCCGATACGTGTTTGTGCGAAGGAGAGCACGGATCGGCCAGGCTAGAGGATCAAAAGGATACGTGGGCTACCTAAGGTTCTTGAGTATGCTGCGACCGAAGCCCTACCACGGCGAGTAGGTTTAAGCGCTCATCATATACGACAGGTCGTCACTCGTGTACTACTGCTTCTCCCTCGGGCTGAAAGACGCGGTTAGGTGGACACCTGAGGGGCATACATTCAGCTCGACGACCAATAAGCCAGCTCGACGTGTTGTCAGCAGGGCCACTCAGACATGGTTCGTACATGACTTACGACAGAAGGGAGGTCTAAAAGCCGCACTTTGGATGTATTGGGCTGCAGTTGAATATGTGTGCATAACCGGAACACATGTAAAGCACCGGGTCGACCAATGATATCGCGAGACAGCACTTTTGGACATGCTGGGCAACCAACCCAGTACATCTCTCATCTCGCTACAGTTCGGTAGTGGGCGACTAACTAAGTTGCATGTACTGGCGATACGTACCGCTTGACGCTCATTCATCTTGCTCTTTTCGTCGTCGCTACAAGCCTTGCGCATAGCGACCTTACCCTTTTCGGTCGATCTTGCTTGCCATAGCGCTCCCGCATATTATCTGCATATCGGAACGGACGCACTACGTGTCCCGCGCCAATCATGACACCATCGAAGCTCGCAGTTGAATTCAGCTTTCAACTGCTTTCAACGTTTCCTCGTCTTATCGTGACGACGACTGTACCCGTCGACAGTCTACACCCAAAGTCCAGGCTGACATCCCAAGATCTGTGTTACCAAAAAGGTGCAGACTAGTATTCACGGCGACAAAGGATGCATTGCGTTCGACGCAAGGCCTGCCAAAGCCTATGCAGACCTTGTAGAACATGCGAATGTGGTACGTTCTTCGCCAAGGGCTTGACCAATCACAGTCCAGAAGCGGCATTCTGCCTCGATCGCATGCCGCCGACTTCGCCCAACGAAAACCTTGGATAGCCACGAAGTATGGCACGCTAAACTGCTTCCATGATCCTTAAGATTACCTTGATTTTCTGTACATGATGCAGTAACTCGGAGATTGCAGCTTTTCCATAACGGGTGGTTACTCCAGGGTGTTGTCGACGGTTCTATGCCCAATAGCGCGCGCTCCCACCCCCACCGGCGGCTCGTCTCGCAGCGAACGTCTAGGATGGTCCTTGCTGGTTGGTGAAGGTCTTCTGTTACCCCACGTCGGAATCGCAAGGAAGGTAAGATCTTCTAACATGAGAGAGTACCAGAGGTACGTCGTGCGCGGCAGCTGGACCAAGCGCCTGCTGGGGTCGCGAGCCAATTACTGTTAAGGTCCAACCCAAACAGGAAAACATAGCTTCATGTGCATCTCGGATTACACCATTCCCATGAACTCCTTCTACCTTTCGAACACGAGCCTGAAAGATCTTCTCGCGAGGAACCTTGGTCGTGTACATGAAGAATTCTTATGAACTCCGATCATGTATTGCTCAGATCATATATCCCTACCTACGCCTTCTCCTTCCCCCCAACTTCCCTCAACCTAACATTCAACCCCCCCTTAGGCCTCGCCGTAATCCCCCCCTGAACCTCCGCCACATGCCCCTCCTCCTCAAACTCAATCTCAAACCTCCCCACCAAACTCGCCACCAAACAAGCAAACTCCGCCTTCGCAAACTGCATCCCAATACAACTCCTCGGCCCATGCAAAAAGGTCGTAATGGCATAGTTCGACTCCGCGCCGCCCGTGTTAGCAGTACCAGGCTGCATCCAGCGGTCGGGATTGAAGGAGCGGGCATCTGGACCCCAGAGGTGAGTCGAGGTGTTGATGGCCCAGGGGCAGATTACTACAGTTGTGCCGGCGGGGACGAAGTGGTTTTGGATGGTGGTGTCGTGGGCTGTTTCGCGGAGGGTGAGGGGGACGGGTGGGTAGATACGCATGGTTTCTTGTAATACGGCGTTTAGATATGGTAGTCTGTCGATCTCTGTCGAAGAAATTTGGCCACCTGGTTGTAATGCTTCGGGCAGCTCCGCGCGGATTTCTTGTCGTAGGCGTGTCTGCACATCGGGGTTTTGGCACAGGAGGTATACGGCCCATGACATGGCTGAGGCGGTGGTTTCGTGGCCAGCGGCGAGGAAGGTCATGAGTTGGTTCACGAGGTCTTCGTCGCTGAAACCACCGGACTCCATGGCTACGCTTAAGATGTCCATGCCTTTTGCTTCGCCGGATTGGAGCTTCTCGCGCTTGTCGTGGATGAGATCCCTAGCGACTTTCTTGATGGTGTCAACTGCGTTGCCGATTATGTCGTTGCGCGCCAACGGAAGATTCACGGCAACCCAGTGGGGTAGCAGGTTGAGTAATACCTGGACGAGTTGAGCACCACGAGCGCCGGCGAAGATCTTGCGGTAGGTTTCGTTGAGTTCGTTGGACGGGTTGCTAATGGCATCAAAGTCTTTGCCCATTCCTGCGACACCGATGATGTCGAGGGTGGCGCGGGAAGCCCAATGACCGATTTCGACTACGGATGACCCATCGGGGCTGTTCTTGATGGTTTCAGAAAGCTTGTCCGTAAATTCCTGTGATTTACTCCAGAAGATTGGATACAAGTCCTTGACGTGTCGGAAGTTGAACGCAGGCATGAGTGCCTTTCTTTGGCGCTGTGATCACACACAAGTCAGCAACCATCCTCTTGAAGTGCATCATCTATACACACCTTATGTTCATCCCCCTCCGCCAACAAAATCCCCACCCCAAGCAACCTACCCAACCCCTTCCTCACCCTACTTGGCTTAACAAACTCATAGTTCCTCTGCACCAGCACCTCCCCAATCGCCTTTGGATTCGTCACCAGAATCCGCGGCTCATTGAACAACCACCGATAATACAACACGCCATCATTCGGCACGTTGTCAATCCAATCTCTTTGCGGCTCACCAGTCGGATCCTTGTAGATGCGCTGAAAGTGGCCGAATAGGAAATGCGAGTCCGGCGGCGTAGGCAACCCCCTCAGCGGACTAAAAAACAATGGATAGATGACTATGCCCCACGCCAATTGGATGAATACGGCGATTGCGAAAAGCGCAATAGTGTTCTTGATGTAGCCCCGCGAGATAGCGACCGTAGGCGCATACCGCTGACTAAACCACGTAAATGCCGCTGCTGCCAACAGCAGGAAGCGTTTCGGTACCGCCATGATGGGCACCGAGTCGGAGTTGTTGCGAAAGGGATTGACTGTTTGGGTCGAACCTTTGCTTGGTGACTGGGGCGAAGCGGCGAATCAAGCTGTTTGGGTAATGGATGACGTAAGGTACTTTATCTGTGCCACAACGAAGGTTGTGAGCGGCGTGGTAATCTGCAGTCACTGCCAAGTCGAAACGTGCGTAGAATGTATGTCTTCAGAACAGAAGATTGAGGTTCAGCAGCGCATCTTAAAACATTCAGCTGCTCGCCCGCACATGCATCGTTTCAACTGCGCTTGCCTTCGTCCGCGAGGGTCCGTGCGTCAGAGTCGGCATGTTGTCTTCCCGAGAACGCCTCTCTTTTAGGGCACATTTGCGACTGGCTGGCGGGATTGTTGTCCCGCGTTAGCTGAGCGGCTTCAAGGCAACAGGAATGTGTGTATGGAGTGTTTTGTCGCACAATACATGAAAAAGCGGACGAGTTCTACGGAGTCATACTGCACAATGTTTGCAATGTGGGTGTGTGGGTGTGTTGCGATGAATGCGATTCGCTTTGCTGCGATACTACGTGGCCGAAAGCCCTAATTACGTTTCCTCCCTACACCACAAGCTTTGCTCATTTACGCTTCGTTGTCGTGTCCTCATTATCACTATGCCTTTCCACGGCTGTTGCAGTCGCCTCATCTGTTTGCTTGGTGTCCTTGTCTTCGGTCTCCTTGTCTCCACCCACCTTCGTCGCTTCCTGAGCATCTGCATCCTTCTTCACGTCCTCCTTCGATGGCGTCTTCGACAAGTGCCCTGCAGTCTGCTTCGACCAAAGCTCCGAGTACTTGCCAGCCTCGTTCTTCAGCAGCTCTTGATGCGTACCCCTCTCGATAATCTCACCCTTCTCTACGACCAAAATCTGGTCCGCATCAGCGATCGTGCTGAGGCGATGCGCGATGACGAAGGTTGTGCGGCCTTGGCTCAGCTTGCGGAATGCTTGCTGAATGAGCGCCTCGATGGAAGAGTCGATTGCCGAGGTGGCTTCGTCGAGCATGACGATCTTGGGGTTCTTGAGGAGTACACGGGCAATGGCTATACGTTGGAGTTGACCGCCAGACAGACGCACACCGCGTTCGCCGACCTTGGAGTTGTAGCCGTCGGGGAAACCAACGATGTCGTCGTGGATGGCAGCAGCGCTGCATGCATCTTCAATCTCCTTGTCCGTTGCGTCGAGTTTGGCGTAGCGAATATTTTGTCGGATGGTCTGGTTGAAAAGGACAGGGTCTTGCGGCACAAGACCGAGAGCATTCCGGAGACTGGCTTGCGTAACTGAACGTAGGTCTTGACCATCGATCATGATTGAACCGCCGGTGACGTCGTAGAAACGGAAGAGCAGTTTGAGCATTGTCGACTTGCCGCCTCCTGTCTCACCAACGAAGGCTATGGTCTGTCCGCCTTCGGCCTTCAGATTCACCCCCTTGATGATGGGCTTACGCTCGTCGTAGTGGAAGTCGACATCCTTAAACTCGACCTCACCCGCAGAAACCACAATGTCTCTAGCACCATCTTGGTCGGCAACTGTAGGCTTGGTATTGAGTAGCTGCAAAAGGCGCTCAGCATCAATGAGCGAGCTAGAGATGTGACGATAGCTGTATGAGAGGACATAGAGGGGCGATGTCATCGTGTGCCAGTACATGATCAGAGTAACAAGGTTACCAACTGGCTTGCGACCAGTGACAATCTGCGACATACCAAAGACGCAAGCACCAGCGAACCCGAAAGTTGTGAGAAGGTCTTGTGCTGCATGACCGCCCATGGACCGGAAGTAGTATGCGTATTGAGCGGAGATGGTGTTCATGATGTTCTCGGCGTAGCGCTTGTGTTCGAACACCAATCGATTGAAGTAAGCGACCGTCTGCCAGTTGTGAACTGTCTCGTTGACAGTAGAGCTCTCGGTACGCTGCTTCTCAACATAGTCTCTTCGCTTCGGCTGGGAGAGCGTCGTGAAGTAGAATCCGATGACAATGTATGCCGCGCCCATGAACAAGATGATAAACGCCATGTAAGCGTCGAATAAGTGCGTCACATAGTACATTGCTACGACGAGGTCCAGCAGGATTGGCGCAATATCGAAGAGAACCATCTCGATGAGCGAGTTTAGAGACGACGCCTGTTCAACAGCCTTCAGAACCTCCCCGGAGTCTTTCGAGGTATGGAAGTCCATAGATAGACCTAGAACATGCTCGTATGCGAGCAAGGTGATGCGCCGATACGCGGAGTTCGAGATGACTAGGTTTGCAATGCCGTCGATTATGCCGAGCCCAGCATAACTGTTGATGTATGAGAACAAGACCCAGAGGCCGATGTCCTTCCACGGCATGACGCCACTCTGAGTCTCATAAGAGTGCTGTAATTTGTTCGTGATGATACCAATTTGGCGAGGAGTAAGCAAGTTGAGAACGCGCTCTTGCAGCATATGAATGAGTCGTAGACCCAGGCAAGCCATGACTTTCCAGTCGTCTCTCGGGAATAGGTAAGGCAAGAACACGGCGAAACCCTTAAGATATCCGAACCAGCCACCTTCCTCTTCGAGACGCTTTGCCTGCTGCTCTTTGATGTCTTTGTCGTCGTCCTTTGGCGGTGCCTCTTCGTCATCGCTCGATGTTCCCGTAGGAATGGTACCATATCCGGCGTTGCCGTTGGGCGTCGATGAGCCATTCGCTTGCTTTCCTAGCAGAGACTGGCGTTCCTCGTCCGTGCTAACCTGCGCCTGCTTGGTGACCAGAATGACAAAGGCATCAAGTAGTAGTATGAGCGAAGCCAACGCCCTGACGCAGTTAATCACAAAAGGCGCATTCTTCTGCCTATTCTTCTCCGGAATGGAAAATGCTGTTATTAGGCATGTTGTAGTCTCGAAAGCGAATTGCAGGACAAATGCGCCAAAGTAGGCGTGCCACCGTAATGCCTTACTCGACCAGAGTATATATGCGAGCGGACTCCAGACCAGTATCGATCCCAAGCAGCGGATTGCTGCAGGTTGTGGTGCCTCATAGTCCCAGTCGCCCATTGATCGGCTGAAGTAGTAAAGTACCTCTGTGATGTATGCGACCAGTATCGTGAGCATGGCGATTAGTATGCTCCGCCGCCTCTTGGCTGATACTAATCGTGGTTTTTGTAGTATGCACAAACTGAATGCGCAGGCTCCCATGTAGTAGAAGCCGACTGTGGGCGCATGCATGTAATTGAGGAGGGCCATGGCCGGGTAAAGCGGTGTCGCAGGTTCTGGCTGATCCATGGTCGTGGTCGTGATCGTGAGCTCGTTCTTCGTTGATGTTCCTGTTCTCGTAACGTCTGGCCTGGAGACTTATGGCTGCGCACAGATACACGGTCTGTGCAAGGTCGTGGGAGGCGACTTTATCGTCTCACACACGGTTGTTGGAGGCCTGTGATTAGGTCGCACACCAGGTCTCGAACTGGCAAGGGGAGGCCGCCGAGAGGAGGGTGCTTGGTGGTGTGCGAACCCGGCCGCTGCGAAGAAGCAGAGGCTGCAGCCCCAAGCTTTTGATTTGGTGAGGTGGTCTTCAGCCGCACCGCCACGACGCTTTTCTCCGCTTAAGAATATCCGGCGGGCTCAGCCAGAAGGGTTCGAATATGTGTATGCTGTAGTGATGGCAGGGTTGTCTTCGCTTAAGGCCTGGGTTTCGAACAGCCCGCGACGCGTACTTTGCGACAGCCTTCAGAGTTATACGATTGCGCGGCGCAAACTTCCGCGCAGTCGACTGTCACGCGCGCTTGATGATTTTGGCGGTCTGTTGATGGACGCGCGATGTTTGGTTGTCGCGCTTTGCGCATTGTCCGAAGTGAAGAAGCTGCGCGCCCTTGTTAGCCTAGTCGGTGTGGCTAGTGCCCGCTGCTAGGTCTCCTGCAATCACCATGCAGTCCACTCACCGCCGTCTCCAGCTATCTGCTCTCTGCGACGTACAGCGTACGGCGTCACTCCGGTGCCGCTGCTGCTGCTGAAGAAGCGACAAAGATATATATAGAGCGTTGCATTTTCCAAGAGGGTCGCCGGTGAGGCCGCACACCCCCAGATTTCTCTAGAGCCGTCATCAAGCGGCGAGACCCCGCTCTAGGCAGAAGCAAGCACCCAACAGCCATAGCGGCAGAGCGTCGGTCGGCGCTGCAGGCGGCAAAAGAGATTTGGGAAAATGGTTCACGGCTGATAGCGGGGTTGGACATGATGGACGATGCGGCTCCTTGCAGGTGTCACATCTGCAAGATGCGAGTTCCTTCTGCAACGGATTGGGTAAGCGAGGCTGCAGTTCCTCAGGTACCGTGCATGCACTCAGTAGATCCGCAATGCACGACACGTTGACTTGGATACCATCAACGGCATCCACTCTTAGCGTCTGATCTAGCTTTCTTATCGTACAAGCACACCGCCCAGTCCTCCAGCAGCCTCGCTAGTCATCACGAAGAGCCTCACTAGTGACTAGCAAGAGCTTCACGCCGTTGGTCTGGGAGAATACTGTCCCGAGCTTTCGTCGCCACGTCACGACTACGACACCGCGTTTGATATAGCAAACTGACTGTTCTCAGCGCCTAACAGCATTGCTGGTACTTCCGGTTCACCGAGCATATCCAGAGCATGGTACTCGAAGTACGGTCCAGATGTCAAGCACGACTTTGTCAGTACCAGGGTAGCATCGCGAAGCCATCGATTATGCAATGTGGCACGACATCCAACAGATCTAGATCCACTGCGAGATCGGCCCGCAGGATCCGCACGTTCGCATGGCAAAGATGGGGCCATCCAACGACCACGACCATCCAACATCGACCTGGTACAGGGTCTTTTCGTGGTCGGACCACACCCCACCCAACACATATACAAAGACTCCAAAGAAACTCCACTATCTCATCGCAGCGACGCCTACTATTCGATTTCATTTTCCATACGCCTATTGGTTAGCTTGCGGAAGCTGTGAGTGGCTCATCACTTCGAGACATTTAAGTACACCACAAACCACTGCAAAGTCACAAAACCTCACCTACAGATCAAAGACACCAGATCCAGATTTCACTACGTACATCCAACAATATCATCCCCCTCTTATGCCTTGCAACGACTACGATTACCCCATCCAGTAACCCGAACCCCAACTCCCATCCCCACCGTTTGTCACCATCTCCCCAATGCACCTGCCGCCGTACTACCAACGCACGTAGCTCCCCTCGATCCCTGGATGTGAATGCTACGCAACACTCCATGACTCCAATACCACTTGTGACAGATGTGACATGTCATACGTACTATAAAGAACTTATTCCCGCTTCACACAATCAACAATGGTGGTCCTTCGTTCGCCTCCTGCTTCTTGTTCGCTTTGCTACCCGCTTTCGTCGTATATCTTGCGGTCTTCTCTTCACATAGCGGGTCGTAAGTATTGTATATAGCTTGGTGTTGGTTGCGGCGATTGTCTTCTTCCTGCTCTTTGCACCTATACTTGTACATACACTCCCATCTTCCTCGGTCTTTACCCGTCTATCCCACAGCAAACCCAAGGCCTCGAACAGCCCCAGTCTCAGTCAGTGAATACTCCTTCGAAACGAGCAATATTTACCCCTCGATTCCTTGGATCTCGCCACCCATAATCCTCGGTCACCCTCGTTTGAACTTGCTCGCCCCGGGTTCGAAATTCAAGTCTGTTTGGATTTCTACAGCTCTGGAGCCTGGATCTCGCGTCATTATACCCCGCGTTAGTCCGAGCGTAAAGCACCGACTTCTATTAGATTGATCAGAGGGGCGCCTTCTTACATCCAATTTTACAGTCCACAACTATTGCAATCAATACCCTCCTGAATCAATCACCTTCCTGCGGATCTGGATCAGAGACAACGGTCCAAGCGGCAAGTCATCGAAAGTCTCAGGCGACTACTGAGACCCTTTATCAGTCTCAAATCTTCAAAGTATAACTCTCCCACCATCTACTTTTCTTCCAGCGTCCACTCCAGCGTTTTCAGAGTACTGCGATCCAATTTTCAGTACACTCATCCTCCGCAAGGACAAGGCAATTAAACAACATGAGCGACGCAGCACCCGACCCAACCCCACCAGAGCAAGGCTCACCACGTGGCGCCATGGATCCTCCAACGACACCAGGTCCAGGTCCGGGCCGCCACGCTAGGGCTCCAACTGCAACAACACCCGCACCCGCACTCGCACCTTCACTCTCACCGTCCACACCAGGCCGACGTAACCGCCCGCTGCTCTCAAACACGCCGCGTTCATCTAGCAGTCCGTTCCCCACTCGCGCGCCCCGCACCCCAGGAGGATCATTGTCAATCCAGCCCTGCACTGTCGACGAGACGCTGTATAGCAGGGTGACTGTACACACGGCCAAGTGTACCGAGTGCGATCAGCGTAACATGGATACTATGCGACGCTGCCCTGGCTGCACATTCCAGGTCTGCCAGCCGTGCTATGAGAAGCGGCTCAAGAACAACAAAGGTCTTCTCCATGGCAACATGGCGACTCCAGGTGCGGCCGGAACCGGGCTTGGTACTACTCCTGCAGGTAGAACAGTGCGGCGTAGGCCAGTGGCGAGCAGCACACCCGTACGTGAGAGCGAAGAGAAGAAGGAAGATGGGGTCAAGGAAGAGGAGGAAGATGTCGATCCCGCGCCGAAGGAGGCTGTCTCGTCTACACAGAAGTCGTCAGCAAAGAAGCGTGCGATCAGGAAGAAGCCTGTTGTACTTGACAGTGAGGTGGACGAGCTCTCTTCCGAAGACGACTTCGAGCTAGACGATCACTCACCTACACCCAGCAAGAAGCGCCGTACTGAACTCACCTTCGCCGAGAGCGCCCTTGCTACCGCTACCCGGACACCGCCTGCCACACGCGCAACTCGACGATCAACTACCGCTCCGACTTATCACGATCCGCCGTCCCCGCACTCTGACCCGGTCGACGGCGCTGTGCGCAGCGGTGGTAGGTCAAGTGGCTACCTAGGTGGCGAGTACAAGGGCGACGAGGGCCTCTATGACGTTGCCATCGGACCATACGATGAGCCATTGTTGAGTCGCCAGAATCCTGTCCTGTCGAACCCTGCCTCGAGGATTCCCGATATCATTAAGCGAGGTGGTGTACCGAGGCCACAGGGTGAGACGTACAAGTACATCCAGAAGCATCTCCGAGACAAGATGCAATCAGACCAAACAGGCGAAACAGCTCAAGAAGAGACTGTGGCCTCCTTGGCTGACCAGAGCGTAAGTAAGGAGTATCGAGCGGTAATCAACAATGAGAAAGCTGACACAACCAAGAAGGCTGACCAGGAAGCTAAGGAGTGCACTGTTGGAGCTTTCGTAGAGCAGATGGCAGCAAAGTACCTGAACGCCGAGACCATGGACGGAGACGATAACAAGGCCCTCTTCAACGCGATGGAGAGCGCCGCGTTGGTCTGGGGCAAGAAGACGTTCAAGAAGCTGGATCCGGAGAAGCAGCACGCGGTGCAGCCGGGCTTGAAGTTGCGTCTTGATTGTATCGACGAGAAGTTTCGGGAGGAGTTGGCGAAGTTGATGGACGAGCGCGCTGGTGGTATGCTGGCGGAGTTGGGAGTGAGTGACGAGAAGCCTGCGGCTGGTCCTCCTGACTTGCTGTTCAAGCCTGTCTAGAGTAGACGGTGGAGTTGATGGCGTTGTATCGGTCCGAGCGATGATTTTCTTGGCCTCCTGTTACATTGCTAGACCTTTCAGCGATAGACGGATATGTCGTGACCTTTGTCGGTCCATTCACATGGGTAACGAGTCAGCATTGGTTGGCTTTCACCAGCTTGGTATTTACCTAGGATAGCGTAGTCCTATCGTAGGAGCATGTTTCTAGAAACCGATTGCATCAAATGAGTAATGAAGAGAAACGTGCCGCGTCTAATGAGATTGCCAGACCAACTCTTGAGAGACATGAACGAAAGAAGACGATGCAGACATCTGATGCAGACATGATTATGCTACTTGAGAACACGTACGTAAACGACCTCCTTTCGAGGCAGAAGAACAACAGAAGGAAAAGATTATGGGTATCCGTAATGGCGCTGATGCAATGCAGAACAAGACAAGCAATGAAAAGGTACAAGTAGCCTCAGCTGAGGCACTCGCACTGACCGAAGGTGCCGCCGACCTCGGCCTGCTGTGTGGGTGTCTATCGCTGACCGAACTGAATCGTCAGCTTTCCCTTGGCTGGCTTGATCTGCTCCAGCTCGTCCTCGCCCTGGTTGCCCATGGCGTTCTCGAGCCATGTTGTTTCGTCGTCATCGTCGTTACCGGCGGAGGATGGGCGCTGGCTTCGTATCGACTTGAAACGCTCATTGAAAAGATGTGCGTATTCGTCGTTCTTGGACGGCTGTTCGGTGACTTCAGGGAGGGCGCTCGGTTGAGAGACGGGGATCAGTTGACTGTACGGGGTCAGCGTCATGTCTTACTGAAGATGGGGAGCCTCCAAGAGACTGTGAGTCCCTTTATACGGAAGGTAGGGGTCTCTTTGCGGCAAGGTACAGTCTCTTCTGTGGGAAGGAACACCCATACTATGAGGAAGGCAGAACTCACTCGTTTGTCTCCGCGCAAATTCGCTCCAAGTTCTCTCGCTGACGTCGTAGCTCCTCCGGGTCTGGCTGAGGCGCGTTGTGGGTGCTGCTGGCGGTACCATAGTTCGGCTGGTACTGGTCTCCGAGCAGATGCGAGGCGTCCGAGTTCTGTGAGAGAGAGCGTCAGTACTCGTATAGCGCAATTCGACATCAACGAGGACTTACATCAGACTCGGAAGTCCTTCGCCCTCCCAGGCACGACGAGCAGATACCCATCGAATGCGCGCGACGGTGGCTGGCGGAAGCGGTGGAGCTGTGTACGCGCTAGTGTGAGCCGAGGTCTATGGTCTATACGGAAACGACGGGAAGGTGACGAGCGACTACACGGAGCATGCTGTATGGCCCGTAGAGGGGAAGCTGGCGCAGTTGTCAAAGTTCACGAGCGATGCTTCCTTGAGTTGTGATGATCGGCGCCGGCAATCTCCGGGGTCTTGGCGGGCAAGGAGCCGCATTCGTCACCCTTCCACCTTTAACTTTCGCTACCTCGCCTCGTTTGTTGGCTTGCAGCTTCCATCCCATCTCCATGAGACTGCTTGCAGCTCGATGCTTGCTCTCTTCTCTGTAGCAAGCACTCTGCTCCTTTTCGGCAACCTGTCGTCTCTCACACATGATGCTATCCATCAACGGTTATCCTCACGCATCGACACATACACAACATAATGTCGTTTTATACACACATAGTAACTGTGTTGGCCAACCGAGTCGCATCACGAAGATGACCTCTGGCCTAGAGCGTCGCATCGCCCATGAAGTGCTGACTTTGTGAAATTCAACCGACAAAGACGACCGCAAGCGCAGCTACGACCCTATCCGTCTCCTGTGTCTTGCAACAAAAGAATACCCGCCTCTTTCCAATCCGAATCGCTTGTGCAGCCGTCTCAAAGAGCTTGCCTTCTTCAGATGACCAATTTTCCCTACTTGATTCCCTGAGCACATTCCTCCCCGCTTTGTTTCTTGAGCACAATGCGCTGCTCATTGTGGACTGGAGACTAGTGTAGACGGATGCTACCCATGGTCCCTCACAGATCGGCCGGAATACCCTGTAAAGCGCTCTAAGAATTTCGCCGTCGATGGGCGTTCGGTAATGAATGAGTGTCATCGTCGCGCGGGCGCATTGTTCTCAGCTCTGTGGGTGGTTGGAGTCTTGGGTCCCCCGTCGCGTTCGCAGTCGTTGCTGATGGCTGTCGGGGCTGATCTCGTGGCCGCGTCGCCTCCCCGGTAGTCTGCGTAGTTGCTGGTGGTGGCGCTGTCGAGCTAGCGTCTTTGGCACCTGGACGCGTGGTGGGAGGTGGGACGCGGCCATTCGGTGCTGTCTGAGCCCTAGGCGGACGGGCATCTGCGTCCTTGTCATTGTCGGATGGCTTCCGCTTGTGTATGGCATCGAGAGCTACGAGACCAGCTTTCATGTTTCTGTCCAAGGAGTCGTCCGCACTTCGCAGCTCTTTCAACGCACCGATGTCCAAGCCAATTCTTGTTGGAATGTCATCGATGTCTGCCGCGCTCGATCCAGGAGATGCCGTGAGGAAATCACTGAGGCATTGCAGCCGGTAGTAATCTCTAAGTCTCAGCCGGCCCCAGTAGTAAGGCTTTCGTGGAAAGGTGACTTTCACCAACTCACCCACGAAGACATGACTTATGTTCAAGAGGTATCTTGATCCTGGTGCTCGCCGCACCTTCAGCTGTTGATGCGGACTACCATTTCCTTGAAACCCGTACAAATCGTCTTCATTGGCCATCCCCAGGTACTTTGCGTGCTCCAACTTCGGTATCCAATCCGCTCGATTCAATCCCCGCCCTCCGAAGCTGTGCGCAACATAACCAATGCCATAATCACAGTCGACTCGTTTAAAGATGAAAGGCACATTTTGCTTCAAGTTGATCAAACCTTGTGGAGACGGTGTGGAATACTTCCCAACTATCGCTTGTGAGTCGGATGAGAAGTCACAGAGTCGAACAGAAACAACGTCGCTGGTGAAATACTCCTTCGTCAAGTCCGTGTAGGACCCACGGGTCTGTCCGTACTCGGGTCTGTAGATGGTTACATCTCCTGTGCGGTTACTGATGATGGTGTAGCCCGTACTGCGAGTTGGAGGAGCAGGAGGAAGAGGAGGAGGAGAAGCAAGTGGTGATGGTGGTGGTGGCAGCGGTGCTGGCGCGCGCTGAGGACCAGGAGAGCGAGATCGTGACGTGCGCCCATTTCGCCTTTGACCACGCTCATCACTATAAGCTCGATTGGGCCTTCTTTCGTTTTGGTCTCGCCGCCGACTGGGGGATCTTCGGTCTCGTTGCCCGCCGCGTGGTCGGTCCCTGGAGTAGTCTCGATCCCGACTTCGACGACGGGGGCGTGGAGGAGATAGTGATCGACCTCGAGGTTGAGGTTGAGGTTGAGGTCGACAACGGGGCTCTTCTCCTTCGCCATAGTCGAGAGGCGGGTCGCCTACCCTATGCCGATCTCTTCGCTCTTCACGCTCGTAGCGATCGCGATCATAGTCCTGTGCCGACACCTCCTCAACATCTGAATCATACGGTGATACAATTTCGGCTCTGTGCCGCGGAGGTCTCTGGGCGTGGGTCTCTGAAGGTGGCCCCGTGAGCTCGTCCTTGCTAGGCATGATGAGATCTAGGGGATCCGCTTGACAAACAGGGTTGAGTATGGTTGAGCGAATGGAGTGGTAATGAGAGTGATTCCATGGCTGCAGCCCCTGAAGTAGAGGCAGGCATTACATCTGTGGTAACCTGAGTGAATCTTGAGGCAATTGCGCCTGCTCTTCGCTAGGTCCAGGTACGTGCTCAGTGCTGTGCATCACGAAAGCGGTCTAGTCTTGTGATCTCGATGACAGGACTATGCAACGGGGAGAACTCGTAAGTGTGAATGACCTTAGGAGAATGAAAGAAAAACGGGAGATCCAGTTGAACATGAAAGAAAACGCAATCTTTGTTGTAGGCGTACGACGTTTGCCTAATGTGGATATAGGTGGAGCGATAAAGCTCCTTTGTTCGCACTTATATATCGCGTCTACACGCCATCATTTACTTCATTACCGCTCAACATGGACCATCATTACCTCTTGTATCCCGATTATGATCCCAATTTTCACGCAAATCAATTAGACCAGATCAACCGTCAATGGACGAGGCACGATAGAAATAGACTGAGATGTACTACTGGGCCAGCATACTTCCTCAGTGCCCAGGATGGGCGAGAACCGCTTGATACGTTGGTCCTATCCGAGTCACTAGCTGAGAAGATACAAAACGCTTTATGTATCGCCCACTCGTACTGGACTATCCCGGAGAAGGTTGCTGAGGAAGAGAGGGTCCGTTTCGAAAACGAAGCAAGGGCTGAGGCCTGGCAGGAGGAGCTGGAACATTTAATCAAGATCACAAAGAAAAAGCTTCAAAAAACAGGTCGAGCAGCTCGCGACGAAAGGAAATGGTTGCGCGAGCTTTTAAGAGAGCGGAAGAAGTGTCAGAAATCGCTAAAGTATTATCAATATGTTCGTCAAGAACATGAAGACTTGGTGAAGTTGGGAAAGGCGAGATGGATAAACGCTTGGTTTGAAGTACAACAGGAGCTCGATCGCCTATGGGTGCATGATGGTCAGATCAAGAGATACTATCCTGAACAACCACCCGGGCGGCATGGTTCAAGGCCAAGACCCCGAGAGCCGCACGGCCGCTCGAGATCCCAGGAAAGAAGACATCGAAGCTCATACCGCGAACAGAGGCGGGAGGCTAGATCGCGAAGTACCAATCATGCCCAATACTTTCACAATGCGTCTCGGTCGAGGTCTCGTTCTCGGTCGCGAAGACGAGATAGTAGGTCCAGGCACCGTGGGCAAGAGCCTCAGACGCGTAGACATCGAAGCCAGGATCGATCAAATGAGCGAAGCCGTGGACAATCTCGCTATGGCTCTCAGTCTCGTTCAGGGTCACGAAGGCATGACCATAGACAACACCATGACCGGGCTTCAGAGCATCGCAATGCTGGTCTTAGGAATCGTCCGCCTTCGCCAGCTTTATCTTATTCTCATTCTCAGAGTGATCCGGAACTGTGGCGCATGGCGGAACTCATTTGCGATACGAGCGAAACACCTCCAGCACATCTAGAGATCACAGCAAAACCATCGTGTGACTGGACGAGACCAGACGGATATCGAGCTGAAGCTAGCCGTATAGCTGAACGTGACGTTATGCCATCAGCAATTGTGGCGGATGACGACGAGCTCTCATTTATCGATGTAAGCACCGATGACAGCATGGAAGCAATGGCAGAACAAAATATTACACACTCTACACCAATATCGCGACAGACTTGGGACTTCAAAGACGGCCTGTATCGATTGGCGTTAGAATACGACAAGAGAGACACGCTGTCTCCATCGCCGACCAATCCATCCGAAAATCTGTCCTATCGCCCCAGCGGCATTAAGCGGAAGCGGGAAGACCATGAACTGAGTGAAAGGAAGTCTCGGAAAGTAGTCGAGTCTCGCAACGGTGTGAGTGAAACCTCGATACGTAAAGACTCAGCTATCGAGTGGCCCCAGGAAGAAACGCGTGTGCAGGGAGTCGCTGGAAGAACTCCAGAATCCATGAGAATGTCGATACGTGACTTCTTCAAGCCGCACCAAAGTCGTGGCGAGAGTTTGTTTTAGAATTTAGATAAACGATTGGATGCGAATTGTAGTCTGACCCCAGAGAGGTCTTTTTTGTTTTCATGCGTGTTTGGGGCGCGGCCCAGTAGATGCGATCACGAGAGGGAGGATGTGACGACTCGGACGCCAAGTAATTGTGCAGACAATCAATTTGATCATATTGGCGCGACTGTGAGCTCATTCCGACTTCCGCTGCTTCAGTCGCTTTCTGAATTGGGTCCATGTTGGTGCAGTTGTAGCGCGTTGGAGTTGGGACGATTCTAAGGTTAGATTGTTATGATGTTTAAGTGGCTCGGAACGCGTGCCGGCTCAACCTTGGAATCCGCGGCCCGGCACTGTAATTTCTTGGCGTCCACGGGTCCCTTCTCAAGGGTCTGATCTTCACGCCACCATAGAGTAGCCAGACACTTCTCACAGTTCAATGCAAGCGCATGAGCAGAAGCATGACTTTCGCCAGGATAAGCGTTCGAACTAACAGCAAATCAGCTCAGAGAGGGGTGGTAAGTAGATTGTCCTTGGTGGCACTCGCGTCTAGACGTTCACTTTCATCTACGCTTGCACGGCCTTCTCAGGATAGAGTGTAGGTCAGCGACCAAAAGCGGGAGTAGACAACGATCTCCCCGAAACTCTTCAGAAGCGAGGAAGGCCAGACTGCCGATCTGGCGTAGCGAGCTCAGACCCTCAGAGGTAGGTCTATCACCACTCGAGGGCTTTCGACGTGCCGCGATGAGACAAAAGTCTATGAGGAAGAGCAAGACACAGTACAATCTGCACTCACGCGGAGACGCGCCCCGAACCAACGTACAGGATCGCGACCACCATGGCTACCGCCAGTATAGTACCCCAGCCAGCGAGGTTAATGTGGGAGACCAGACTAATAGCCATGGTTGCAAGGGTGAAGAGCACAGATCTCAACGAGACCAGCATCATCGAACCGCATCGTATCCACGTAGGTCTGCTGAAGCATCAAGGTGGCATAGCTGTGGAAGGAGGGGGGACGTCGAGACGGGTAGTGATGATCGATTGAGCGATCGAGGAGCCAAACTGTTTAGAGGTAGGCCAGATAGAGAGATTTTTCAAGGACGCTCAAATGCGTCGTATGCAAACGAACGTCAGCGAGACCTCATGAAGCGTGCGGCAGCCGAAGCGAAAGAGCGTGTGCGTAGGAGTCGACCTCTGGGATGCGAAAGACGAACAGCGATGGAGATAACGAGGAAGGGGCCGCGGCGACCATGATGAGGGTACTGATTTGCGGTCAGTTGGGACGTAATGACTTACGCGTGCCGTTCGAGATGGGGCGGTGATAGTATAATTGTGTCCTGAACTGACACTTTGGCACGACGATGAGCATAGTTGTCATCTTCGCGTATGCTGTGCTGTCGAGCAGGATTCGTGACGTTGCGCCTCGTTGCTCACGAAAGACCAAGCGAGGGTCAGAGCGTTGGAGACGCGCCGAGCGCTAGCCCGGCAACGCTGCTCAGTCAGCAACCGTGGAAGTGTGGCCTGTCACCACTCAACCACATCAACATTTCCATCATCTCGTCAATCAGGATCCGATACGTCATATGGGAAGAGCTTCATTGGTATCATGGGCGAGGCTCAGTACGTGTCACTGGCGACTAGTACAGCTGCCATACTTGATAGTCAAGTCGCTCTCTTCTGAGGCCTATTCGTAGTCTTACTGGTGGGAAGAAGAGGCTGGACTGTTTCTTCCCCGGGGATTAGATAAGACACTCAATCTCAATAGCTCTCTCTATAGCTCATCCTTTTCTCCCTTCCACCCGTCGCCCACTCCTCGCATCCATTGTACGCCAACCAACTTCAACCCCTTCTTCTCCGCCAACTGCTCCGCTCGGAAACTTCTCCTTTCAACAAACTCCTCTCCGCCAACATCCGCTTTCTCCAAAGCTTCTCCTGCCTTCTCCTCAAAGAGCAGGAAAAGATACCGGTGGGGCCCACTCTCATCCTTCGGTCCAGGTGCCAGATACTGCGTGAGCGTCTTTCCTCTCGCGGTGATGTCTTCTGGAGAGGTGGCCGCTGACGGAGAGGGAATAGAGGTAACAACCCAGTGGCGCCAGTAACCAAATTTTGGATCGTCTGGTGTAGGCGCATCGGGGTCGATCATCATGAATGTGTAGCTCGTGGCGGAAGATGTCGGTGGAGAGGAGATAGAGATAACGGGTTGCTCCTTGACCTGGCTTACGCGAGCGAGACTCCCATATTCTGGAGCAAGTCCCGAGGAAAACTTGACACTGAGGTCCAGAGCTGGGGTGAAAGACTCTGGGATGATGGCAGAGGGAAGTAGGTTGGCGCTTTTCAGCGATTCGACGACAGCGTTTGCAGCCATTTTGGTCATTGAAACTGCCAGAAGACGGATGTTGTGGAATGTAAGAAGATGGTCGGGGTCGATCTAAGAGTCTATGCGCCGATATAGGTAGTTTTGTTGCGTGGCCGTGATGGTCAAGCTCAATTGGTGGATAAACCTAGCTCTCGCCTGGTTCTCCGCTTGAGGCTCCGCTCTAGCCCTTGGCGACCTCATAGAGCATAGATTCGGGGTGTAATAGACGATAGCGAAGCCGTGCGACATCAACAAGGCCGTTGACGTCCCGAAGCACGTGAATGGTTATCTAGCCTTACGCGTATTCTGACACGCTGTTGTCGACGTGTCTGGCGTTCTACCCAAGGTCGAACTCTTGAACCTGAGGTCTCAAAGCTTCGAATGAAGGTATGGAGGTATTCAGTCGCAGCCGCGCTTCATGGACGCTGCAAAACAAGTATTGTGGTCTCCATTCTCTTGTCATGCACGGGCTGAATGCGAATGCAACTGCCCAGTCATTTCACAGAACTAATGCATCGGGGTGTAGCGTATAGAAACATTGAAATGTGAAACCAGACACTATAGAGTCTTTGCAGAGATGAGCCAAAACTCATTGCTAATGACATCGGGAGTGTTGGTACGTTGAGCTTATGAGGATCGCGGGGTTCAGAGGCACGGCCAATGTGCAGTATCGATAACAAAAGGTGCTAGGTCAATCAAGGTTTAGTCCAGCTTTCCCCTTCCGCCGATCGCACGCGCTCATCCCTCATGAGACCTGAGCTGCTATCTAATCCATCACGACGCCTAGCTGCAGCCTCTCAGCAGAAGGTGCGAGGAAACTTGATGCCACCAGACAGTTTCTACAGAGCCGGCCGGCGTCACGCCCTGGACGCGCTTCCGTTATCGGTACAGCATGGGCCGCGACAGCGTGCACGACGGGACAACTCCAGGCTAACGGCGCGTCTGCGCTGACCTCGGGAGTCAATCGTTAAGCTCTTCAATTCATATGAGACTACTTTTACTCGTGCAGGGTGTTATCTACCCATGTAATCAGTCCCCTATACATCGACACGTCGACTTCTTGTCGCAATTGCTGCATTGCGTCTGGTTTTCCATCGGCTCTCTACTTCGATCATAGCAGCTTCTTCACGGGAAGGTAGTGGCTAACAATGGTAGTCCAACGAGCGAGCACACCCAAACACTCCAAAGCCTGTACATCTGCCGATCGAACTTCTGATCCTTCAAACCAGCCATAGCAGTACCGACCAGAAGCGCACCAACAGCAACCGAGATAACCACAACCTCCCAACGAGCACACAGAAAGATCAACGGTGCGTACACCGACCAAAAAGCGACGGTTGCCGCAACAGTCCATAGTGCGTACTGTCTGCCCAGCGCGATCACAATGGTGTGGCGGCCGCGAGCTCGATCGCCCGCTTCGTCGCGGAACTCCTGAACTTGACAGGTCATGCCGACAATGCCAAAGGTGAATAGAAGAGTCCATTGCCAGGCTGTGCGGCTCACTGGGGTATCTGAGCCGAGTGCAATACTGAGAGCACCGCTGAAAAGGCACGTGAAGCCTGCGCCATAAAAGACATTGCGCACGATGCCACTGTAATCGCTGACACCCCAGTCGTTGTATGCAGTGATCAGGATGACCCACGCGATGTACATTGGTAATACGTCCATATAGAAGCTGACACATCCAGTTACCAGATGCGCAGCAAGTAGAAGATGATTGGTCTGCGTAGTGGTGATTCTTCCTGCCGGAAGCGGACGCCAGGGTTTGTTGATGGCATCCTCTTCGACTGACGTCGCGCTCCGTTGATTCTGAACGTTGAATTGCAAAGCCATAAGCCAAAGCCACAGAAAAATCCGAGGAATGCTCTGTAACACAGCAAGCGTGCCTTGCGGTGGGAGGTTCAGAGACGGCCCGGAGAGAGCAGTGAGTACTCCGAAGAACGTGCCGGGAATGACCGTGTCTATTATCGTATCGTTGGTGAAGAGGAGTAGCGTGTGGAAGTGGTAGAGGGTGTCATGGACTACTCTTCTAAGATCTTTGACGCCAGATACGAAGTGACGATCGAAAGACGCTGCAGACTTTGGGAAGGCGTACTTGTCTCCGGCGCTCTCCATGCGCTTCATGGTAGACATTGTAGTTCGTGATGTGGGGTTTGGTTCTGCTTGAGATTTTAGTGTAGGGATACAAGGGAGATTGTTCGTGTCTTGTCATTGTGCATTCCTTCACGATTATATATAGCTGATACAGAATATGGCCCGCATTTTGTATGCACCAAAATGCAGTGTCACGAAGAGGAGTCTCTAGCATAAGCCTGGTCGCGACCACCGACTATGATGGCAGCTCGCCTCATGAGAATAGCTCAGCTTGTGGCGTCAAGCCACGTCCGCATGCAGCATAAGCGTCTGCCGTCTGCCCAATCGCACCATGTCTACCTACATAAGGTTGCTTTTCACCGTCCATGGAGCGAGCTGATTTCGCTTTCGACCGAGTACTTTCAGACCACGTTGGGATGCTCATACTAGCCTCGTAGTGTACTGTGGGGCCTGGTGCATGTTGCATCAGGCAAGCGATCAAGGGCACCTGAGGCTGCGCAATGGCCGATTGAGGCGCATACATGAAGCTGAGCGCCTGCGCGTCCGTAGTTTGAACTTGAACATGAAATAGCGAGTTTGAGACATGACTGCGATCAATTTTGGATGCCTGGAGTACGCCAGAGACACATTCAGCGAAAGATAGCGTTGATTGACGCGGAAATCGCGAGCTTCCAACTAGTGGCTCCACATAACTGAGAGCATAGTACATGCAATACATCACATCCTCAACTCGATTCGCTGCAGTGATTGACGGTTCGTGTGCATGTTCTGTACTTTTTCAAGCTCAATCTGCAAGGCGCAAGCTGCCGTCATCAATATGTGGGCTTCTCGATGACGTTAGGTCCTGTTTTGTCGCAAGCTCTTCCTGACGATCATTGATCGCTAGCCACGTCGTTTGTGTTTTTCTTTTTTGCGGTCTCTTGGTCCACTCGAAACACCGATAGTACTCCGGGTAGTAGGATGAATCACTTGCTCGTCCTAATCAGGCCTTCTTATCGCGTTTCGGGCTGCGCGTACGAGTACAGCGAATGATGGTGTATGACCATTGGCTACCGCTGCCAGACTGGCTTGGTAGAATTGCATCCATGGTGGCCGATGAGGATTGAGGTCTCGATAACGTTGTGGGAGGGAGAGAGAGCGACAATAAGCTACTTGAAAGGAAACTAAGGAAAAGTGCTATCGCGTAGACGACAGCCGGTGATATCCGACTTCGAAGAGATTATGGCGTATATCAAACGTAGGTCGTGAGTGCAACGTCGTTACACCTCAGCTGCGCCTCCGTCAATAAGAGTCCCTCATAACCCGTTTCCTGTAGCGGGCGATATGATTCAGGCCATCTTTTGTCGTCTATGTCCATGAAGAACATGGTGCCATGCGCACGGTATTTGCGATATCGCGCGGTTTCTTTTCAGTATCTTGGTGGTTGTCTCCTTCGCGGCGGCGCGCCAGGACTGTGGAATTCATGATGCCCAGGGATATATTGGCCGCGGCTGCTGACGCTCGTGTACCAGGTCATCGTTTTCCGGAGTGCAATATATCGTTCATTAACTCACGACTGGTGTTGGAGTTTGGTGTACATGACGGTATGTCGTGGGCGGCAGTCGCGAATCTCGTTGCCATGCACTCACCAAGGAGGAAGCTGCAAAGCCCCATGCGAGGCCTTGGCAATGCGGCACGGTCCTCAACCAATTGCAACGAGCCGCACCCGTTCCACCTGCCGTATCCTCTCGCTCACCCCACTCATTCCATCTCCATGTAAATCTTCCGTTCGGCTTGCATGCTTTCCTCTGATCATTCTCCAGGGTGCCTATCTCCACAATGACACGGCCACGTACAGGCAGTCCATTATGTGGCCCTGAAATCATTTCTTGGGATTGTGGTTGTGGCCAGCGGCTACGGATGTACCAAAGCGAAGGAAGCAAATCTACGAGTAGAATTCAGGCATCGTATAACCCATGCTAATGCAAGACCCGCAGCTTGCATGAGAGCAAACAGCCTAATCTCAGTGCATGCGAATCTTTCGCCTACTCACTCGTACGTAAACGTGCACCAAAGGTAGTATGTCGACTGTCAACGGGATAACCCGCCCTGCCGCTGATCTCACAATCTTCTATATCTCAAAGTACCATGAAACTCATTGTGGCGATAACATATGGCACCGTTGCCGCAACAGCGACGGTGTTGGCTCAAGACACATTCGAAGCACCAGATTTCAACGTCACCGAAGCCCTGATCAGGAATGGGGTCAACGTTTCGGCAGTGCCTGAACTGGTGGCCTTGGCTCATCAATCGTTGTTACGCAGCTGCTCCATTGCAGTAAGTTGTGTCGCTGTGCCTTGATCTAGCACAAGCTAATCTCTGCGATAGTGCGACTCGCTCAAAGTCGTTTTCGGTAAAGAAAAAGTTGTCCATGGTCAGAGTGCAGAATACTGGTCGAACCAACAAGCCGCCGTTGTGCCGTGTTGTACTTTCACTCCCAAGGCGTCTCTTGAGGTGTCATCATTGATATTGATATCTCGCCTTACCCAGTGCCCCTTTGCGGTGAAGAGTGGAGGACATGCAGCATATCCAGGTGCATCCAGTATCCATGGAGGTATTACAGTTGATCTGAAAGACTTCACTACGCGCGAGCTTTCTGCCGACAAGAATACTGTCGCTATTGGACCAGGTAACCGGTGGATAGATGCGTATCGTTACCTCACTCCGTACAACTTGACGATCGTCGGTGGCCGAGTAAGTCCAGCTCAGATCTTTGGACCACTTTCATGGAGTGTGCTAATACATCATGTAGGCTGCGCACGTCGGCGTTGGTGGTCTGACTTTAGGTGGAGGCATCAGCGACTTGACAAACGAATACGGTCTTGCCTGCGATAATGTCGCGTCCTACGAAGTCGTTACCGCGTCTGGCGTCATTGTCAACGCGTCTCCGAGCCTCTACCCCGATCTATACTGGGCCCTACGCGGTGGCGGAAACAACTTCGGCATTGTCACGACCTTCCACTATGAGACCATTGTACAACCACCCATGTGGGGTGGCATGCGTATCCACGACCCCAGCACCACTCCCGCATTGATCACTGCTTTTGGGAACGCCATCAATAATGCCGAGGAAGATACGAAGCTCGCACACGTAGTGTCATTTACAACATACGATACTTACCAGCTCGCATTTACCGAACTCGAATACCTTCTCCCAGTCGACCTCTCGAACCCTCCCGAAATCGCCAGGGAGTATCTCAGCATTCCATTCATGCAAGACAAGACGGGCAACAGTACCCTCGAAGATCTAACGCCACACCGAAGCGACGATATGCCATCTGGTTTCCGCACCTCGATGTGGTCTGCGTCATTCCAAATGAGCGCCGAGCTCATTCAAAAGATGACCGACAAATTCTTTGAGATGGCACCTGGTCTGCCTGCCGTCTCCGTGAACATTGCATTCCAAGCGTTCTCTAAGCCAGCGCTACAAGCGATGCAAAAGAAAGGTGGTAATGCCCTCGGTTTGTACCCTGAGAACGGCCCGTTCTTTCATGTCTTGGTGTATATGGCGTGGAACGAGTCTAGCGACGACACAACGATGCTAAAGGCTGCCCAGTCCTATATTGAGACGTCCAAGGGTATGGCTAGGGAGCTAGGTGTCGATAACGAGTACTACTACATGCCGTACAGTAGCGGATATGAGCCTGTGGTTTCTGGGTATGGAGAGGAGAACATGATGAGACTAAGGGCTATATCGCAAAGGTTTGACCCGATGCAAGTTTTCCAGAACCTGCAACCAGGTTACTTCAAGCTTGACGGGAAAGCACCGCTTGGTGCGAGTCTTTAGACAGCGCGCATGAAACAATCTGTGAATGCTCAATACTTCAAGGTTCTGCGGCGTTTGCATTTGTGTGGCTGAGGTTATTCGAGTGGCTAACAAGGGTGAGGCCTCCAACGTCGGCAGAAGACCTTCATCCCTTACAAAAAAATTAGAATATGCGCCTGCCCCTGTGCGCTAGATGTTATGCACGAGCGTAACCGAAGCATTCAACTTCGACTATGTACGAGAACCTGATTTCAATGTGAATTGAAAGTTTCGTGGAGAACATGCGGACAGGCCAGCCCGCCCGCAGACTGTGCCGCAATGCTAAGACAGCGCCCGTGGCGGAGCACAGTGTTTAGCCGTCTTAATCTAAAATCTGTGTCTCTTCGTATTACTATCACTAACTTAATACCTTCCCTTATCCGCCGAACTTGTCACCTAGATGATCAGACTAGAGAACAAGTGGTCGAGATGCAGCCTGTACGTTCGACACTTCTAGCACTCGACGCTACATCTATGCAAAAGTGGTAGCTCCGTCGGGCTACCTGGGGACTAGGAACACGATCCCTCAGCAGGCTACCAGGACGACGGCACCCGAAAGTATGGACTGCACCTTCCCTTACCTCAGCAATGCATGCCGCTCGCATGATTTGGGCATGCACGATCAATTAATACATGCATCTAACGTCCAGCATTCAGCCGGCATAATAGTAAGTTGTGACGCTGTACCCGAACCTAGCACCATGTTGTGTTAGAGGCACTAAAAGATGTTGTAGTTGTGATAAGTGCATGTCTACAAGACGTCCCCGCTATCAACGGGAAGAACCCCGTAGACGCGCATTTCCAGGTCTTCGATTAAGTTTTAACTCGACAATGCAAGAACGAATGCATTGTGTATATGAAAGTGTGTTGTCTAAGTGAGTGTTGGACGCTTCTCTTTGGAGTGCGTATACCTGAGCGTCTCTTAGCTACGCTATCCCCTGCTTACTCTACAGCATCATTCCGCAAGCCGTATTGATCCTTGGCTAGAACCGCGTTTTCATGGCTGATGGTTTTAAGCAGCTTCGTCGATAGTGATGACACCATCGTTGTTCGTATCGTGCCTTTGTCAAGTCAACGTCACATCCAATAGCAACAAGAAGAATCTCAGCACTTACTCGTCAAACCACTTTACCCATACCTCACTATCTCCCTTCACCGCCATATACTCCAGATAGCGGTCCAGAGTGATACTGCCCGTACCCTCTGTATCAGCTTCCATGAAAGCTGTGGTGGTAGCGTCCGAACGATCAGCCAATTCAAGTGGAAGGTCCCGTTTCGTGTGACGACAGCCGCCTTTGCAGGCGCAGCAGAATATGTTACATTTTCCGTATCCGCAGCATGGTGTACTTCGAGTGCCATCTTCACATCGGACGTCGTCGTCACCGTTACAGCACGCGGCGGTAGCCAAGGGAAGGAGAACGCTGAGGCATGCCATCCAGGACAAGGACAACATCGTAACTTAGGAGTTATAGATTGTGAATAGAGTAATGTAGGTATAATAACGATGCCTTTGGTGTGCGGTGTGTTTCTGTTCTTTGTGGTGGAAACCAAGCTCAACGGCGAACGAAGAACTTTATACATCTTCCAGAGATAGATTCGCCGTGATGTTATTATCTTGCAGCGACAAGTCAAATACCTAGGTAGCCCCACAGGGTACTTTTTCGTTCAAAGTAAATTGTGTTTAATTTGTTACCTTGCAGCAACGACCTTAACAGTCAGCACGATAGTACTTCATTTAGGCTGGGTTGTGTTTACTTTATGACCTTGCAGTGACGACCCTAAGCAGTCAGCACGATAGTACATCATCTGCAGTCTTCTGTTGGTACATGCAAACAATGTCAGACCTCATTTGACTCGTATCATTTGAACAGCCTATGTCGTCACTGAGCGCAGTCATCCGTGTGTTACTTCAATCGTGGAGCTTCTTATACATCAGGCAAAACAGCAAGGCATGCATGATGAATGCTCTACCATATATGGTCATCGAACATGGGTGAAAAGCTTCCTGCCCCCAAGGTAGCATCCGCACGTTGCCAACATCCGAGCCTACTCCAACGAAAGACTCGTAATCTGTCCACATCAGCGTTCAAAGTAACTGCACATCTCTTCCTCACTCCCACTGTCGTCATCGTCACACCCTCTCCATTGTCTCAACCCCCAACTTCCCCAGCCCCATCCTCATACCATTCATGCATTCTACCCCAGCGACTGGAATATAGTAAAGCGACCCTGACGACGCGTACCTGGCGCCAAAAACATCTCAGGATGTGAACCCATGTCTGGCAGAAAAGCCCATCGCGATTGGCTCTGCAGAATGTTTGATGTCGAAACAGACGTGGAGGCGGCGCAGCACGTCGCGCATGAACATCTGGGGGCTATTTTTGCAATCGACGGGACGAAGGATGGAGCGATGGCGCGTGGGATGGGGGCCATAAGGCTGTCGCTGGCGCGGCGGCGGTACCTGAGACTAGGCGATACGAGACTTGGCCCCTAGGAAGGTCTGGAGATGGTGGTCGCATTTGCCGTTTTGCGATGGGAGATGGGCGCGTCCGTCTTACGAATTACAAATGCGTGTCGGAGGGCGCCGTCTCCGTGTGTTGGAAAGCGATTTCATCAGCCGCACGATCAGGTGCGATGGTGCTTTGACCGGTTATCATGCATTGAACGAGTGGCTTGACCTGTTGAACGACATCTGACGGCTCAGCCCTGTGAACGCGGTGCTGCGCCTCACCCACCACCACCCACCGAACGGCGGCTTCCCGCAACACTCGGACATGCGACAAACCACCACGCATCGACCACCGAACACCCACCTCGACCATCAAGCCATTGCCCAATCACTTTCACTTTTTCTGCCAGTACCTGCGACCAGCGCAGCCCTGTCCGCGTCACCCAAATCCAGCGACGTACCCATCAATACTCGGCTACGGGCCCATAGCAGGCGAAGATTGTCCACAGATGTCCACAGTTGGGCAGGGCCGCTGTGACTCCTCGGGGGAGGGACCCCAGCAAGCGAGGTCGACACGTTGACATTTGCACCGGACTACATTAGAAAATACTAAAGTATTGGACTGTGGGGAAGCAGAGGGTCGGGTGGCTGGGATGAGGTTGGGTTCGGACGAAGGTGAATATTGGCGTGCGCTGTGTGAGTCCGACACGGGATTCAGCTAGACACGCTGGCCAGCAGGACCAGCCTCGCCGGATGGGCAAAGGGCAGCTCCTGGTAAATGCGGGGGAGCTGGTGAGTTGGCAATACAGCTTGCGCACTGCTTTTGTCCTGAAACACTGACACGGGCAGCTCCGATGATGCAGGAGGGTGATTTTATGATTGATTCGAGACCGCGTGCTGTGGGTTTCGTGCAGGTACTCGTTCTGGTTGACCGGTGAGGCTGCCATGCATGCGCGCTGCACCTACTACGACGCCGACTAGAGGGTTAGCTGCATATTGACCGGTGACAATGGAGTCGCGGCCTGCTCCACTGGAGAATAAGAATATGCATATCATATGCAATCGACAGTTATCCATGATGAAGTCGTGCATTTCGTTGAACTGTCGTTGTTGTGCTGGTCTGGCCAGTTACAAGCTCATCCTGATGATAGACTGGGTGGGGCTGGGGCCTGCTGGAGTGCGGTTACCGGCATCACCCACGGGCTCTGGGGATGCACAGTCGGGAACGTCCTTGATCAGAACAGATAGCTGCCGCGATATTGGGACAGTTGTCAATGCACGATTAAGATGGAGAAGTGTTCTGGATTGTAGATGTCGCTATCGGAGTCTGGCTAGTATGAGGGGTTGGCGGGGCCTTTGGGCTGGACAGTGCGAAGTGCAGCTCGCAATTCCTCCGCTCTCCTGAGGTTTGCAGTCTTTCTGCTCACCATCGCACGATGACCAACATGTGTTGAGTATATGTGACGTACGATAATGGCAACTCGGTCGTTCTGCGGCGGACGCGCAATAACGTTCGTAGATTCTCGTTCGATCTTCGTGTCGCGGGAAGAAGCGAGACAGTTGTTATTATCGTGAGGCTTTTGCTATAGCGATCCTCGAATTATGGCAATATCGCCGTTGATTTCAGGGTTGTATTTTTGGCAGTGGCGAGAATTTCTATTGAGTTCTGGTTGTGGCAGACGGCGCTGAAGATCAAGCACAGCCGGCGAGGCCGCTGCCTATCTGCCGGCTGCCGTTCAGCGCAAGTACCCCGCAACACCACATTCCATCGCTACCAGCCATCCAGGCCACTCTTAGTAATCTCCTACCAAGGCAACCATCACAGTAGACGTATTCTCAAACACTACCGATCACGGTACCTCCTTCGCTCGCCCCCAACTTGGCAGACCCTTGACTTCTACCGTCCCGTGTGAGATTCCAAGATTCTTGCCTCTGGACCCTGACGTCTGCCATGCCCCGCATCGCAACCTTGGAATCCTCCCTGACGAAGATCAAAATTCTGCCGTCGTGAACCTTGATGATAAGACGTCATGAGCCACGGTCCCCAGCACCCTGACTGTCATCAAAAACATCCGACCAGGGCCCCAGTCCAGCTGACGATGATGTCGTCCTGGTTTCGTTCGGGGGGCTGAGGTCATGTATGTCAGAAAGTGGCTTTGTGGCTCAGTATTGCACTTTGAATTCAACCGAGACGAAATGACATCTCTGCACAACCGCGGAATACACTAGCAGTTGCGCAAATGCAAGTCTCACTTTGATACTCCAGGAGGGTGTATCGAAACCCACTTACCTCGCCGGGCGACAATGAGGGTGCTTGCGACGCCAGGCAGACACCAGGGTCCATTCGCACACGCGCGGAAATCTTGGTAACGAGGGTGTTCACGCACTCGTATCCGGCGCCGGCGATCAATATATTCCTGGCCACATGATGGGAAACTTGGCCAGAGATAAGACAAGGTGTTGCTGGCTGCCCTGGGGTCTGATTGGTCGTGTCTCAGGCGTAACAAAGGGAAGAGCCTAGAGGGGAGCAGCCGAGGTGTGTGTCGTGTGGGAGTCATTGTTGGTTCGACATGTCTTGTGTGTGACTGTTTCAGAGTAGTGTGGTTCTGTGGGATTCTGTGTGTGTGTGGAGCAATACTTGCGCTATCGGAGCGCATCTTGTCGCATTCAGTCGCAAATGCACGTCCAGACTGTCGTGGAAGTAATGTCAATGTTATTCTTGGGTAATGGGGCAAAGTCACTTCATGATGGCACGGTGATGTTGAGTGATGAGGAGATGTCTCCATTATTAGCTATCTAGCCAGACCCTCTAGTCTCAGTCCATTAACGTCATTCCAAGTTTCCTCCGCATCATCCAGGGTCCATTACCCTGGAGCGCATCATCCATTCCCTCCTCAAACACCGCAAAGGTGGAGGCATGCAACTGTCTGATCCTTTGCAGGTATCATTCCACCGTCGTTCCTCCACTACCCAATAGCATGTATAAGCAACGCATAAGCAAGGCGTGCGATAAAGCATGTATGAAAGTGTGTTTGGCGGTGGCGCGCACCGGCGCGGAGCTTTTGCAGCGTCCGCCCGCGGATGTCGTCGTGGTGGGATCGGAGCGGTTGACCGCGCGGCCGCTAGGCCTCGTAGCCGTAGATGGTAGTGTGGGTATCGTATTATTCAATAGATCGTATATCGTAAGGCGCAAAGAAAGTCTTCAAGTCATCATTCATCGGTAGTAGCCAGACGACCGGTGCTCGCGGATGTCGCGTGATGATGGCTCACGGACCTCGACAGCGTAGTGCTTTGCAGCCCGGCGCTGCTTAGCTACTTCCTCCTCGTAGAGCGACCCGCGCTTGGAGTTGGGAGTGTTGCTGATCTCGGCGAGTGGACGCTTCGGCCGGCTGGTGGAGTGCTGTGGCCAGTCGACAATTTCGCTGTTGCGTCGTGATGATGACTTCTTGGTCTTTGGCTCTTGCTCAACCTTGACGGAGTGGCTTCGTCGGGGAGAGGCGGGTGCTGTGCGGGGAGCAACATAGTAGCTGCGGTCCATGGAGACGAATGGCTTGCGGGATCGGTGACGGATGCTGCGCTCAATGGCCTTGAGGAGGCTGCAGACCTCGACGTAGCCGGCAGGGATCTCTACGCGAACGAGCTTGTTGTCTTCCTCGACAGTTGAGTAGGTGGCTCCATCGGACTTCTGGTAGATGTAGCGAGCGACCTGTTGAGCAAGACTGTGGCCGACATCGCAGAGCTGCTCGTGGTTGCGGTGGACTTCGTAAGGGTTGTGGCAGTAAGCACACTTCCTGGCGTGCATCTCGAAGTGGTAGGCGGCCCAGCTCTCGGCAGTGTTGACGGGGCGGGAGAAAGAGTCGACTGGGTCCTCGTAGAAGCCGACCACGCGCTCCTTCTTGGCCGTGGAAGGCCGTGAGTGAACGATGGTAGGCTGATTTGTGCGTGCGGAAGGCATCTTGGGTGATGAAGGGGGTGAGTTCTTCAGGATGGACTTTGGGTAAGCCGTTGTGACGTTGTTGCCAAGGTACGGAATGGTAGCGAAGTCACTCCCGGATGGGAGGATGATATTGGTGTCGTGTTGTTGAGAGTTATTTGACTTTGGTCGTTGTGGGATGGCGAAGACTGGTCGTTATGTAGAGAGCAGGTCGTCGTCGCTTGGAGTGAGTTGGTATGAATGGAGGGGCCATGGTGGGTGTGGGTGCCATGGAATATATGTCTTGTCTCTCTACAGAGGCCGCATGCCCAGGGTGTGGGTGGAAGCCTGAGCTAGGCCAGGGTTGCCTGCGCCCATCAGCAGGGCTAGGTTAGCTGCTCCTAGTGTCCAGACTGGGGGGGGGGCCATGGCCGGCTAGCGAGGGCGGTGACTTGAAATGTTCCTTTCGATCCGTGCATGACGACGATGTCTTGGGAACCGCCGCTAGGCGCATGTTTCGTCAGTCAGAGGGCCGCCAACGGCCGCTGCTCGAGGGCGCTGCCATTGGCGATGGTGAGCTGTCGCTTCGCGCACTGCTGTCGGAGGATGGGTCCAGCAGTGCCAGCACCCGCCGCACCGACTCCTGGCGCCCGTCAACGTGTCCAGTCGGGCAGAGAGAACACCTATGCTGTCTCTCCAACGAGGGCCGTCGCATATCGTGGACGGGGTCTGACTATTCGATGCTGCGCCTCATGTCGCTGTCCGCGTTCGCAGGGTGTTGAGGGGTGCGCGGGTGGTCGCTGCCTGTTTCTCGAGGCATCAGCCACACTCAATCCGGCATAGACTCGTGTTCTCCCCACCATCGCTTTCTCATTTGCGCAGCACTCCCACAATCTCACCGCTACACAGGTTCGCGCATAGCCACAACCTCCCGCAACCAATCTGTCAACTAATGCACAGTGGTTGTTGAATCCCTTGTGCGACTGTGCGAATCGCTGCAAAATTGCACTCTGCGTGGCTGGCATGCTACAGACCGGCGGTTGCAACCACGACAAGACCCGCAACACCTCACCTAGGGCTGTGCAAAAGGGCATAGCTTCGTCTACGCCCTTGAATGTGCGCCAGTCGAGGGCGGCGAACATGCAAATTGTTTGCGTGTCTCTGAAAGACTCATCAGACACCCTGTTACTCGACGCTTGCCGAACAACGTGCATGGCGCTACTCACCCATCGATCTATTAGCTCTTCTCATTCTGGTTGACCGGAGTTTGGCACCTCGTCATTCGTCAATTGGGCTCTCTGGTGACTCTTTTCGCTATCGGCGCGTTGGTACAGCAGTTCGCGCCCACCCCACCGAGCTGAGCAGGCCCTGGTTACCAATGTATCCTTCGGTATACAGCGGATGTGTTTCATCACGAGAAACACGTTGACAAGCCCCCGGATAGTCAAGTTTCACACCCAGCTGTCGCTCGATTCTGCCAACGGTGAGTCAAATGTGCCCCGTTTGGCACTTCTCGGTGTCTCTCTTGGCGCTTTCCTATGACTCCCACCGCGACACGACCGTCGGCTCGCCCCGTATGTCAGAGCAAGCCATCAAACTGTCAGTCCCGCTTGTAGGCATCTTCTAGTGGCACATGATCAAGTCACTGGTCTTGGCCGGAGATTTAATGGCTTCTAGCGCCATGTCGCTCATCATGACAGCCGCAAACACCGGTTCATCGGCTCTGCACCGCCACACAGTGCCGCTAGTTACACAATAGAAACTCTAGTCGTCGTTCTGACGTCTCCTAAGCTCTTCCATGTCTGCCGAGACCCTCTCCCAAGGCTACTATGCATGGCGACCAGAAGCCGCTATCATCTGATAACCAGAAACACGCCATACCGTGGCGCCATAGAGGCGTCTCACGCAGCCTAGGAATTACGGCATCTCTGTCTCTGTATGTCGTACTTCAGAGGATGGAACGCTCCGTCGCTCCTTGCGAACTGTCTCAGTTGCCTTACGGGAATCAAGCTTCGGAAGTTCGACCGCCGGTGTGTCCTTTTGCTGCTCCATTTTCTGAACATGCTCAAGCATTGTCCATCCTTCGTGATCAGCTGATATGAGAGTAGGTCTGCCATGATCTGGATCAAGCCCTCGGTGAATCTGCGTTACCAGCGACTAGGCAACAAGTCGCCGTCATAGCTAAGGATGAGGTACCAGGCAACGGATGTCGTCGGGAAGCTGGTGTGCCCAAAAATTGAGTCGGCTGGCGTGACCTCTCGCTCACTCAATATTCTTAGAAGCTAGGCTTTACATGTGACTTCGCATTCGACGTACTTTGTGATATCAGCCTGTGTATATACGCTAACATTTCAAAGACTATGAAGCCATATACAGTATTGGGTCGACTTGTCGACAATACCGTCTAGTCGCTTTTGGACTGACAAGTGCATGAGGGTCCAGATAAGATGGTGGGGCCACGCGAAGCGGGCTAGTCACGTGCGCACCCTTTCATCCGCGCGACATCACGTACCACTTGACCTTCAGACGTGGCGCTTACTAAATCGACTGAATACTGGCGATAGAGGCGATCAATTCGGCAATATTTCGCGATTCTCTTATCTTGTCCAGATCTGAAGCTGACTTGTTCCCGTAGTAAGCGGCAATGCTTACCAAGTTCACCGGTTGCTGGGCCTTTCATCAGCACAAACCTGTTCTTCAGAAGAGCGAACACGGTGAACGGCAGCTCCAGGTCAGCTGAAATTGACTTCGCGACATGCGGGCGTTATGACGATCTCCAGGCAGACCAGTAGTGTCAAACTCGAAATAGGGGTCCTCAGTCGCCATCGCGTCCGGCATCACCCTTGCGTTTGGCAAAAGAAACTACTGTTGCGCCAGCGTTGATCGTAGATGAACAACGAACACTCAATACCTGATCAGCTCACTGCTTACACGTACACGCAAAGCTTCCACGGGGAGCGTCAGCCGCTGACTACCCCACAAACTGGCGGTCTCGCCGTTTCCGTTAATGGGGATGAGCATCGAGCTGCTTGCTTTTCAAACTCAATCGCGCTCCAGACAGTCGGAGATTTCTTTTGCAGATCCCGCGATGATCGGAACGAAGTCGCGCAACGTGAACTACAACCACCACCGTCAAGCCTCAAAGCACTCTAACAACCACACAATGCACAGAAGATGCAAGAGAAGACCTGCATCTCCAAGATGATACGGTGAATTGATACCCAAGGCTGAGACACATGACCGCGCGTTTCAGCGGAACGGTAAGCCTTAGCCTGTTCCTGGGCTAGTTTGCGATCTGTGCTTCCACACCTCACACCGCTTTTCAGCGAAACTTTGCAGGAGCGCAGCGACCGCATTTTTGCTTGAAATACCAGACATCCCTTCTATTCTCCTAATTCTTTCTTTTCTAGAACACCTTGCCCTTGACCGGTTGCTTGAAAGGAAACGACGTTGCGAAACAGAAAGAGAAGAGGAAATGCCACCCCGAAGCGTGTGTTTGAATGTGTTTACGTCCAGTCTTGGCGATGGCAATGGAGCGGTGAACAATGGTCGACATTCCATAATGGACAGGAGGGACAGCGCGCAGAGTGGTATGTTGGGGTCTTTTTCGAAGTTGCAATTGTGCACTTTGAAATCGTTATTGCGATGCATACTAACATTGCGAACCAGACATTCCGAGACGGTCCTCTGACGGCTCTGTCGCATCGCAAGCCACACCACCAGCGACAAACTCACCACTCCCTGCATTCAACCGACCCGAACTCTTCCATTCCCTGCGTCCTATGGCCAGCACCGAAAGTCTGAACGGCGCATTCAACAGCAAGCGTAAGTTTGGACTCCTATCTTCAGCTCCCATGTGGCGCGATGCAGGAACCCGATTTGATTCGCTGGGCTGCATTAGTGCGCATGTGGCGCTCCACTTTATTCCACAATTATCACCGGCCGCCTTACTGGCCTGGCACTACAACACCACTTCACTCGATGCAAACTTCATCATAATAGAGATGTCGGACTAACATGCGACAGCTTGCACAACATGCTCTGGCGAACCCGCACGCCGCCGCTGCTCCCGCTGCAAGGCTGCTTACTACTGCGACCGCAACTGCCAAAAGTCGGACTGGAAGACCCACCGTAACGTCTGCGAACCCATCACGCAGACTTACTCCGCACCTGCCACTCCCAACTTCTCCAACCCCACCAGCCCGACGAACGAGTCTTGAAGATGCGGCTACGCGGCTGCAAACGTAATGAACGCTGAGATCAATAGAGCAGAGGCGCTGCAAAGGGAACGACGGATGTGATATCAAGAGCAATCACCTGCTACGAACTAATGATACGAATCGACTGGAAATAGGAAAACTGGACCGCGGCGTTTTTTGTTGTTGTTTGATTGAGAAGGTGTTTTTGGGTGTTACTACATTTAGAAAGAGCGAAAGCATTCAGTTGCACTGCATAGCGAAACTAGCGAAATCATACTCATTCTTAGCTTTTACGGAAGACCGGACTTCTTTGCGCTTTGCGAGATCTGTGATGCCAGAAGGGTAGTGCTTGAGGGTTTGGAGAAGATGAGTTTACACCGACGTATGAGTTGCTTCCGCTCACTGCCGTGCTTTACGAGACATGCCTAGATCTTCTTCCTTCGGCGCAATCGCAGTATGACTGACTCGCTCTCAAATACATACGCTCACCGCTCTTCCCTACGGAATCACCGTGTCAGAGCTACGTGGCACACTCTTTCGTGCACTGTCCACAGAAGAACATTGCTGCAGCGGTTAATGCATAGATATCGCAATTTACTGTGTCTGCGCGCAGCCCTCCACCACCATGCGCATATCTGTCGACAGCTCAAGCATGCTACATCTCAGGGTCAAAGCCGTAGCCTTTTCCATCACACGATGGTAATCTCTTGTTCGACGACGTCTCCTATCTCATGTTCCGGAATGTCCATAAACATGCCAATCTTTCGTACAGTGCCTGGCCCAGCCGGAATTAAAATGAGACCTTTGCAGCCTAGTGTTCGATCAACATCTCCTGAGTGACAGGAGCGTTGTAGTGGCAGTAGTACTAAACGGACAAATATCGACCATTAGAGCTGTTTAACAGAATTTGTTGGGGTGGGTTAGAACTTACAAACGAATAAAGGATCACTGCGAAATTCTTCGTCATAATCCCAGAAAAAGATAACTTCAACTACCAGAGTCTGGCTAGGAGCTGTGTCATTGGTGCCTTGTTGAAAATAGGTCCTGTAAAACCTTTGCAATGGCGGTTCCATAACCCCGGTTTTGGCATGATTAAGCATACACTTCCCGCCACCCTCCCCATTTGTTGTTGCCATGCTGGCGATGATTATCTTCCCATAGATCTTGATTGATGCGTGGATCACTTCTCCGTACGGGACTTGCGCGTTTTTGCGGACTACTTCCACCGATATCACGTTGCAACAGTCCTCGTATCCGCGGTTGGTTAGGGGCCAGGAAATCTCGTTAGCAGAAGCCCAGGACCACGATGGTGCTCTATACAGATCGCCACGAGCTTCTGACTGTAAAGATGCTGTCCACCAACACAATTGCCTAATGAGATCGTATCGCCAGAGACCCGCATAGTAATGCCCTAGGACTGCAGCAAACCTTTCCGCCAAGGCAGCGATAGCGGGCAACTTGTCGCTTTGTAGGGACATGTTTCGACGTGAATAATCATTCACAATTCTCACCCACTCCGAAAGAGCTTCCTCCGGGTCTGTGCTAAGCTGAGAGATCAACTTTGGCACTGGGTCGTAATCTAAATCTGCGTTCAATGAGTTGTTCAAATTCATCGTGCCTGATGCACATCGCCACTCTAAAGTATGCTTAGTGTAGGCCAGTATCCGACTAGCCATCATCTGTTCTTGTAATGCCCATGCTCGTGTGCTCAGTGGATTGTATGCCTTGATGGATGACGAGCGTGAAAAGTGTTTCCGAGCGGTAACGCTCCCGAATCGGTTCGGCGCTATTCGGAACGGTATTCGTGCATTAGGTCCCTCGATCTCGTAACGATGTGCAAGAAATCCGTCGGCTGCGTCTCTTGCATTAGAAGCCAGGATCGTGATATAAGCATTGCTATATATCTGAGCCATGGACCCGATCTCGCGGGCTTTGTCTTGCGGATCATCTTGGATTATGCATAGTGCGTCTACCTAGTATGATCTGATTAGCCATATAAGTCATGGACTGTGATCGTGTGGGAATGCCCAACATACCCAGAGATAGCGAATAGAGAGTGAACGTGTTACGAGGACAGCATCCTTGATAGTTTGAGGTAGGTTGTTGAAATCCAAATACTGCATCAGTGTCTGAATAGTGTCCGATCGCAACTGTGATTGCGATCCAGAGCCCCAACAATATGACAATGCTACAAATTTGCCGAAGGCTCCGTTCGTATGGCAGATCTTTTCTGTCTCTACATCGATGAGACGTGTGGGGAGAGGGAAATCGATTTGCTGAGGACAGCATGGATGTTGAACGCATTCCCTAAGCCATCTCGAAATCTGGGGAGACGTTTTTGATAGCGTCACATCTTGATCTACTTCTCGAGCAGTGACTTGTTGGGCGGCAAAATTATCGCTTTCAGTGAAGAATTCCAAATCTTCGATGTAAAGAGACTCCTGGAGCCTATTCTCAAGGAAGAGCTCGTAGAGGTTATTGCCTGGTGGCGTGATGACATGAAAGTCATGTAGGCTCAAACTGATTTTATGAGTCTGCGCAGACGTTTCAAGCCCAGGTATGAGTTGGTCGATCATCGAACACCACGTGCATCCCGTCCTGGCACCCTCTTGAAGGTTCTCTCCAGTGAACTAAATTAAACCCTGGGTCAGCCTACGTTGTGTTCATTGGGTGTCCTGAGTGATTGTCGCAATCGCAATCCACAAACGCTTTGTATCATGCAAGTCCTAGCATAGTGACCATGTGCAACACTCACGTTGTATTTGAACTTGTAAGTATCACCACGCCCCAGTTTCTCAAACCCCTCCGTATCGAAGCAATTCACCCAGCAAAACTCGCAAACCAACGCACGGACACGCTCAAGCGGTTCCGGCTCACGCGCCATCGTGGCGGTTGACAGCACAACGTGAACTGCAAACAGTAGCGTTATAGTTGGAATACCATCGTCGGATAAGTGGGAGTGGAGGGTGAGATGGGAAAGAAGGAGGGAAGGCTGAAGTCGATCTTGCGGGGTTTTGAAGTTCAAGCGCCACCCTCATGAGATGCAGCGCTACCTGCTGCGCCATGCGTCTGCATGTGGAAAGTGGCGCCTCAAGCAGCTACGTACGAGTTGTCAGATTCAAGCGTCAATGAAATGATCCAAGGACGAGTTTGCCTTCTGCGATTGTGGTGACGGAAATCCCTAGTACGCAGAAGCTCAGCGACGTGGGGAAATGCATGGACTAGTTGCTAAGATATCTCATTGGCATCGAGGTCGAATGTCATTCTTCGCTCAAAAAGGGCGGAGCAGCACGACTGAGACGACATGATATGTGGTAGAGCTGAGGCAGCACATATGTGCCGTTCAGACAACATGACCACGCGGTAGTGGTCTGCCAAATGAGGGTATGACAAGGCTGAGGCAGCCAACCCAATATACATGACGAAATGCGTCGTTCAGTCGACACTACTTCCCTGATGGGTTTCGCTGAATGAGCGCGCGCATATGATCCATTGCTTGATCAGAATGTGCTATAGTGTTCCTACACAGCCTGACCGTACGGTGCCCCACCATCAAGCTTGAAGTAACCCGGCTGCAAGTTCTGGAACACACCCATGGGATCATACTTTTGCGAAACCTCGTTCAGCCTAGCCACATTTGCCGCGCCGTAGCCCGAGATGACGGGCTGGTAAGGACTGCTGTACGGCATGTACATGTAGTCGTGGTACGCACCCAGCTCCTTCGCCATGGCAACCGATGCGCTCAGGAAATCTTGCGCCGCTTTCAAGACCACCTTGTCATTTCTCTCGTCCGTCCAGGACATGTAGAAGAGGGCGTGGAACAGGGGGCCGTCTTCTGGATAAAGGCCAAGCGCATTGCCGCCCTTTTTCTGCATGGCCTTGATAGCGGGTAGGCTGAAGGCTTGGAACGAGACACTGGGTGAGCCGACGGGGATGCTGGGCGCGATCTTGAAAAGATGGTCTGTCATGCGCTTCATCAACTCCGTGTTCAACTTGAAGGACTGCGACCACATAGTCGTGCGGAAGCCGTCTGGCATGCTTTGGCTGAGACCAGGGGTTGTGTCAGCCAGACTGCAATTACGAGTGTTGTCGGTGAGTGGAGGCACCGCGAGGTATTCCTTCAGTATAGCGGGTGGGCTTGCTGGGTCGACCGGTTCGAAATACTCGTACTCAGTCGATGCAATCTTGACGCCACGGGAGTAGGCGACGGCAACGAAGTGGGCGGCCTTGGTATCGGTCTCAGCTGCCTCAACTGCGTGTCCAAACGCGTCGAACAATGCAGGTGCATAGGTTGCATTGTACTGGCGTTTGCTCGCGAACATGAGACCTTGAGGCAGGGTTTCGTAGTTGAACGTTGTGATGACGCCGAAGTTGTTGCCTCCGCCGCGAAGGGCCCAATACAGGTCTGGGAACGTCTTTTGGCTCACGGTGAGGATGATACCCGAAGCGGTGACGAGCTCATATGAGGCTATATTGTCACAGGCCAGGCCGTACTGGTTGGTATGGTGACTGATACCTCCGCCGAGTGTGAGTCCGCCGACTCCGACATATGCCGCCTATCCGGAATCAGTACTGAATACAAGACATTTGGTCAGATCATTGAACTTACTCGTCCACCAACAATGGCAAGACCGTAGGGCGTCAGGTAGTCATAGATCTCCTTCCATCGATTCCCAGGGCCAACGGCGACAGTCTTCCTGTCCGCGGAGAGTGTCTTTTGGTTAAGATTGACCATATCGACGGTAATGCCACCTTGAATGTTAGAGGCGCCGGGAAAGGCTGCATGGCCTCCACTCTTGACTGCAAAAGGACATTGTGTAAGACGTGCGATCAGTACTAGGCTCGAGACTTCGAGGACAGTACGAGGTGTGAACGTGCAACGGGGTTCAACTTCGAGCTGCTGTAACGACCAGTACGTTGTTGGCGCAGCGCTGGATACCTTACTAGCTCCAAAAACCACTTTGAGAGAGTTGCACTTTCCGAAAATAGTTAGTGAAAGATGGGTAAGACGGGGTAGATGAGACCTACAGCAATGGAGCAGCCTTTCAAGGAAGATCTTACCACCAGGCTAGCTAAGTCGGGGATGGTAGACACGTTGATGCCGTTGTCAATAAGAGCCGCCGTCACACTAAAATCAGCCGCCTCAAAGACGTCCTGAGTTGATGCTCCGGTTGTCAGCGCAAGAGCGCAAAAGCATAGTTGCTGGAAGAAATGCATGGGCACGGAAGTGAACAGCCGCGCGCTCAAAGGGCTAGAGCTGGAAGATGTGCAGCACCGTTGTGAAGAGAGAGGCCCTCGATCGCAGAAGACAAGCCTTTTGTAGGCGTAACCAAACCCGCGGGGCCCCCAATGCGATTAATGGAGATGGCATTCAAGGTCTAGAAACGCCGTTGCGCGTTTTCTAGGCCATATACAGCGCGTGTAAATGCGACCATATGAGCTATCCAATCGCGCAGGTTCAGATCGTTACTTCCAGAGGTGACAGGCGGCATGTCGCGAACCGAGATGCCCACAATATGCAAGTCGCACATATTGCCTCGCGGAAGTAAGGAGCGAGCACAGTCCCTGCATCCCTGCACCCAGACGGTACGACTTGTATGCGTGGCTGCTTTTGAAGGGATTGCACTTTTGATCTTGGGCACTGAGCATGCGTTCTTCGAGAGATGTCTTGTCGAGCGCTAGGAACGATAGGCATCCAAACTGCATCTCCTCCGCCCATTGTCGGATTCAAGACAGTTGGTTGACGCATCCTGTAAGGGAGGAGAGGTGTCGAGCTGCAAATGTTGACATGAAGGGAGACCGATTTCGGGTTGGGACGGCTCGGCTCTGTGCTCCGTCACTGGCGCCGCTTGGCATTGCGGCACGGTCTGCGCGTGAACCTGACCATCGGTTCTCCACGAATCCTTCAATCCATCATTTATCACCACCAAGTTTCTTGTACATACTCTGGATTCGATGCTTTCGCCACACTACTAGTGCATATAAGGCAGGTGCAGACTTCCAGCTCTTCCCAGGGGCGGTAAGCTCCTGGCAAGCCTCATTAGCCGCTCGATAGCCCCAGCCCTGTCAACCCCGACAAGTTACGCCCTGTCATCTGGAGTTGTGTCAGGGCAGGCAGATCGGCTTCCAAACGTCCACCAACCAACACCTTTACTCTGACTGTCGCCCATCATTTCGAAAATTGAACAAGCAGTGTGTTCGATAAGTCGCTCGGAGAGTATCTGGGATGGGCGGCTCGCATCAAGCTTTTGCTACGCTTAGAGCATCGATCCACTAAACATGGCGCGGCGACACGCATTGAAAGGTTAGTCAGCTGTGCCTCTTCCTTCCTGTTGTTGCAACCAAAGTAGCCGCGACATGAGGCTGCAATCCATGTACCAGAATCCTGGCGCGTTGAGATCCACTGTACCGCTGGCGCGGTCAACCAGGATGTCGGACAACTCTTATACTTGACGCTGATTGCACTGTTTGTAGCAATAGACCCCACTGTCTACCCTGCTGCGTGTGGTATCGGCCTCTCTCTTCCTCGCCAGTACGTTGCCCCCAAGTTGGCACTACTCTTCCATTCTTCAGATTCACTGTTATGACTCTCTCTACTCACGGATCCAATGATGGAGGCTCGAACGCATCGTTTTCACAAACAACGGTACGGGTAGTCGGCTACACAGCCATCTCCATAGTGTCAGTGGCTATAATCGCCCGATGCTTGCTGCAGTATCTGCGGCCGAGGAGAATAGTTGCCCAAGACTGCTGCATGGCTTTTGCCTACGTACTTTTTCTTGCGCAATGCATACTCTACATTGTCCTGTCACCCATACGGGGTAAAGTGCAGGAGGCAACGGAAGGCAAGATACCACGCTACCCCGAGCTTCCTTATCATGTCTATCTCATCGGCAGACTCATTTTTCCTGCCTTGATGTTCTTCTGGGCCATCCTATGGACTGTCAAGTTTGGCCTGCTTCTTCTTTACAGGAAACTGACTGTCGCGCTGCCGAGGGTGTACAATCGGATGTGGTGGTTCCTTGTCGTTTTCTGCGCCGTCGTGAGTTTCTCCCTACATTTTGACAAGGTAATCACCATGTGCTGACAGGACAAACAGTCACTTGTTGGGAACTATGTCGCTTTCCTCACATCTTGTGTATCACTTCACAGCTTCTTCGATGGGTCTGGAGGTTGCAACAACAAGATCAGGCAGTTCGTCAGCATTTGGTACTCATTTGGTGCGGATACGATTACCAGTATCATGCGTAAGCAGTCCCTACATCAAATCGCACGCTTCGAACTCGCTACTGATGATCCCTAGTCATCGTGTTTCCTTTGCATCTCACGTGGAACCTTCAGATGCCGCGCAGGCAGAAAATTGCTATCATGGTCCTATTTGCCAGCGGAGTCTTTTGCATCTTGATCGCCACTCTACGCGCTGCTAATGTCACTGCGCGTACTATCAGGACTGGTAAGACGATGGACGGTACATGGCTTGCAGTGTGGAGCATGGCTGAGACCGCTGTTGGTAAGTCTCCTATGTGTCTCTGAGCTTGACTCACTCCAATGATGCGGACGCTCGATACTGACACACGTCAGCCATTTTGATCGGGCTTTGCCCCTCTTTTGCCATCCTTATCAATGCAAACCGCAGAACGACTCATAACGCCAATGGATGGGGCTTCAACCTGCGTACCATTGGCAGTGCTTCAACACGCCCTAAGCCCAAAGCGACTAATGCGCTGGATACGTTTTGGACAAACATACACGGTAGCCAGGAAGAGCTAGCAGGGAAACAAGATAGTGCCTCTGTTACTACAACAGCCGACTAAGGTGAAGAGGGCCCGGGCATGGCTAGATGAGTGCGGACAAGGTCATCAGGATGATGGAAATGCGAGCTAGCAGCAGCTAGCACAGGCGCAGGGTATTACGTCGACTTATTATGGATCATGGAGTATACAACGTGTCGAACTGGTGTGAACACACATGTATCGACTATACACGACATCTACGTCATGTTTCATTTTTTACTGTCGCATCACACATTTGTATGTGTAATCTCTTGAGATCGGGTGCTCTTCATCAATCGTTGCGACCAAGCTCTACGCCCCTTCCATAACGTTGAAGAAAGAAGCCAATGTGGCGCTAGTAGCGCCACATTCACTATGTTTCTCCAGATCAACGCCTGTTTATTTTGTCACGGGTCCGGACGCACCCTGCGAATTGCGAGTGACGTTCAACTTTTCTACAACAGCTAACTTCTCTTCGTTCACGATACAACCCAACGTGCTCTGGTTCCATCCGCCCCTTTCCTAGCCTCTTCAAGAACCTCTTTGAGAATTCGCGGCTGTTGATTCAGCACATCTATATTGCCACGCTGACCCGTCTCAGAACTCTCCATCACATAGTCGAGAGACTTTCCGACAGCCGACAAGATGAGCGCCAATCAAGCTGACCTAACACCAAACGAGTACCTCCTGCAGTTCCTCCAACAAACATCCGCCTTCGAGGTCCTGGGCTCCTTCTGCGGTATACCAGCTGTCGGCTCTCCCCAACGACTCAATGAGACCGCAGTAGTCTGTATCGACGCAGAGTGGTGGCAGAAAGAACCGAAGCCCACCACCGAGCTCGGTATCGCAGAGCTCATGCAAAAAGGACTGACCCCGACCATCCACGCCGAGAACATCCTCTCTAGCATACAAGTCCCCCATGCCCGCATCATTCAGAACGCCCACCTCACCAACAGATTCCCCGGTGCTGGAGACCCCGGGAACTTCCTTTTCGGCAAGACCAAGTTCGTTACTATGGAGGAGGTGAAGCAGGTTCTCATCAACGCGTTTGTGCGTCCGCGCGAATGTGGAGACGGGTCTGACCTACAGCCTATCATCTTGGTCGGTCACGCCGTAGAGAACGAATTCGAACATATGCAACGCGCATTCGGTGTCGATTTACTTAGTTACGGTACTATCGTGAAGTTCATCGATACGCAACTCATGGCGCCGGAGCTTGGTATCAAGGCACCATGAGGTCCTCTCATTGGACTCAAAGATCTCCTAGCGCATTTCAACATGGTCATACCCAACCTCCACACCGCCGGCAACGACGCAGCAGCTACGCTTATGGCGGCCGTCTTACTCACCCTTAAGCCATGGATGTATCCCGATGTCTCTGGTCCGTTACCTGCCGTCGTTCAGGGCCGCAGCATGTCAGACGTGGTGACCGGAGTCATGGAGATGGGAAGGTCGCTCTCTCCACCACCGTGGGGAGAGCTCGTGTACTGCATTCGATGCGACCACAAGAGTCATAGCGCCAAGCACTGTCATACCGCTCTAAGTTGTCAGATCTGCAGCAACTCGGGCGTCAAGAGGCTGTTTGGCGCGCGAAACACACATAAAACTACGTGTTTGTATCAGTTCTTGCCGGTGCCGCCAAGGGACTATGGGCTTGGTGGGCAGTAGATTAACTGGGGGTTCCGGAAAGAGATGGGAGAAGAGAAGAATGAATATGGGAAACGGTTCAATAGGATTACCGGTAGAACATCCGGGTAGCTGCACACCTACGAATGAAATCATCACACTGGCGTACAAGTCAGTCCCGAATTTGTTCCAAACTCTAGCATCGTCGCCACCATTTGACTCCAAGACTAATTGTGACACTGCCGAGAGCCAAATAACCGCTCTCGAACCTTCCCTGACCATCTGCTCAACGAGGCCCAAACGCACATGACCCCTCCATATGCGTTCCAGCATTCATTCTCCTCCACTCCTGCGCCGCACCCTCACACCTACCACACTTCAAATCCGTATTTGCACACTCCAAAAACCCATGCTCACCACTCCCACACCTCCAACAAAACACCTCCACGCTAACAGGTGGCGCCGGTGTAGGCCAATTCATCAAGCTCTGCACCACAAATGCCGCAGACTTGGAACTTGACTGGCCTATTTGCCCTGGTTTTGCCTTCGCATTCTGCGGCGACCCGTACAGCTCGAAGCGCAGAGCTGAGAGGATAGCAACGACGGTGGCGTACATGGCTGCGTTGCCGCTGTTATCGGAGTGGTATACGGGGACGTTGAACTGTTTGAGGAGGTATGCATAGTCCGCGTCTGCGTGGCGAGTAATCTTCGACTGCTGGGGTATGATTTGCGCATCGAGAGCCGCTACCGTAGTGCTTAAGAGAAACGGGTCGAAGTCGAACGCGACCTTGCGCACCTTGCTGATGCTGCTGTTGGAGCCAAAGGACATGTATATGATGGGTCGGTAGCCAGAGTCCTCGTTCTGCTCGTTCATGGGCTGGTGCCAGATATGCTGGAGGAGGAAGAGGGCTTCTTCTTGGGTGACGTAGACCGTGGTGCCGAAATGGAAGCGCTCGAGACCGATGTCTGTAGAATCTAGGTGCGCAGTGGAGCGGATGACGAGGTGAAGACACCATACTTGGCGTAGAAGGTCTTCTGCATGCGGGCCAGCCATGATAGGCTGTCCTTGTTTAATGCTGGAACGATCGTAGGTGGTGATTCCAAGCTCGGTGAGGCGATACGGTGGGTTCGCTGACCATTTGCGGTGGAGAACGACGAGGACAGCTTCACGAAGTAGGCCTGGAGCAGTAGTAGAATTTCCGAGGAATTTGTGCAGGACATCTTTGTCTGGTAGTCTAGCCAAGACGCCGCGGAGGTTTGCTAGCTTTGATGATGTGGATTTTGACATGGCTTTTGAGCTACGCGTTGTCGATGGGTAACAGGAAATGAGGGTCATGAGATTTGTGTAGGTGAAGCTTTCGTCTATTTGACGCGGCGCTTTGAGAGACTAGTGCCGTTGGAAATGAAGATGAAAGTGAGTGCGAAAGTGAAGATGAGAATGAGGTTGACTTACATTCTGGTTATCGCGGTCTGCTGCTGCTCTGCGCAGCACATCTTTCGTGTTGCATTCGATTGAAGTCATGGCGTTATGTAGCCATCACGAGCGTATTTGAGATAGGCCTGAGTCTTTGTGACATTTTCATGCAGAAGAAAAGTGTATTGAGTTTACATCTCGTTGCGAATTGATCGCGTACACCATTATACCTTGTGGCTTTACTTGTTCTTAATTTTATCGTCGACACGTTTTGATGACTCAAGGATATCGGATAGCAATTATCAGCTGACGAGAAGTCATTGATCCGAACTTGATTTCACCGCTATGATGGGTGTGCCCGAAGAGGCGACCTTGGTGCTCTTCCTCGCGGGGGAAAGAGGACCTCGGGAGGGAGAATTCCGGCTGCATGATAGCCCAGCCACTAATCCACGAGGAGCCTAGCTCTGGATATCCTTGCTAATCCCAGCGCATCCCCGCCATAGCTCCGAACCCTCAGAATCTGATCTCTTCAGCCTCATCATTGTACATTGTCGAAATGGCTTGGTCACCAGACTACCAATATATCGTCAGCGTCGCTCAGAACCGCAATTGATCTACCGAACTTATCGAGATGATCGGAATGAAGCTCATTGAAGATTCCCCACACAACGATTCCGTCGTACCAGTCATACCGCGATTACTGGTGTAGAATCGTCAGGCAGTGTACAACATCAGCCGAGCATGTCGGAGTTTCAACAACGCTTTGAATAAAGTGTTACTCGAAATACTGCATCACATGCCCTTCCGATGCACCGAGGAGCATCTTGGCCGTTCGACGCGGCTGTTGCAACTTCCCTGGGTGTCGCAATCGTTCAAACAGTTGACTATCGGGCGGAGTCAAGATTGCTAAAACACGCATACAAGAACCTCGCGCGGCGTGGTTTCGGAAATACCTGACGAACACGCTCAAGACATTCTTGAGCCTCGCGGCTCGTTTGGATAGTATTAGATGTGTTCCAATCTTCGAATACTATGAGCCATTAGATCCCCAGGATGCTCATGACGAAGACTCAGATGATGACACACCCGTCCGATCATATACGGGCTCTTTTCGTTTCATAAATGTCCTTGGAGTAAGTTGAAGTACTCAATATTGCCATCAATGGTCCCGAAAGTGAGGCTGACAAGCCATCATAGCAACTTCACGCAGCAATACATGAAAGCGGACACGCGAAAGCTATGCGGTCTCTCTTGTTGAGATTTGATTTTAAGGAAACACACAAGATGGGCGCGCCGTATGAGACATCGGACTGCTGTCAGATAAAAATCTCCCCCTTCCTTGCGAAGCCACTCTCCAACACCTCATCCTCGACTTCGAAATGTCTATCATGGAGTACTGGCATTTCTACCTCGACCCATATGCCAGTCCTCCAGTCTTTGACGATCGTATACACAGGGCTCCACAAAAGCAGCGAACTGGAACGCTGGCCGAAGGAAAAATTGGACCCTTTGGCAAAGACGCAACCTCGACGGCTCGTGCTCACCAGCTACACATACGTGCCTCGGGAGAAGGTATGTCTTATCGTCCGTGCATTCAGTTATCGGCAGGGCACACTACCGTGTTTGGAATTGCGTAGCATAGATGTTAAGTTGGATTACCATCGTGACAAACCGCCAACGCCGGCGGAAACCTGGAAGGTCTGGGAGGACTTCCGCATTGTAGAGTTGAAGATTCCAAACGTGACGTGGTATCGACATGTACCCAAGCGTCGCAAGTCAGAGCGCCGTGGTTGGTGCAGGACGGGTTGGGAATCGTTTCCTCGGATTCGTGACGCGGCAGATGTTGTACGTGTGAGCGTACGTGATGGGTCGGAGCTCTATGAAGAGAAGTTCCTTGAAAGACGAGGTGGAGATTTGTATATTGATGGTAATAGCACGGGTGATGAGACCGACAAAGACCGCAGCTCCACTGAAGACTAAATCGAAGATGAACACGGGTTCTCAGACGAAGACGTAGAGATCGGAGGCTTGGATGGAATCCCATACGATGACGAAGATGATGACGATGACGATGACTGTGACGAAATGGACGAGGCGTAGGCTATGATGGCTATACACAGCTATTGCTTTCGATACCATATGAGGAGTCTGTGCGCATAGTGTTGACGCAGCTCTACGTTGGGTGATAGCTTCAACCTCCGCCAGGCTTCTTCAACGCGCCACCAAGGATACTCGGATCAAGCATCTTGGCTTCAGGCACGTCGACACCACACCGCACCCACATGCTGCTCCAAAGCGCACCAACTGCTCTTTCTTCGGGCATGAAAACGACCGTGTTCACGTACGATCGTGTCGTGTTATAGCAGTCTGGCATGTTGAACAGTTGCGCCTCGCAGTTGTCGCCTTTGTTCGAATAGAACACGCCACATCGCGCTTCGCTTGGAAGAGTGATGCATGTACCGTTCTTCCACGTTTCGAGGGGTGGTGGAAAATACGTCTTCTGTAGGAGGTCGCCACGGCAGTGTTTAGGGCCGCCCGCACCGGAGTATGTGAGAGCGAGAATCGGTATTTGTGGAGTGGTCGGCGGTTGAGGCTTAGGCGCGACGGATGGTTTCGGCGTAGCGATAGGCCCCAAAACACCTTCAGCACTCCAATCAGCACTCGTTTGTGGTTCCGGTGTGAAGCCAATCATTCCGTCCTGGGTTTCGGTCATGGTTGTGGGGACCAGCGTCGCTCCGGACACGATGCTGCTGCCGTTGTACACATCGCCGCGGTCGAAATCCGTGCCGTTCAACAGCGCTTTCGCCGCGACGATATCGTCGCCATCTCCGACTCTTGCAGCTTGCGCGAGGTTGATCTGTATGACAGGTGTGGATGGAGCGCGTACTTCGATGGCTGTTGCTAGCGAGATTGCGATGAACAGGAGGAGGGAGACCGATGATGCGACGAGAATGATGCGCCGCGGTATTGACGACATCGCGATAAGACTACATTACTCTTGAAGATATGGGAGGTTGAAAGGACATGCGACAATGTCGAAGTTCGTGGGCGACGCCAAGAAGGCATCGGGGGTTGCTACACTACGCGTTTCAGGCCCACGTCCTCCCCAGACATCGTCGCAGGCATGCAAGCAACTTTTCCACGCTTTCCTGACAGCTGTATACAGGTTCTTTACTTCATTCGAATGTATGGTGTTGCGCGAGTGTGCAATCTCGATAGAGCAGCGGCTTAGACCGATATCTGTAGGTTCAGTCACACATCCATCCCCAACCCTTGTACAGCTCGGTACCAGCCTTGTTCGGCTATTGCTTGGATTACAAACCTCAGTTACATGTGGCCTTTCTTATGTCATGTAGCGAAAGCTGCACTAGTGATTAGATCTTGGCGCTCCAATGAAAAGGCCAACGTACGCCTCCCACTCCACTACGGAGCGAGAGATTCACTGGAATATCAACCATTAGTCTAGGCTCATGATAACGCTTCTCAGTTTTGACTTCTATACATAGACCACTTAGTAATAGTCTCCTGATTACTCACTGCTGCCTGTGCATTGGTCTAGCCCTTGAGCGATTGACATCTGGATTATCTCCCATGTCGACAGTACTCAACCTCCTTCAACCCAAAGACTCATCTATCTTAGACCATCATCGACGACCAACCCACACTAAACTTATCTCTCTCGATGGAAGTAGGCGCGGATAACACTCCGCCCTTAACTCCAGACATGGCTGCCGAACTCTTAGACGCAAACCGACAAGCGCTAGCGTTAGCCCTTTTTCACCAGCTCTTGAATGTGTGGGATTAGTATAGCTTTATGTCTGCGTGTCGTGGACGAGTGTACGGCTTTCACCTTGAGCTTGACGTTCAGCTGTGATATCTGATCAAGTTCCCCGAGATATTCGAGCCAGGCCAGCTGATTTTCGTAGTCCACTTCCTTCGCGTTTTCCTCCGGCGCGCTTTACCAAGCAAATTCCCTATCCGAATCGCTGAAGAGCTCATCCATAAACACAGCCACTTTGAGCGTTCGGATGTAGTGTTGAGGCTGACAAGATGGATGGACTGTCAAAGGACCATCTTCCAACAGTGTGAAAACATCGTAGAAGTTGCAGACCTTATAGATGGCATGCCGGTGAAAGACCTGGGCAATCTCGACGGCGGATTCCTCTCCCATGAACCTTTCTAGGAAGTAGTGTGCTAATGCATCGTCGCGTCCACGGCGTTGACTACGTTCACGACGGTCAATGGGTTGGCGGTGGAGGAAGTAGTCGTTCATCGTGTTTTCCGGTAGATTTCGACTGTTTGGAAGAATGGTAGCGTTCGGAAAGCCGCCGATAAGATACATGTAGACTTCATCTCTCAATTCACGAGCGGTGAGAACCTCCAAGAAATTAGTGGCAAGTTCACGATTCCATACGCGCGAGTAGTTATCGATCGACTTCTCGTAGGTGCTGGGATATAACGTGATGTTAGTGACCATACTATGATGGAAGCAGATCTCATACTTACGCGTCCAAGTTCTTCTTTTTGCGCTGGAGCTTGCCTTGCTCGGTTTCCAGTGCATTTTGCCTTGCCTCAAGCTCTTCGATCTCTTTAGCCGTAGCATCCCTCCTTGAATAACCATGTAAGCTTTCGAATAACGAAAAGATACATTTCGCTTACGTCTCTTGATTGTCCCGGAGCTTTTGTATGGTGTTTGAGATGGCCTTAGCCTTGGCGGTAAGTCGATTCTTCGGGGCCGTTTTGTGAATTCTTGCGTTTGTAAGGTTGTGGGGTAAAAGGTTGCCACGGCAGAGGTAATGTGGATGCTTGGGTTGAGTTATACAGGTCTATCGCGATGTATAGTTGACGTGTGCTCGGTGTGTAACATAACAGAGCCGCAAGCTAAGTAGGTGTATGCGTACCATGGTTTAGGCAAGCACCGGGATTGACGAATGTGCTGGCGGCGTGAATGATGTCTTAGGTCTGGCTAAGATCCCCTTGGCAATGGGTACCAATTCGGGTAGAACGAGGCAGCCCAGCGAACATGGGATGGTCGTACATAGCAGCATGAGAGCGAAGGAAGTTTCTTCAAGTCCATTCTTCCGATGATAACTCGACAGAACAGTTCGGCCCCGACACACCATAGAAGCGCACTTCTTCAAGCACCCCCAACCTCAGCCTTCTCCTTCGCCTTATCCAAATCCAGCGGCACCCTAACAACGATCTTGCCCTTCGCTCTCCCAGTCTTCAACTTCTCAAACGCCTTAGGCGCGTCCTCCCACTCAAACACCTCATCAATCACAGCCTTCACTTTCCCCTCCTTCATCCATCCACCAATCTGGCTCAGCGCATCCGACGACGGCTTCGCCATCAACAGCTGGTAGCTATTCTTACCGCCACCCAGGAAACCCGGTAAAAGCATGTTTGAGCCTACACTCTTGATGCTAGCAACGTTCATCGTCGCGCCGATCTGGACGAACTTGCCGGCTGGCGTGAGGAAGGCGGATGCGGCTTTGTAGAGATTGGGTGGTGTGCCGACGTTGTCGACTACGAGGGCGTAGGTTTGGCCTTTGGCGGAGAGTGTTTCGATCACGTCGCTGGTTTTGTAGTCGATGACTTCGTCTGCGCCTAGGCTCTTGCAGAGGTCGATGTTGGGTGTAGAGCAGGTGGTCGTCACGTGGCAGCCCAGCGCTTTAGCGATCTGGATGCCGTACACACCGGTTCCGCCCGAGCCGCCGTTGATGAAGACTTTGTCGCCGTTCTTGACGTTTGGGGCGATGGCTTGGTATCTGGAGATGGGGTTAGCGTGCATTTTGGTTTCGTGAATAGCCTGCCCGGCCTTACTCGGTCAGTCCCACGATGCCGACGCCTGCTGCATCTTCGACCTTCACGCCTTCTGGTAACCTTGCCAGCATCTCTCTTTCCACGGCTACGTATTGCGCCATGCTTCCTCCTGTCAACGCGCCGACTTTTGCGCCAAAGACGAATTCGCCGATTTGGTACTCGTCAACCTTCTTGCCTACTTTGGCGACCTTGCCGCAGAAATCGGCACCTGGGGTGATGTCGGAGCCTACCAGTCGTAGTGGCATTGGGCCTTCGGTGACCTTGTGGTCGACGGGATTGATTGCCATAGCGTGAACTTGGACAAGGATTTGTTCATCGTGAAGCACCGGTTGTGGCGCGGCCTCATTGATCTGGAGGTTCTTCTCAATACCGCCTTTTGTGCTGTTGTACTGCCAGGCCCTCATCGTGGATGCCATATTGTTTGATTTGAACGAAGCTCTTCGCGATAAAGTTTCAATGGGTTTGATGTGGCCGGCGCGCGCGCTGTGCTCGTTATCTTATAGCGTGGAAGCAGGCATGCGTCATGAAGATTTGCATCGAGCGGGGCAAGCGCCACCGCCGTCTATGAAAACGAGCTTTGGGAGGACCACCGATCCATCGACTCTCCATGCAGGCGGCTCAAGTTATCGCGCGTGTTGAGCCTGGTTTGGACAACTACATTGAGTGACCCAAACAGGTGGGTATGCCTCATAACCCAGTGGGCCGGCTTACGTGCGACGCGGTCGATGGGGCGAACCCACCTTGCCACCTAACGGGATCGGGTGGATTATGCGCGGTGACAGCAAGCTCATTGTACGTCCAGAGACGAAATCAGTACCAGTACCAAGAGCAGGATGTGAGCGACATCATTGTGTATAACAATACAGATTACATGAGTCGATCATATGCATCGATGTGGAGTTGAGGGCCTGACAGCCGCAGTTCCGGTCGTCCCTCGCTCTGCATCTAGCCTCTTAGGCGTATGTAACAAACATCTGCTCAAAGCCAGTAACGTTCCAGACCCCAGTAACGGTATTGAGCGTCAGATTGGTTGGAGTGGTGGGACCACGTTGAAGCGCCCCACTCTCGACATGACCGCCTGCAGCAACTACAGTACCGTTCGCCCTCTCCAAGTGGTTAGCACCAGCCTTAACGGTGAAGTTTGCGAGGCTGATATCGAAGGGGTTGCGAGAAGCAACAGATGGCGAGCCTGGATATAGTCAGTATGTGAGTTGCTCAACACTGCAAAGGTGCGATGGGCAGACTTACCGTAGTACTGCGCATTGAGCTCCTCAGGTGAGATGAACAGCTCGTAGTATCCTCTGTAGTAACCTTCGGCCCACTGAAGCTCTCTGTTATCGCGCACAAGGGCCGCGGAACGGTCGCTTGAGTTGGCAATGGATCTACCAGCGCCATAACCGCTTGAGGAAACGGCCGTGCCAGCAAACTCGACGCCGATGGCACCAGCACCAGTAGCTTGATCATATGGGGTCTCGTCAAGCCAAACAAGATCAGATACCCAGTTGGCATGAGAATCACCAGCCAAGAAAGCAGTGTTTGGGATCTCGTTGCTGTAAAGGTGATGAAGGGTACGGTTGCGGTTCGCGGTGTATCCATCCCACTGATCAGCATTCAACTCATTGCTGTACACTGCGCTGTTGTTCATCCGCGAGAAGATGATCTGATTGCCGATGATCCTCCAGGTAGCACCGCGTTCATGCGACTCGGAGAGCTGGTTGTAGAACCAGTGTTCCTGGCGGCTGCCCATGAGCGAGCGACCAGCATCGTCTTTGAGATCCTCGATGTAGTCGTCGTTCCAGTTGAGTGTCGTGATAGATCGGTCGTAATTGCGAGTGTCAAGCATGATAAGGTCGAAGAGCTTGCCCATCTTGAAGTTGCGCCAGATACGGAGATTGTCGTCCATGTCGACTTGACGAATCCTACGTTCCTCATTAGCGACATCAACAATGGTCAAAGAAGTATACGTACGGCATCCACTCGAAGTATGCGCGGACAGCGTTCATCTTTCTTGAGTCAACACTTACTCCTCCGAACTTTTTGAAGCTCTGCTCAGTGTTGTTCATGCCGCTGAAGCCATCGCGGTAACCGTTGTTCGCGACCTCTGTCCGTTCGTTAGTCGAATACATGCCATCACACTGAGCACCTCACCATGATCATCCCATGTAGGAATCCAAGCAAAGTTCTGGTGAGCAAGTCGAAGGTCGTCATCGGTGCGATACTGGCCGATCCTAGTTCGGTAGTCTTTGAGACTGATTAATAGCTGTCAGACTAAAAGACGAGCCGCGTACGAACCGTAAAGTGTGACAATCTCTCGCGCGGGGTTTGTGGCGCGCGGGTCTTGACCTAGCTTGCCCTTGGTAGACTCGTAGATGTAGTCACCGAGATGAACCTTCATCTCCAGATTAGCAGAGTCACAAATGCGCGTAAGCATCATACTTACGAAGAAGTCAACTTGATCTTTCCTGGCAGCATTCCCGTAAGCATTGAAGTATCCATTCTGCCAGTTGGAACAAGAAAAAATAGCAAGACCGACTTTGGAAACATCGTCGTCTTCGTCAGGACTGGTCTTGGTTCTACCGAGTGGACTCTTGTTGGAGCTACCGCAAACGTTGAACTGGTAGTAGTACTGGGTGAATGGGGACAGGTTCTTCGCCTCGATCTTCTCAAAGTTAGCTTATACTTTACCTTCCCATGGCTTGAGTCATACCTTGACAGTGAAGTCGATGTCGGAAGTGGTGTATGCTTGGCCTTGATCGACGATGCTGGAGAAATTGCCGTCGGTACCAACGCGGTAGTCCACACAGATAGGATTTGGTGAGGCCTTGATGTACTTCTCCGTCTCGTGGTTGTAAAAAGCTACATTACCCGTAACGGTCACATTCGATCTGTCGTTTTCGAGAGATGGCGCAATGCGTGTCCAAAGAATGACCGAGTCGGGATAGGGATCCCCCGAGGCGACACCGTGTGTGAAGCTTAGCTGAGCCGGATCCCACGGAGTCGCCCGCTTGATGAGACTTCTCTTCGCGACCTTCGGCACATCGATGCCAAGGCCTTCGTGTCGGCGAGAAGGCGAGTGGTAGTTCAGGTTGCCATCGAAAGATGCACACACAAGCGAGGCCAGCGGCGCCGCTGCAAGAAGAATTGAAAGCATTGCGGTAATTGAAGAAGCTTTGGTGACTCTCTTCTTACTTTCCAAAATCCCGAGACTTCAGAAAGCTTAAATACTTCAATCACACTTCAACGTGCCGTCCTTCGCGTACAATTTCATCTCCTTCGTACTACTCCGGCCGCCAACATTACCGCATCGTGCATTCAGTACAGTTCTGACAGCAGCTGCAGCCAATCGTAGGGGGTGCATTGTAAGTGTGTAAAAGAGTGCCTGTTGATCGTCAACTGCGACATATGCACGATGCGCATGTGCCGAGAGGATGAGCTGAGATTGGCCGAGCGCGACTTCATCCCGCTGGACAGGCTAGCCCGTTGTGGAGGTATGCAGCACGTCGAACCTCGTTGATCCTGGCATGACATACATAGCGTGAGGAGTCAACGCGACGATGCGGAACTGTAAGGTCCAGTCTTTGCGGTGACAGAAGAAGAGGGTTACTTGGCTTCCCAGCTCCCGGTCCGCGGACACGAACGGCGCTAAAGTTAGAAGAGTTTAGCGCCCACTGTGCCGCATGCTAGAGCTCCATTGTCCATCCTTCGACATCCAGCCCGTCTTGGTTTCCAGAGAAATCCTACATCTCTCTCCTTCTTCCTGGCATAGATTCGTCCTACATAGCAGTTGCAGTGCAGCTTTTGCCTTTCTCTCGATGTCCAACTGTCCGCCTCTAAGGCGCTTGCTTGCTTCTCTATCTTGATTCAACCAAGCACTGCATTGTTAGCACTCCGCCGTACACGTTTCCGTCTTATCCACGTTACATCGCCCGAAATATCAGTCGTGCTTGAGCTATTACGGTACCTCTGATGTCGTTGTGTCTATGCCGACTACGAGATGTTTAAACATGTAACCCTACGTATGCGTGGGAAGCCCCCCGGCTTGCCTAGATCGTTCGCGCTATACAACGCGGTGCCGCTTCATGGCAGTATCGATGATTGCTTTCTACCTGAATTCCGCATGAAACACACCATCTTCTCCTGGGAAGTGTATCACCTTGGCAGCCTTTACCCTTTTCTAATGTGCACGAGCTCCAGAACTACTACATCACAGAAGAGATAAAGACCAGAACGATCTTTATACATGGAACCAAATTTGCCATCGGGCAGGATTATCGGCGAATGTTAGAAGATTACGGGTTGGGTCCAAAGATGATTCTGTTGATCTATTTCTGGAAAGAGTTGACTAAGCCTAACATGGTTTACGAAGTCATGCCTACTGTGGAGGATGCGGCCCGAGCTGTCGGAAAGGTCAAAGGTGCACGACTTTTTGACACCAAAGTCGACGTTCAACTCGATTCTGATGAAGGATACTGGGTCCCCAACGGACCTTAGGTCGAGTCGGTCAGGCATCGAGAACACACGGTTAGGTGCGCCTTTGCTGTCACCATCGGTCGACATTTACAGGCCGATCAAAGAGGGTGAGTTCTGCCTCCGTTGTGATTGCGAATAAGCGTTGACTAAAGTAGTTCAGCCCGCCAAGTACTTGTGACAAGTCGTCAGGGGCACTTCCACAACGCAAAAGCTTGGGACTTGCGGCTGGAGATATATAATATGTTCCATCTTTTTGACGCGGAGTTCTTTGAGATGCGCGAGTTGAAATCGAGGGAATGTTTTATAATCCTCCATCTCGCTTATGCTGAGCGAGCAGAGATTGCTCAAACGACGTACAGCATGTATACGTTACCAAGCGGTAATCGTATCCAGTTTGCATCTACGAGGCTACCAAAGCACTTGTTAAAGAATGTTCCTTGGGGTTCCAGTCGGAGTGAAGGGTAAGTTGGTCACCCGGACATTTTTGGCCGCAATACTAATGGTGTCTTCACAAGGCGTGAGTCCCAATCCGAGCGAGGTCTAGTCACGGGCAAAAACCTCGAACATGTAAGCCATTATCGTTTTACTGTCACCGCTCCTCAATACAGCGAGGTCGACAATGCGAACCCGAACGATAGGTGCAAGAAGACGTGCTTCGCAAGTGGTTATTGGGCAAGAACGATCGAGTTCTCTGTGTTCCTGGGTATGATACCAGTACAGCTGACGTATTCATGGCTAATCGTTGCAACAGGCACAAATACTAGACAACAATGCACATGACCTCCACAAAGATACCCCAACCCACCTAATCAACCCTATAAACAAGCTTAACACCCGAAACCTTCCCATCCTTCAGGTCCTGCAACCCCTCCGGCACACCCTCCAACCCACTCCTCACCTCAATTGGATGCGTCTTGAGCTTACCCTCGCCAAACCACTCCTCAGCCTGCTTCCAGAACCGAGTACCAAAATCGTAATCCTCTTGACTAGCCCCCACCTTCTCACTGTACGCCTCGCCCAGCGCCGTGTAGGCAAAAGTGAACTTGGTCTTCACATCATCCCTGGGGTAATTGTTCACAGGTAGAAGAGCAGACATGTGACCGCCGGTAGAACTAATAGCTGCAGCGGTGATGTCGAATGAGTTTCCTTCGGCGATACAGTCGAAAGCCAGTTTGAGCTTGTCGTTGGTCGCGTCGCGGATCTTAGCGCCTACATCAGCGTCTTTGTAGTCAAAGACTTGGTCTGCGCCGAGTTTGCGGAGGAGATCGAAGTTATGGGGTGAAGATGTTGCGATGACTTCGCAGCCTGTGTGCTTTGCGTATTGGATAGCGAGAGTTCCTGTTGCGGTGGAGCCGCCGTAGATGAGAACGGGGGTTGGTGATTGGACCTTTGCGGGTGGGAAGGGGAGGCCGAGCTCTTGGTAGAGGCCTTGGGCTACGGTTGTGATGCCGACGCCTAGAGTTGCGGCATCTTCAAAGGACATGTTAGAGGGGGTCTTGAGGTTGATTCCGGTTTTGGCTTTGACGTGCTCGGCGAAGGCGCCGTTGGTGTGGTCTGCTGGGTCGCCTGGGATGTGTTAATGACTAGCTTTCATGCTATTCAATGGTAATCGTACCTCCGCGAACAAAGCCAGCAATCCGGTCTCCAACCTTGTAGTGCGTTACATCCTTGCCAACTTCCTCAACTTCACCGGCATAATCGCATCCAGCAATAGCACCTGGCGCCGCCGCTCTCTCGATATTCTTCCAATCCGTCGGGTTCAGCGCTACAGCTTTCGTCTTAACAAGCAGCCAATTCTCAGCCGGAAGCTTAGGAATAGGGACGTCATTGCGTAGCTCAGAGACGCCTTGAGAAACGTGAACAACTGCTTTTTGTGTAGACATGTTGCGTGTGTGAAAGGAATGTGGAAGTCGGGTATGTAGAATTCGGCTTTTAGTGAGATGGGTAAAGAGAGCTTTCATTGTTTATGGGACTAGATGAATCTACGTTTCTTCCTATGATGCAAGAGCTACTAGTGGATTTGTAATGGGAGGGGACTACCGCGTCATGCAGCCTTCTTTAGGACTGCCCGTGGACGGGCGGAGCGGAGTATGTTCGGCGAATTCTGTGGAGCATGCTGAGTATGCTGGAGGACCAACAATTGTCGACTAGTTGTACTGTGTCGTGAACAATGGTATGATATGGCATAGCATTGATAAATCATGTGTGTGGTGGATGCGGAAGGACCGTTGTCACAGTTGCCGGCTGGGAATGGGAGCAGAATGGTCCAAGCTCGGGCTCTGCGCTAACTTTAGCGCAAGGGTCCAGCATCGCGACAGCTCCACGCGTAACTTCACCACTTCAACACTCTACAGACAATCCTTCTGAAGCTTGCCGGGTGCACAACCACCGACTGCGAATATGGACGATCCTCAACGACCACCAACACCCGATGACGAAGACATCAAGCTCAACTTCTTCCCCGACCCCCCGCCTTTCTACAAGCACTTCACAACCGAAAACCTCGCGCGACTCAAAGACATTGAGAAGGAAGCCGCGCCAGAAGATGACGGAACGAAACCCTCGCCCTCGTATCCAGCGACAAAACTCACCGCTGAGCAAATTCTCGCCCTACCAACCGAGCTGCGCTACCTCATCCCGCCCGAACCGCCCGCCGACGATGCCGAGTTCCACGTCTTCGGTACAAAAGAAAAGGCAAAAGGCAAAGATGTATTCCAGCAGAACATGGACTTCATAGCCGAGCAACTCAAGTGGCAAGATGTCTTTCAAGACTGGACGTACGAACAACTCTACCCTTCCTCCTCCACCGAGCCTACGACCGACGACCCCTCCGCGCAACTACCTACGGCAAACAACTCCGCGTCTCTCGACCGGCAAAACTACCTCTTCCGATTCCTACGAAGCATACTCATGAGTTACATATCGCTACTGGGCATCGTGGCAGCGAATCCGACATCAGAGCAGAAAGACCAGAAACTCAAGGATATCATGACGCTGGTTGCGAATATGCATGCGCTTATCAATGAGTATAGGCCGCATCAGGCGAGGCAGACGCTCATTGCGAAGATGGAGGAGCAGGTGCGCAAGAAGAGGGAGGAGGTTGAGGGTGTGAGGAGGATGGGAGAGAAGGTCAAGGAGGTGCTTGCTGGATTCGGTGGGGTGGATGGTGAGGATAAATCCGGAGACGGGGGTGAAGAGACTATGGAGGATGGTATAAGGGCGAGGGAAGAGGATAGAAGGCGCGTGCAGAGGGGCATGTGGGAGGCTATTGGTGAGGTTGTGGGATAAGACGTGCGAATTCAGGCAATTATCACGACGAATAGCATTGTTATACGAGGCAGCGAAAGCTGAGCTCTGCTGTGGATGCGCGGTGGCCTCACAAGTTCAGTCCGTAGCTCTGAAGCTGGCACATAACGCGTCTCCCACATCAGTGCAAAGAAGCATCGAGGTATCTCTGACAAACATGGCAGACGTTCGATCTCAGAACCGCTGCGCCTAGTACACATCGCAAACAAGCGGCAACATGGCCTGGGTTCTGGCATCGTGCTGGGCATCCATCCATGGATTGCTCCAAAAGGCGCCATCATTATATTTACGCCCACTACATGCATATCTTCCACATACGACCATAGGATCATGAAAATTAGGCTTCCCGTCCGCTCAGCCATATACAAGCATGATACCGGCGGATTAGTAGTTAGGTGGGTGACCACTAGCGAATCCCCGCTGTTGTATGTTTTTGCCATTTGGTCTATCTTTTTGCTATTCTAGCCATGACGTCATGGCACCTGCCGTCCTGCAGCCTTCCAGGAACACCAATCCAGAATCTCTGTCTACGATCCTTCTCAGCCACATCCAAAGCCACATTTCTTCATTGATCAGCTGTTCCTCCATCGTTCTTCTCATTGTTTCGGAACTTCCCGTTGTCGCGCGCGCCGGTTAATGTTGTGCTTGTGACACCGACATAAGGCTGAACGGATTCCAAGGTTGGCACGCGCTCAGCCCTGGTGCGCAGACCGCCGAATACTCCATAAAGAAGGCAACCACAGCTGAGTTTTTGGCGAATTCAGCCCCTGACCGACTGTCCTTCAGCCTACAAATGCCTAGAGATAAGCAAGTAGGACGAGGAGGACTGGTATTTATCCGTACGCGACCGCATCGTTTCTATCAATTCTCTACGCGCTTCTTTGGTTTATCTATCCACCTTTTGTCAATCTTCTAAGTCTGCGCTGCGCATAAGCTTTCCTTACGGCTTTTCAACCATGCCTTCCACAACTTCAAATAGGCCAAGTAAGCGCCTAGCCGTCTTCTGCGACGGAACATGGGTAGGCCGCGAAACCCAAGTAGAAGACGCGCCTCCAAGCAACATCCGCCAACTCGCCAACATGGTCGGCGAAGTGCAATACTCCACGGACGACAAGACAGCCGCCAAAGTTCACCACATCAAACCGCACAAAACAACTCCCAGCAGCTCTTCCCCCGACATCATCGCCGGCTACCAGGAAGGCGTAGGTCTTAACAAGACCTTTCTGCAGTACATCTGGGACGGCGCAACCGCCTCGACCATCAGCGACGAATGCATAGCCGTCTACCGCTTCATCGTAGAAAACTACACGCCTGACCATGAAATCTGGCTCTTCGGCTTCAGCCGCGGCGCCTTCACCGTCCGCTGCGTCGCCGGCATGATTAACAACTGCGGTATAATAAAACGGCTCCCATCGTACTCTGACGCAGAAGTCCAACGCCTCTGCTACGAGGTCTTCCGCACATACCGGAGCAACCTCCCTGTCGACGCCCCCAAAAGCGAGGAATGCCAGAGATGGAAGGGCCTCGGCGATAGAGTATGGCAGGTCAAACGCCCGATCCGCTTCATGGGTATTATAGATACGGTTGGTGCACTCGGTATCCCGCGCCTGAATGCCGGAATAGGGTTCGACTGGAGTCCCTTTGAGTTCTTCGACCAAACCATTTCAAGCGTCGTACAACATGTGTATCACGCGCCGTGTCTACACGACCGCCTCTGGATCTTTCAACCGTGCCTTGTTTACCCCAACGAAGACGACGAAGAAGAAAGGGAAAGAGCGGTAGTAAACCAACGCTGGTTTCCAGGTACCCACTACGACGTCGGACGCATGACCTTCCGCTTCGTGCGGCAAAGCCCCGCGAACTGGATCGAAGATGCACTAGGTTGGCTTCCGAATCTCCTCTCACGTACTATCTATCCGAATGAAGTGCTCAGCGACGCGGTGTTACGGTGGTTAGTACAGGGAGTCCGGGACGCAGACAACGACTCTGCAACGCCTTTGATGCCCAACACAGACGCTCATATCACCACTCTCAGCACGCGGCTCGGAGAATCCTCGCTTGCCCTTCCAAACGAGTCTGCAGCACCATCGTCCCGCACAGGAAGCGGCGACATCTACGGCGACGTCCTCGCCTACGCCCCCGGCGGCGTGCTCTTCAGCGCCATACAACGTACATCCCGCTCCATCACCAGTGCTCTCAACAATGTGTTTCCTCAACTCGGTGATAACCTGCAGGGACTACTGGGTATCAAGACGCTCGTGGGTATTTTGACGGCGACGGCTGATCGGCGGATACCGGGGACGCAGGCGGATGTGTATCCGTATATGGAGGAGGAAAGTGTGGTGGTGGAGGGAAGGCAAGTCAGTTTCTCGGTAGAGAAATTAGCAAGATTGAATGAGAAGAACGAGAGGGGGGTGTTGAGGTATCCGAGTCAGACGCTGGAGGCGTTTTTGTTGTGGAAGAGGGTCTTTGGGAGGGAGGAGAATGAGACAAATGAGTGATGGATGAACTGGTGATTATGGAGATCGTTTTGCTTTTCTTGGAGACAAGGTAGTGGTGGTAAGCGTATGCATTGTTTCTTAGTCAGCTTCGTTCTTGTTTAGCTTTACTTGCTCTTATTCATCTCAAAGGCACCTTCATTCGCAAACGCCTTCTTATCAACGACTTGATCCCTAGCAAAATATCTATTAGATTCTTCTCTATACTCTAAACATAGTCATCATCAACGTTGAAAAGACTCTCTCGTCTAAAACTGATCCACTTCATTCCCGATATGAGACGATTGAGGCAAGACTTACTTCTTGCCACGGCCTCCGAAACCCCATCGAATTTGATTCGCCCAGCGTCCCTCAACACCAAGATCATCAGCACACTGCCAGACGAAACCAGGGTTTTTCTGGAACATGCGCCCGATAAACGCAACGTCGAGGTTGTCGTTCTCCAAGTACCCATTCGCCTGTTTACCATCGGTAATACTACCCACAGTACCCACCGCCATCTTGTCTCCAACCTTATCCTTGACTGCCTTGGCAAACGGCTCTTGGTAACCTGGTCCACCGTGGATATGCTGCTTCTCGTGTAGACCACCGGATGAAACGTCAAGCAGGTCTACGCCCCGATCAGCGAGTATCTCAGCGAGTTTGACGGTCTGGTCTACTGTCCAGCCTTCGATGCCGGCTTCGTCGAGCCAGTCAGTGGCACTGATGCGCAGGACGAGAGGCATATCTTTGGGAATAGTCTTGCGGGTTAGATCGACGAGTTCGAGGGTGAGGCGCGTGCGGTTCTCAAAGGAGCCGCCGTATTCGTCGGTGCGGTGGTTCGAGGCGGGGGACAGGAAGGAGTGCAGCAGGTAGCCGTGTGCGTTGTGGATTTCGATGGTGTCGAAACCGATGTCTACGGCGCGTTTGACGGCGTCGACAAAGGCTTGCTTGAAGGCTTCGATGTCTTGTTTTGTCATCGCTTTGGGTGTGCAGTGGTGGTCGTTGAAGGCGATGGCGGAGGGCGCGTAGACGTTGTCGGGCCACCCGTTTAGCTCTTTCGTTGCGATGTCGCCTTTGCTGAGCCATGGGGCGACGGTGCTGGCTTTGCGGCCGGCGTGGGCGAGTTGGATGCCGATCTTTTGGCCTTGGGAGTGTGCGAATTCTACGATCTTGCGCAGAGGCTCCTTTTGCGAGTCTTTCCAGAGACCGCAGTCTTCCGGTGTGATCCTTCCTTCGGCCTGTACTGCGGTGGCTTCGACGAATGTCAGACCAGGGCCGCGCTGGATGATGCCGCCCAAGTGTGTGAGGTGCCAGTTTGTCTGGTGGCCATCTTCGGCGGAGTATTGGCAGAGAGGGGAGAGGGCGAGGCGGTTCTGGATCGTCATGCCGCGGAGCTTGAGAGGCTGGAAGAGTTTGGGGATCTTGGAGCTGCCATCGAGCATGCCAAGGGCTGTTCCGGCGACGGGCTCTTGGGCGGGAGTGAAGTAGGGGATCTGGATGGGTCAGCTAGGTGATGACGTGAGGTTTGAGTGTATGCATACACCAGGGGCGGCCTTGTTCCTCAGCTCATCGTGCTTGGGCACTTGTTCGCTGTTCTTGTCCTCGGGGATATCCTTTGCGATCGCATGGTGCGAGTGCGGCTTGTCGGTATCAGCCTCAATACCCATTATGGCGGTTGTTGGTATGTAGAACTGGATTTGTGAAGTGTGAGGGGTGTGGTGTCGAGAGTCGGAACTTCAATGGATATGGAGTGTGGAGAGTGGGTGGACAATGGCGTCTTTATACGCTCTGTCATTCTTCTCGAATGTACCGACATGACGTGCGTATTTGGACATTGCTACCACAGAACCCCTGCCGCGGGGCAGCTTTGGCGCCCCGCCTTCCTCGTTCGGCATGGCTTGTCACTAGCAGTCCATCATTTCGCTGCGTCCTGATTTGTAAGACACACGTCGTCGCATTCACCGATAGGCGTCGGGTAGTCGAGTATGTTGTTGAGGGCGCGCGTACCTGAGTGATGGTTTACTGTGCTATGGTTGAGCCAGTCAGAAGTTCGCTGGAAAGCTTAGCCATGTGCTGACAGAGATAGCCGAGTAACATAAGCAATCCTTCTCATGATATGCATGCATCCGTCATGCTGTACGCTACATAGCCTGGAGCTTGTTCGCCCCTACTTCGGGATACTTAATTGTCAGTACTCGTTCACTACTTACTGAGCTTCACGCAGCATGCCTCAGAAGCTTGAAAGGCATTCTTGCATTGCCTTACTAAGCATCATGATATACCCGGCGGCTACTTAGCCATTGCGACGCGGCTCAAACTCGGCCCAAGCCACGCCGCCGAACTCTACCGCTCCAAGCCATTAGTGCCGTAATCGATTCTGTCTCATAGACTTCCCAACTCAGTATACCAAGTCTTTTACGCCGGTATTGACCCTGCTAAATATGCGACAAGCGTACAGCGTAAAGCTTCATCCATCATGGCGTGTGGTCAAGCTTTCCCTCGTGCGGGTAAGCACCATGTGTAACATAGCCTATTTAACTTCGAGCACTACCTGACCAACGCACGCGTCGCGCACCATCAAGCCTGTCCGTCCAGTCTCGGAGGCCAATTGAGCGCTCGATACTTAGACCCATACAAGTCATCCGTAGTTCTGTGCTCTACCGCTGGAACCTGAAAGTGACTATGTGGGGAACCGGGCCTGAACGTCTTTGCCTGTTTCTCCGGTCGAAGCACGGCATAGTTTCGCGTCGCGACTCCATCCCTATCGCCACTGGACTCCATATATATGGTCCCTATCCTCCATCTGGTTTCCATATCCAAGTCCGCCATACTATACACGTCCTCTTCGGATCCCAAATGAGGCTGGTCGATTCGATATTCGAGTAGCTCTTCTTCCCTTTGCACGACGCGATTGACTTGCTCAACAGGATCTTTCCCATCATATCGAGCTCTCAACTGGACCACCTCATCCAGATACGGTCTGGGAAGTCTCACCATCATGAATCTTAGCTTCTTCAAATTACCGTAGATGTCACTCATTTTCCAACACACTTGTTGATATGCGTCTCCGCTCGCCAATGGGCCCTGAACGAAGACGGAGAGGGACTCAAGATGTGCAAAGCTCTTGACGGTCTCGACGATGTTTGTTCCTTCTCTCGTACCGATCCAGTCCATTGCCCCTTCTTTCTTAACTTGCCACTACCAGACATGCTGCACGGCCACCTTCATTGTGCACCCTGGCCACAACAACCAAGTGAACTCGATCAGCATCTGGATTGTGTCAAACAGAAAGACCAATATTGATGACTTGAGCACAAAGCCGTACTCGTAGCGGTGGCCGCAAACCCTCCCTGTGTTGTGTAGCATGACGGCAAGCATGCAGGCCATGATTGGCCAGAAAGCACTCTGCCGGGAAACCCCATTAGCCGTACCGCTGCAAGCTAAGATCACATCAGCGCGAGATTGAGGGCAGGTCAGGACCTATTTTAGTCTCATGGAGTACTATTTCCACCTACGTGAGGGATACTTTGCGACATAGCGGGACGTAGTCTTGGAAAACATGAGTGAGGGGTGGCACGCGAGAGCTATACAGCTCTCGATGTAGAATGTGGTGGTGCAGTACGAATGACACCGCTCGTAGGTGAGAGGCGTAGAGCATGCAGTATGAGCTCAAACGAGACAGTCTGTGGCTGTGTCGACGAGGCTGAGGATTGTTTGGGTGTAAGCAGGCGATGTAATAACCCAGCCTCCATCGTTGATTTTGCGGGACGGCTCACTGTTATCAGCAAATATAGTGTTGCTGCCTTTTTAACTCTAAGAAATTCATTTGTGACGTGTGCTATTGCGCTATTCGTCTTGGAGATGTTGACTGTGTACAAGGCTGAAGAAAGCCCGCCGTTACCGAGCGAATCGCATGCGCGGCCAAAGATCTAGCCTTCTCTCTAATCAATGATCTTCAAAGTAGCGCCACAGCCTCCCACTCGCAGCCTTGGAAAGCTCTCAGTCCACCAAGCTTCGATCTGACTGTGAAGCGCCCGATGCGCACGAACTTACCATCTTCGATAGGATGTATGATTAAGCCCCATGCGTTACGTTCAGTGTCGTAGCCCTCCGCTACCTTCGTATCGATGCATGTCGAAGCTTTTGTAGACATGTCGTCAACGATCGCTACCAAATCTTCCTTTCTGTATACGCCGCCAATAGCGCTCGCCAACAGCAGCATGTGCCCGTCTTCCAGCAGCAAATCATGGTTGTCGTCGGGGTTTCTCCAGTCGAACTCGCAAACAGCGATGCTGCCATCATGGGTTGTGACTTGATATGCTTGGTTAATCCACTCGTGATCATCTGGTATAAGATGAAGGATAGACGGAAGTGGGGCGACCCTTGCTTCGACGTCAAGCCTAGCATCAGTGATCCTGCCGTATGGGTTGAAATTCGCGTTTTCGGGTTGCGACCAGGCATTAAGTGATCTGCATTCGGACCTCAGTGAGTGTTCTCGCAGACCGTTCCAATCGTCCTCAGGGGGGAGATCCTCGTATGACTTGTGCGAGACGTCGTAACCCAAGGATCCGTTGATTGTATTTGCCCAACTCCATGATGGGCAGATATACGTTGCAGAGCCTGGACGTGAAATATGAGATAGGTAATATGGTTGACTTGACACGACATGGGACTCGCTCTTCCAGAGAAGGCCGCGAAGCAGGTCATTGCACCACATTCCGGCAACGTAGGTGTCTCCTAATGCTTCCGCTATTAATCTGACGAGACCTGAGACTGCTGGGAACCTGTCTTGTTGGTCGGACAGCTTCTTTTGAGAAACAAACTCAGTTGCGTTCAGCCAAGAGTTTTGCAAAATTTCTGCGTCGCCAGTGGCAATAAACTCGCGATATTCGTCGTGAAACGACGATGGCCACTGGTGAGATGACAACGGATCGCGGTATTTGTCGCGGTTACCTTCCGTGAGTTGCTTATTGCTCAACGCCAGATGAAGGCGGGATGTTCCGAACCAGATCTGTCGTTTTGACAGCCTTTCCTCTTGGTACACCCAAGCGCGACTATTCCACGCACTTGATGCTGAATCCAAAAACCGGAATGAATCAAAGGAACATTCTTTGTCTGTAATGCGATCCAGCGCTGGCTGTCGGCATATGTGCAGGAGCCCTTCGACCTGTGGCCTCAAGCCGGATTTGAAGTATACCCGAACCGTGGGAGTTCGGATAAGGAAGCCTTCCAAACAGCTAGACGATGCCAGAGCGCATATTGTTGCATAGGCGTTTGTGTATATGAGGCCCATACGTCGAGACTCACGTGCCCAGTCTTCGGTATCGTCTTGGATGATGCTAAGCGCATCTACCCAGAGATAGCGTATGCGTAAAGTCCGCGCAACTTTTATCGCATCATGAACTACGTTGGTTATCTGGTCCGATGGAAGGCACTGGAGATGTCGTCGCAACGTGGACCATGTGGTTTTCAATTGTTGTGCGGCTGCAAATGCCTCTCCCCAGCAGTAGCTCAATGCCAGGTATCGCGTGTGCGAAGGCATCGCTAAGGTCGTCACGATCCGGACACTGCCAGTATGCGCCTCGGCTTCGACGTCAATAAGTCGCATGGGTAAGAAGTCGGACTGCGTATGCTGGCTATAACTGGCATCGTCATTCTCCAGTTCTTCTTGGATCCATGCAACGTTCTCATCACAGAGCACGTCCGAAGGCGGAGACAGTATGGTTCGCAACCAGTTTCTGCAAGTTTCTGGGTTCGTCAGAACATGACCAAAGGCATCACTCTCTGACTTTGTACCTTGTGCCGACTCAATGCTAAAGGCAATCGAAACGAGTATGACGTTGGGATCACTGTCGTCCTTTTCGACCTTGGCAGTCAGGTCAGCGAGCAGCATGTACAGGCCAACGCCTTCTGGTGCACACGGAGGATTCCAAAGGTAGCGGAGATGATACGTGACGGTACATGCTTCTGGTAAAGCATTACGTAACGTCTCCTCACGTAGCACTTTACAGAATGCGCATCCTGCTTCAGCAGAAGCCGCGAGTCCCGGCAGATTAGGGAAGATATCAGAGTGAGTGTAGTTGAGTTTGAGCAGCTCGTTGAGACGTTTGTATGATTCATGCTCCAACTTCTTATCAGGGAAACGTATAGCGTCGCCTTCTCCGACGAAGTCTCGCAAGACTCGATCATCGAGAGAGAGGACCGAGCATCTTGCACATAGAGTGTCACCCATTGAGGGATTCGCGTCAGTGGTGATGATCTGACAGGGAAGAGTGGACGAACTTGGTGATGGATTGTGAGGCTACTGACGCTTAAAAGGCAGAGCAGAACGACGCTAGTCCAACCTGAGTGGAGCTAAGCCCTAACATGTATTCTACGAAGGTTTGCAGTGCAAGCCTTCGCTTTCTCACCAAAAGTTTTAGGATACTTAAGTTAGAACCTTCGCTTCAAGAAAGTCCAAACCATCGCTTAGTATTGCTGCAAAATTAATGCAACTTTAGCGTAGCCTATAGTAGTTGTTTGGTTTTTTGTTTGAATATTGTAAGAAGCTGCGAGTTGCTGCCGGAAATACTCGGCCGTGCCGCATATAATTTCGACGCGTGCGGACGTGTGAGCTCTGCAACACCGTAGCTTCTCATTCTTACTCTCCCGACAATACTGGAAACCAAACGTAACAGTATTTCGAACCCGATTTTCACCCCATATACCGCTGTCTGCGCCTACTGCCGAGCATGCGATCCTACACCGTCGCGGAAGAGGCTGCAGCGCGAGGAAGGAGGAAGGAACAGGAACGCCTGGACAATTCCTGGACTGCGCGCTGGGCCCACAACACCAAACGCTTCCTAAACATGACAGCCCAACTCGCGAATGAGATCCGTGATGAGCGGAAGATAAGGATGGTAAACAAAAGAGTTGCACAGGAAGCGGAGAAATTGCGAAAATACAAACCCATGAAGTTGCGCGCTCGCAAACGTTGCGCTCAGGAGAAATGCGCCCTACTCAATCTGCCAACTGAGATACGGATCATGATCTGGGAGTATGTCATGGCTGGGAAGTTCATCGTACTCTATCGAAAGTGGGGCGATGTTACATCCATCTTCGTGGACAGGCATGATGCAATGGGTGTTAACAACCCCACTGCCTCTATCATGTTGAGCCTAGCGATGCCTAAATCGAAATCAGGTGTCGTTTCCTTACTCCAAACGTGCCAGACCACGTAAGTCCTCGAGCCATGGCGCCTTTTCGAAAGTCTACAAACTGATGGACTAGATATCTGGAAACGATTATGATGCTTTATCAAGACAATACCTTTATCTGTCTCGATAATACCGTCCTTGTTGAACTGTGTAGGGAACGAACTCTGTTCAACATGTCTGCCATCCGCTCTTTGCACTATTCCGTCGGTATCCAAAAGTTTTTGTCGATGCAGACGTCGTTGTCAGAGCGCGAGATGATCCCGTCTCCTACTCACGCCGAGAAATCAGGGAGTGTCAGCAAGGTCTTTCATGGAAGTTTTCCGAAACTCCAAAATCTCTCAATATCTTTCTACGGTCCCCTCCGCAACGGCGAGGACTACACCAAAATGCTGGCGCACTTGAAGAGCATCTATCGGCAGCGGATCTCGATAACGATGAACGCGTTGGACATGCCCGAAGGCTATTTATACAGCGACCGACTGGTTTACAACATGCACCGTACGACTATCGTTCGGATACTGGAAGGCTCCAGACGTCCTGCGTATAGTGTCGTGTATCCGCCTCAGGCCGAATTTAATGACCCCTCAGTCGAGAACTTTACTTGGAGGGCTAAGACGCTATGGCTACGGCCTCATGACGAGGCAGAGGCTGCAAAGAGACTGGTGTACGTAGTACTCAGACCCGAGGATGAATCAAGGAGGAGCGTAGGGGATCCTGAACCGCCAATACTCTGGGAAGTTATTCCCGCCAACTAGGAGAGTAAGCAATTACATCAGTGCTGACTGGTTGTCTGTGCATGAACCTTCCACTTCCTGTTTTGGGCTCGCATACACGTTGAAGGAGAATTCGACTGCCGAGTGGAGTCGGATACATCGGCACTCTCCATCACCCGACGATCTGTACCCAGCAAGGCGACGTCAATGCAGATATGACGAAGGCTCCTGCCTGGTCAGGAAGCCCAATGATGCGCATCACGCGTGTTTCGTTTCGAGATGGCTGAGGCTTCAAGGCTGAGGCAGCCGACGTTCCCGATGCTTTCCAGGTAACCGGTCCTTTTGCGCGTGAAGTTATGTGGGAACTTGCCGGCAAGGCCGAACGCCCTTTGGGAAGCTTTGCATGCATGCCTCGGACAGGGAGTGTGGCATAACACGCCGAAGAGCATGATGATACGCTTTTGTTGCAGCCGCCTGTGCTACAAAGCCACAGGTGGTGCGAGAAGCCTCTCTAGAAGTCAATTTCGCAGTGGGGCCGTTGTCTACATGGCGAAGTAGAGGCGGCCAAAGCGGTGATAGGGTCTTCGTTAGATGGGATTGCAATTTACCCCACGGCGATTGCGGCGCATGATGAGAGGAACAGGCTAGCGGGCTGCTATCTTGGGCAAGGTGAAGCATGGGGCCAAACATGGACGAATGTGGCGCCGGCCAATGGCAGGCAAGCCGCAACCCTCCGCCAGCCGCTGCCCTCGAACGCGACCGAGTATCACCTGTTGACGCTCCCCCGACACCACTCGTGGCCGTTTTGTGCTCCATCGACAAACGTAGACGCCGACGCTGCGATTCACTCACTTGCTCGCGCCATAGCATCTTGTACTCCATTCGTGTTGTGTTCACCTTGCGACTGCCGCGCGATACCCCTTCGCGCCTGCCGCTCCCTGACGCCCGTACCCACTCGTTCACCACAACTATAGTCGTCGCATTCACCACGGCGCAAAGCCAGCAACAATAGCCCGAGTAACAACAATACCGCCATTGTCGCTATACATATACGTACTCAGCCATCGGACACGCCTCTTCCGCTGTCACCGCTGTTCAAGCCTTGCGCATCTCAAACACGCAACGCTCCACCCACACGCACACGTCTCTTGTCATGCGCACGGCACTCTGGTAGCATCCCGAACCTCCACCTTTCTGGACAAGACTCCGTCCCCTGCGAACCGCCGCAGTCCTCCGCCTGCTTAACAAAACTATCGCCCCTGTCGCTCTTTCCCTCGCTCGCTAGTGGTGAGCAGCCGGCCTGTCACCACCATATCGCGAACTACTCTCTCTACAACCGAAATTGCCTCCTCCTTTTGGCTACAACAACCAACCCATGTCCTAGCGACCAAGTCACTCTTTAGACGAACAGCTGGACTGCAGGCCACCGTACCGCTGAGCGGATACTTACATACACACATACGTACATACCGACTAATACCGAACCACCAACATGGGGTGCTGCGGAGACCGCGAAAAGGGAACCACGGTGACGGAGGAGCAGAAGTGGACTTATATTGTAAGCACTTGAGCGCGAATATGGAAGCGCATCACTAATTGTCTTAGAACTTGTCCGACTTCAAGTCTACATCTTGCCTCGCACCTTTCTCTTACGCCTGGCTGTGGATCCTCGTCGTCATCTCATGCGCCGTCTACGCTGCCGATGCCTTCACCGCTGTCAACCTTCTCGCTTTCGACAAATGGACGAGCCAGGTCAAGCCTACCGTGCCGTTCGACATTGCCAAATGGATCTTCGCCATCACCATCATCGTCTCCTACGTCTTTCTCGCATACCGATGGATCCGGGCTCTGCGCGTCATGCGGACAGGAAGTGTCACGGAATGCTACCTCGAGCCATTGGCTGCTATACTGCAGAGTATGCGTATCACAAAGACTGGCCAGGGCTGGCGCCGTTTCTTGGTCTTCGCAGAGTTGACCAAGAGTAAGAAGGGTGCCAACTACATCGCTCTCTTCGTATATTTCCAGTTCAAGAGCGCTCTTCTCATCATCGTCGCTCAGGGACCTCGAATTGCCCTCAACGCCATGACTTTATACGCCGTCATGCAAGCGCAGCTCATACCCGTTGGCGAGCACGCGTCAGAAGACCGCTCCAACTTTGAGCAGTTCTTCATGAATATCAAGCTCATGGTCGAAACCGGCAACAAGCAGGAGACAGTCATCTACTTCACCATGTTGTTCTCTCTCGTCATTTGGGTCATCGCTGCGCTGGGTCTCATCATCGCTGGAATCCTATACATCTTCTTCCTCTGGCACTACATTCCCAGGGCTGATGGCAGTCTTACCAACTACTGTCGACGCAAGGTCGAGACCCGTCTGGAGCGCATCGTGGGCAAGAAGATCAAGAAGGCCATCGAGAAGCAGAACCAGCAGCTGAAGAGGGAGGAGGAGAGGGCCATCAAGAAGGGTGAATTCGACGCTTCCAAGTCCCGTCCTACGCTACCCAAGCTCCAAGACGACGATGACGATACATCGACTGTCTTCTCGCTGCAACGATCCGATACGATGCAGACCACAGCGACGCTACCCCCGTATACCCTCGCAAACACACCTTCATACAGAACAAACCCGGAGCGATCGAACACTTCGAACACCATGAACTCGGGCCGAAACTTGATGAACAAGCCGTCTCTGCCAACGCTAGACGAGCGCCCTGGCATGCCGGAGCGCGACGCACAGTTCACAAACTTCTCGACTGCCAGTTTTGCTTCCAACGCGCCAATGTTGAGCCAGGCAGGAGGTATGGGCAGGGCGTCGCCGGCACCTCAAATGCCACCTCTGGACCGTAACGGCACTGGGTACTTTGGTCAGCAAGACAGTCTGCCATACCAGTCCGACCGACCTTTCACACCAATGCCACAGGGTAGAGCGTCCCCACTTCCACCACGTGGGCCCATGCCCCCTGTGGATACCAGCTACAACAATGGGCGGTACGAGAACGATCCCCAACTGATCACACCCCTCGATACCCGGGGTACACCACAACAAGCTCACCCCAACCGACCATACCAAGAGTTCAGCCCCTACGACAGCCGGGGTCCTCAGATGGGTCCCGAGTATGAACTGTCGCCTGTCGATGTCAATCCCACAGAGGACATCTCCCAGCACTACTTCTCGGACTCAAACGGACAACCCGACTACCAGCCACCTCAAATGCCCAGCTTATTAAGAGCCGGCTCGCCCGCCCCGTCGCAGCCCATGGGCCTACCTTCTCAACCACGATCTGGCACTGCACCACCCCGAGCTGGTGTTCCAGCATCACTGCAGTCTGCAATCCAGCGTCGTGAAGCCTCGCAACCTTTCCCCAACCGAGGCATGAACGGGTCAGCGCCACCTCAGCAACAACAAAGAAGTGCAACAGCACCGATCCAGCAACCAGGCTGGGCTCAGGGTCCTCCTCCCCGTAGCTACACTCCCCAGGGCCCCGGCCCCCAACAGCGCAGCTACACACCTGTATCTGGACCCCAACAACAACAGCAACAACGCAGTTACACCCCAACTGCGCCCCGCGGCTACGACAACAGCTACAACTACTGATCTCCCTCATTTCACTTTTCTCATACAACGTTTGGACCAACCACATTCATGCATCTTACGGCGTTCACTTCTATCTCTCTCTGTCATCTTCGTGCCTGAGGCCGCCCAAACCCATTCTTTCCTTACAAACCTTACATTCACACCTACGACATTCTCTCCTCCGCTCCATTGTGAGAGTGAGGGAAATGTTTAACGACTTTTTCTGTTTTCGACTTTCGCTTTAGCTTGGTTTCGAGATACCCCCACCCGCATGGCTGGCCTCGGACGTCCGTTCGCTCTTTTGGTTTTTACGTGGTTACTTGGAGGATGACTTGGTGGAATTGGATGATTTATCGGGATATGTGGAGGGATGTGGGGATGGTGATGAAGGGGTGGGATCTAGGCCTAGGCTTAGACTTGGGCTTGTATAGTAAGCATGATTGGGTTATGCTCAAAAGCGAAGATGTTTGCGCAAGGAGGAAGCGCGCATTGTGTATTATATACCCACTTCTTTTGCGGAGAATTGAGAGCAATGGAACTTGTGCATAACCATCATCATGTCTTCACTATCTTGACTACCCTTTCGACACATCTTTGCCGCAGACACACGACTCACTCTCTTTCTCATTGCATCTCACCTCATCCTCTCTAAGTTGTGTGGGCCTTCAGCAACGGCGACACACTCTCAGGGTGTCAATAACATAATATGGCAGATGAGAATTTCGATTAGCTATTCCGCATCTTGACGACTATCCATATGGTATGATCAGGCGGCCCCATGACTAACACTTCACTACCTTAGGCTCCTGAACACATGGTCATTCTTACTGATGGTCTTGAGACCTCTGCGTGCGCTGTATTTGTCAAGGTCAGCCTAAGCCCGGCCTTATGCAAGCAGTCAGCGGCACTCGTCGTGCCCCCGCATTTCCTGCTGACGCGCTCGACCACGATTCTGAACAAGGGCTGGAGTATTTACCTGTTTGACGAATCTGATGTAGTTTCGCAACTGCTCAACCGAACGGATAAAAGAATGTGGATCAAATCCGCGGGTTCAACAGCCAAAAATCAAGTACGCGGCACAGAGCTCACATAGCAAGCTGCCGATTATCGTATCTACCACACGTTTGAGACGATTGATAACGTGATGCACACCGCTTATGCAACATGGGACGACCCGACCCTTTGTGCCCAGCATTCTCTAGGCCGGGGTAAACAAAAGGCCCGTAATAAGACGTCAGCGAAACTGCCTCCTATTAGCCACATCCGCAGCACGTGCAGTCTACGACTTCTCGCCGCCGCCATTCGCTAGTCGCACAGCCCTTGAGATTCTCGACGGTAACTATGCCAATGCAAAGTTAGCTTCGACATTTTTTGCTACGAATCGTAGCCCGAAGGCTGACAGTATGCCCGAGAGCGTTCTCATGGTCCTACGTATTGTTCTAGAGACTGTTATGGTAAGATCGCTGCAGGTAGGTAGTGCAAAGTCTTTCACGCGGATTCAGAATTGATCGATTGATCAAGGCCAACAAAGCGCGAGTAAGACTGAGATGACGATTATTAACAGTCTTACTCGAGCTTTGTTGGCCTTAGACTGCTTACATGGAAAACCCAGTTCCAATCAGAAGACAGTCGCAGCGGTCTATCATGTTTCATGAATCATTGGCGATATATCTTGTAGCGAGCTGCTGTCCGCTCTCGATAAGTCATAGTACCCGCACGTATCCATTTTGGCAGGTCACTTCAGCTGCTTATTACTGAAGTCGAACATCGCCTTAATTGAGCTGATAATAATGACAGTACGTTATTGAGACAGAAGCAGAGACTACATACCGGGGCTTGATGATAGCCTAGTAGTCTGGTCATGTTGCAATTCAATCGGCTAGGTTTGCTACAATTCATTCGAAAGTGACAGGCTGCTTCAAAATGACTTCTTATATCTGAACACAGCTGCTTCAACAGATTGAGGACTACCTTGACTGCTATTTCCACGCTTAATGGTTGCTGCGACTTAAACACATGTCGTCATACAGCCCTCGATGATCGAACAGAATAACACAAAACAATGCTTGTAGTTTAGTGAACACGAGGTCGGCACTGTCCGTCGTGCCAAGATACCATAAGCAATCGCCCTCTTGTCCTGTCTAAGATCAACGTAAGCAATCACCCACTTGTCTAGTCTAAGACTACTATAGGCAATTGCTCTCTTGTCTAGGCTAAGACTTCTATAAGCAATCGCCCTGTTGTCTAGCCTAAAACTACCATACAAATCCACCGTCTAACCACTACAGTAGAGCAAGGACAAGACATCTTGCCTCTCAGGAAAGTGCTCAGAGACAGACCCATGAATGATCGACATCTCTGATGGTTGCGATGTCTCTCATCCGAGGAATACCTTTGCGTATGTGATGGTTGCAGGAATCGTGAGTGGCTCGTCAGTCTCCGTCATCGCAGTACCAGTGTGAACAATCGATGCTGGGTAATTGGAAAAAAAAAAAGGTATAAGTATGATCTTCAAACCTCGCAACAAGCACCACTCGCATCCTCAACAATATCAACAACAGCCATCCAACTCACAAGGACCATCAACATGCCTTCCATCCAATCCATCAGCCTGGCCTTCATCGCCCTCCTCGCTACGGTACACCTCCCCTCTCCCCCATACCGTCCCATTGCGCCAACCCCAAACTAACCCTAACCCCAGACCAATGCCATCACGGTGAGCGATGGCGGCGCAGCCGGCGGCTGCCCAGGCGGCTGCTGCATCCCGGCCTGCAACGTGATCGCCTTTGGCGAGGGCGACGATCTGGGCGCATTCGGAACCGCGTCTTTCGCCGACACATGCAAGCAGAACTACGACCGGAAGAACGGCGGTACAGTTGATCTGGGTGACGACCACCAGGCAACCTGGGTCTACGAAGGCGAAGACAAAGTCTTCCTCGATGTCTTCCGCAAGAGCGACAAGAAGTATAATCGTTTCGAGATTACTAATTGTCAGTTGGCTTCCACGGGTGGGTCGCAGTGCGCGCCTAGTGGTGGGGGCTGTGTAAGTTGTGAGCGGTCAATTGTGAGAACTGTGCTAATGGATGCGTGTAGGATGCTAAGCTGATCCTCGTTGAGCAACAGGGCTAGAGGACTGACTGCACTTATGACAGTGTGTGGATATGGTTGCTGTTGAGACAGCAACACGGTCGGTGTCAGCCGACTATTCGCCAAGAGCTAATACTTCTTGGGTACAAGCTTTTGGAACTACACTCATTCTATGAATTTCTATCAATGGAATATCACTTCCTTAGCATATACTTTTGACATGTGTCGTATGTCTGCTTGTCTTCAACTCGCTACATACTTACCGCTATACATACACGATATGCTGAAGTGGCTGCTAAAGCATTTTAGTCATAGCGTTGATGTGCAGTTTCACGTCAAACCAGGATCCCACCACCAGACCTCCATCGCCTCTCCGCTTCTAATAGTTCCTTCTTCTGTGTACGTATCGCCAGACAGTGCGAAACACACAATTCCCATCTCCTACACCCTTTGAATCCGCATCTCGGTTTTTGTGGGAAGCTAAAGGAATCAATGTGCGGGAAGAAGCAAAGGTTATAGCTACCGTGCATCCGAGAATAGTTCGCAGCGGCCGATGCCGATGCCGATGTGGACTTCTGGCGCTCAGGCGTTTAGGCTTGCATTAGCTTTCTGCCACATGCTTGATCAACGTGTTGAGCGTGGTTCCAAGGGACGTTGAGGCTGTTGAGATGGTCAAGCTGGTTGGAGTTGCGATGAGAGGAATGATCTGCATCGATCTTGGTTTATTTTGGTATGAAGTAGATAATATGGTACTTCTAGGTGAGCCGGAAGATGGTTTCTGGTATGTGATTAGACATGTTGGTAGTGCGTTTGAGGTTGGCTTTGTTTGCTTTCGTGAGTGGAGTAAGCAGACGGTGCTATTGTTCGATAACACTAGATGCTCCGTACTTAGGATCGTTGCTCAGCGGAAGAACAAACAACTCGATGAGAATGCACAGCGGCTATGTACGAAACAATTGGGCCGAGAATGCACTCTCCAGCTGTATCGACCAGGGCCGAATCGGACGCAACAGATTTAAAGCTTCCATTTCCATTCTACAGTCTCTTGATCGGGCCTAGACTATACGATGGTGACTGTCCGTTTCTCGCAATGTTTGAATCCCTGCATCCCAATGTCTTCTAACTCAATCATTCCAATACGGCGGAATCTCTTGGGAATTGGTCCTTTTCTTGGCCGTATGACTTCATGAACTGGCGGCATGATGACTGTTTTCGGCTTCTTCCAGGGCAGACGTTCCCAGATATTCCGTAATCGCTGTACAATATCGCTTCCAAGAAGCTGTTTGTCCCGTTTGCCGCCGCTATCTGCTGCAACCGAGACGTGGCTGTCGTCTGTTGTTGACAAACTCTCATCGTCGTCTGTTGCATCTGCACAGTCTTCGCCATGTGCTACTCTCAATACTAAGCCTGCCTTCGTCTTGATACGAAGGACCCAAATGTCAGAGAACTCGTCGTTGGATGCTGGTGTAGAGATTTCTATATCCTTCTTCCCAGCATCGAGTATCGCTTGGCCCAAACACACTGACATAGCATCTTGTCCTGTCCCTGTCTGGACTATAAGATTGGACCCGCGTTCTAAACCGTATCTCAAGACTCGTACCAAAGGGCCACGTAACTTTATCCAGCCTCCAGATACCGCTCCGAGCTTATCGATTCCAGAATGTGTAACGTGACACCATAAGAATTTTGCGCAATATGACGCAGGATCCTTGGACGAACGATGGAAATCGATGTTCCCGTGCACGGAGGCCCATGACCACGAAGGCGCTCGATAGCCCGGCAGACGAGAAGGGGCGACTCTGTTTCCACGACTACTGTAAAGAGATGCGTTCGCCCATAACAAATCATCAAAGATACTGTTCTCCCACAATCCAGCAAGATACCTGTCTCCTGTTTGTTGACACAGAGCAGCAGCTAGTCCAGAGATAGCTGGCAGCTTGTCGGTCGCATTTGTCAAATGGCGAGAACTATAATCTCGGACGACAGAATGCCAGAATTGTAAAGCACCTCCATCCTCCAAGATATCAGGGGTCCGAAGTCTCAGTTGGCCCACCGCATTCATTTCGATTCCGCTCTCTGTCAGATTCTGAGTTTGACAATTCCAGACGAGTTGGTCGCGAGTGAATACGACCACACGAGGGGAAAGTATGCGTTCTTGTATTGTCCAACCGCGATGATACAAAGGCTCATCAATGCAGTCACGAAATACTGGGTTATGTTGGATGTAGATCGGACCTTCCAGCGAACCATTGTTTCCCGCAGAGAATTGCATGACGACTTGTTTTCCTTGGGGCTTCCTATCGTGGAAGATGCCTTCGTGGACACTGCGTGCAGATGCAGCAGCAATAGTCAGAAATGCACCGCCATAGACATCCGCCATCTTTGAAGACTCACGTTCCCAGTCCGCTTTTGCCAGGGCGTCCGAACCTTGTAATATACACAGCGCATCAACCCAGAGGTACCGGACGCCTAGCCTCCTGGTAATGACGACCGCATCATGTATCGTCTGTGGAAGATCCGTGATGCGAATCCCTCTTCTCCTTGCCTCGAGAGAGGAAGCCGTGGTGACCTGGGCGTCTTTTCCTGCCCATAGATGCGAACCCCAACAGTAACTGAGTGCAATATATCGTTGCGAGACATCAGACAGCTTGTCGTAGGTACTACACTCGCTTGACACATGAAGGAACGGATTTTGTGATCCGTCCGCAGGACCTACGTCAATAACTCTGCTTGGAAGCTTGTTCGTCGACGCCGTGCGGCAGTGTTCATGACTTCCAAGGCATCGATGGAGCCATAGCTTGATCAAGTTGAAGGCTTTATCCGAAAACGGCTCCGGAAGAGGGTTACTGTATCGGCATACATTCTCCACAGCAGTACCTAGATGGTGTCAGACCAATATTGCAAAGTAGAAGATTATGAGTAGCGTCCAGAAACCGCACTGGACGAAAGCCACACATACCACGATCGGCAAATACCCGAAATGACCGTACTAAACCTCCTTTACTCTTGGAAACTAGGCTGCGACCAGCCAGCCATCTAATATCTTGTGGTCGACAGCCAACAGTAACAAACAAGTCACCGATCTGATCTGGATGAACATAAAATCGAACATCAGGTCTCTCGTACCGGACCTTGTCGTCGAGCCTTTCCCTTGCAATGTGTTGGGGAAGAGCCTTTTCGATCTCGGAGCACAGCGCACATTCGGACGATATGCCGCAGTCTATATTGTGTAGTAAACTCGAGTGCGCAAAGCCGCTGCTTGATCGCAAGGTATCGATAGAGATCCGCTGGCACTCGTCGCATAAATCATTTGCCATGCTGAACATTGTTGAGACAAAAACGCCAAAGTACAATCTCAATGACCAGCCCGGACCAAGACCGGGACGCAGTCTGAGTCAAAGGCGCGCTTTATTCTTCTGAACGTTGTTGACCAAGTAGCAGCATGAAAGCGTACAGCGGTCGAAGATGTACGGGTCCAATTTATGCCGCCGAACGCGATGAGCCCTCTACACAGCCACCACCATATAGCTTCAGCTCAAACATCTCGCAGGTGACTAAGCTGCCTACGAAGTTTGAACTTGTTTGATGCAGACCTAAGTTGCCCTCAGGGAAACAAGGTCACGAGAATACATATGTTAATGGCGTGCTCTTTTGTGACGAAAAGAACAGGGTGCTCTGTGGTACTGTGAGTTAATCCTCTTTTGCCTAGCCGTGTTCTTGGGAGTTGAACAGGTTCAGCCGGAAGGCGGGTGCGGCTGACTGCAAAGTCGGTGACGTGGCGCGATAAGGCTAATATGGAGCAGCTGGGCTCCCACAGCGAATATGGCGTCTGGGCCTGCGTAGGAGCTGAACGGAACGGTTGGCACGCATATCTGTCTCACTTCCTTCTTATGAATTTTTTTGTTCTTTGTTTCTTCTAGCGGCGGCGGCGGGGGGTGCGATAAGCCAACCTGAAACGATGAGATAGCGAAATGCAAGAGATGGAAAGGTTTTGTGGTACGCTACTCGTATAGCCGGTCTCACCACGCTGTCTGCGCGCTTCTGCGAACATGTGGATGGGTGGATAGTTCAGGGACCGAGTTCGGCATTGCGCGTCTCGCGACGGGCGGGAACTGCGACTTTAGAACTTCTAGAGTCCGTTGACCAACCAGCCACGTGTTGCTAAGTTGAACGGAAACTGTGGCATGAGATTAGTCGTCTAAGTGACATCTGTTGACAGGTGTTGCGAGATGAACGTCGTGATGGGGTAACGTGTCTGCCTGTCGACGCCGCGGGGCGTGCCTCAGCACCGAAACGTCAGATGCCTTGTCGCAACACTTCCCACAACACTATCATTACCAGTCGCATGCAGCGCATAAAATCGTCGCCGTGATACCAAGCATGACTGTTGTGTTGTGTTGTTGGGGCCGCGACCTCACCGCACGGCGACACCCAACGCCCGCCCGCCACTCAGATCGGCAAACCTGATCTCCTGCGGTGCGCACGCAGCACCAACCGAGAACGCGTTTGATCGACAGGCACCACATCCGCACCAGCGCAATGGTGCAGACCTGCCGAACCACGCAACAACACAACCAGCAACGAAGCGCCCGCTGCCAAAACGGACTTTTTGACAGTCTAGGCAGGCTTCAGTTAGCAACAGTCGGTGGCTTTAGGTTTGTTTCGGCGGCGAGGAAGGAAACACATGAGTCGAGGGGCGTCATTTGGTTTTTGCGTGGTAGCGAGATTGTGTTTGGGATTGTTGGGTGAGGGGTGCTTGAGGGGGAACCGCTGGTGCTGAGGGGTGGGAACATGGGTCCCCACTACAACGCCAAATTGTTGTTGTTGCTGTTGTTATGAACGACGATATTTGCAATCAACGCGAGAGTGCATAGGGCAGACATTAGATTCCGCAATTCCAACATTTCGCGTCATGGCGACATGATTGAGTCATCACTACGATCGATATGGCCACTTCCACCTCGATTCGAAGCCAGATGCCACGTCCGTCATGTTGCATGTCTGCTGCCCGATCTGACCGATATGTCCGCCCGCTCGCGCGTCTCCAAGACCCGCGATTGCGAATACCCTGTCAGCGGATGTGTAGAGCCAAAAAGAAGTTTCTGCCAGGAAGCACTCTTCCATCATCTCGCAGCCAGTCGAGCAGACGAACTCGAGGTATGACTGGTAGATCCGCTCCACAGCACCACAAATCCCTTCCACAAGCGAAATTACCTGTAGTTGTCTAGAACACATTCGCTTGTTGGTAGTCTTACACCTAGTGATGTCACACCAACCCGGCTCTGAGTAGGTATCGATAAGCAGGCAACACTTGCGAACGTCTTGCTTGAGTTTTTCGTCGTCGGCTCCGCAGGGCGTTGCGCTTTTCGTGTGATTGGTTTGACTGGAAAATCATGATGGTAGTGTTGTGATGTCCGCCAATGGGAAGTTTCGGGCGACAAATGCTGAGGTGTCGGTCCGGCAGATGATAGTGATAGTATGACTGGCTGAACTAGAGAGTATGTGTGTCGCCTAGAGAACGGCGGCAGGAACAGAAGATGTCCACATGCAGTAGTCTTTCTGTGTAGCTCTTGGTCTCGCAATGTCTCAGTTGACGCATAGAGGCCGTGTTGTTACTCTGTGCAAGGGCAGCGTGCTCGACCACATGTACAATGTCGAGGGCAATACGCAGCACAACCATGCAAGAACTAAAACAGACACTGAAAGCACAAGGATGTCCGCGTCACTATTCTTGCTGGGCATGAGAGAAGGTCCAGAGGCCGGTGAGCAGACTTTACACATGGTTCTCGCTTACCGGTCCGTTTCTGCTCGGAGGAGCGTCACAGGGAAGATCCAGCGAACAGCGACCCACCACGTCGTGTGAGGCTTTTCTGGTCATGGCTGGCGGTGTCGCTGTACACCGTACTAACAGTGGGTAGTTTTCCAGATTTTCACCATGCATATACCGGCTACCACGTTGCGATAAAGAGCCTTATCGTCCCGCTGACGGCACCGGGGCTCCACAAACGTTGCATCGGCACATCTTGCTGATCCGTGAATGGAGGGAATCCTGCCTAGGTGCAGGTGGGCTGCAGATGTGGAAATGGGCGAGGCAAAAAGTCGTAGTGTGGACGGTTGCGTCACGATTCTGCGGAAGGACTGCATGCCCTGACGGAGCGTGGGAGTTACGCATGTATAGCCGATGGTGAAGACTTGTCCGGCTCACAGACGGTCGCGGCTGAATGGAGTGTACATTGTGTCTGCACACGGCAGTGACAGTGATAGATGAAGGTTGTGGACTCGTCAGGGTGACGGAGACTAGACTCGTTGGGTGAAAACACGTGCCGGAGTGTGACAGGAACACGCAGGCAACGCGGCGCCGATGTGTGGAAAACGTTCTGGAATCTGGAGGGTCAGTATCCACGGGCGGCTGCCCCAATCACAGCTGTTCAGGTTCCACACTGTGTAGATCGCAATTGCGCGGCCTTCACGTCGTCGCCCGCGGGTGCTGAGTCGAGTGCCGCGCCTTGGGATTGCGCACTGTCGTTGTGAAAGTCGAGCGACAAGTCTTTGCTTCCTTGCCGCTTGCGAGTCTGGCCAAGGGGAACGCGGCTGCGACAGGCGATGAAGCGACGAAGAGAGATCAAAAGCGGCTGAAACCTCGGAGCGCCAACTGTGCCTGAGCCAGGCACACCAATGAGAAGCGCCAGCCGAGCCAGGATCGCGCGCTATTCAGGGGTGCAACATCCGGTGCAATTGGCCCTGACTAAATTAGTAACGGGGATAGTCCGCAGTGCGCTAGTCCATTTCGGTCTCCCAGGAGATGAGATGGGGGCAGCCCGGCTGAAGGTCCACTTACCTTTGTGCCTGGCCGCTTGTTTCCCTTTTCCTCCTTCACCCCAACATATAATCCACCGACTGTCCCTCTTTTTAAAAAGGCAAATTCGCGCGTTCACTCTTTCACGCCCGTCTTGCGTCTGCTAGCTAGCTCACCCAGTCACTCATTACTCATACCTCAACTACTCGTTGAACAACCACTACCAGCGCATCACGACACGCCGTTGAACGACGTTACGACCTGTCCGCAGTATAAATACTCAGCGCTTACCTTACTCAATCACCCTTACGCAACTTCAATATGCGTTACTCTTCCGCCGCGGTGCTGAGCACCATCGTTGTTGGCCAGGCCGCTGCCGCCAACCTGCACAACCGTCACGCCAGCTTCCACGCCCGCCGTCAAGCGTAAGTAATGCCTTCAAGTCGACAAGGAAACCATGATGCTAACTCTTTGCAGTGAGGTCAAGCGCAGTGCCGCCAACGAAGTTGACTGGAGCAAGGTCGCATACGATCTGAGCGATGTCGACTGGAGCTCCGTCTTCGCCACCCCTACTCCTACTCCTGCCCCTGCGGCTGCCCCCAAGGTTGCTGAGGTTGCCGACTACAAGACTCAGGCCGAGCCCACGCCTTCCTCCACCAAGCAGGAGCCCACTACCACCAGCGCCAAGCCTGCCGCTACCTCCGCAGAGTCTAACGACCCTCTTGGTGACCTCGGCGACGCTTTGGACAACGTTGGTGACGCTATCGGTGGACTCGTTAGCTCCATCTTCGACGATGTCCAGGACTGGGTCGAGGAGCTCGGTTGCAAGAAGGGAGTGAACAAGCAGTCGGAGTGGGACGGTATCTGGGTCGGCGGTGACAGCAAGTGGAAGGCCGAGTTCATCAACGACCGCTCCGATCAAGACATGCTCCTGTTCTGCTGGAGGGCACTCGGCTACTCTGGTATGTCTGTCAAGGCCAACACACCCGACATCTCTGTCAAGATCCCCGCCGGCAAGTCGCTCGAGCTCTCTTGGAAGGAGGGTGTACCTTCCGCTTGCGCCCCCGTATTCCCCGGCTACAAGGACGACGGTTTCCAAATCAACAACACTTGGTGGGAGGTCACCTTCGGTGCCCAGGGTGCCTTCGATGTCTCGCGTAACATCAACATGAACGGTGACAGCATCAGCTCCAAGGGCTCCAAGTGCGTCTCCGACATGGACACCTGTGTCTTCAAGTGCAAGAACGGCATGGATACCTGCGAGATGGGTTCCGACTACGACCTCTTCAACTGCAACGCCAGCGGTGGTGGCGGTGGCGGCTACGACGCTGTCATGGCTGGTACCGGTGGTGGTTGCTCCATGGGCCAGAACGGTGAGACCGTCAAGGTTGTCATCTCCTAAACGCTTCCGACATGAACATGCTTGGAGTTGGATTGTGCCTTGGGTCATTTTGTGTATTACTCTTCGCCATATTCCCCATTTGTACCTTGCCGACCTGAACGTCTCCTTGCCCAGGCAGTCGTCTTGACTTAGTTGCCTGGCAAGATGCCCATGTGCACTTTGGGTAGTGGTCGCAGGTCCATTCGCGTTATTCGTCACGGCTCTTAGCGGTCTATGTGTATTTTGTAAATGTTTATTGTTAGTACCTCGCAAATTCGAAAAGCCATAAAAAGTACATTACCTGCCTTGCATGCTTGAGATTCCGTGTGAAGCTCGTGATATTGCACGCGTCATCATGTCTAATTGCGTGTTGTGATCGGCGTGGTCCCCGTTCGGGACTATCCTGGTTCTCCAATATTGACGCTCAGACATAACGTTTGCTGCTATCTCCAAGGTTGTTGTGCTCCTAGGCCAGGGCAAGAAACCAGGACTTCGCAAGCATATGTCCGACCACGGAGCATATTGCCTGGAGTATGTATGTATAGCCGTTACTACTGCTGCACAAGTGGAGCGATTGTCCCTTCACGATCCAAATCTTGCGTGGTCCAGGATTTGGATGTGGCTGTGATTAGAGGCCGCGTAGTCTCCTCGTAGCTTCGATGCATCGTTGGGCTACTAGAATATAGCGCTGGCTTAACGAATTAATGAGTCGACCAGATGGTTTATCGATCGACTGCGACGATACTGCGCGCGTGTACCGATTCGGATCTCGAACGACCTGTTGGTATGTATCGCGCGTGCGTCTGGTTGGGTGTCGTGGATCTCCGGACCTTTGGTGATGGTGGCATGGTGGCTAGCCAGCCCTAGAGGTTTGCCCGCAGCGCGAATAATCACCCTCCCTAGGCGAGTTGTAGTATTGATCCAGCGACGGCGATCGAAAGTCGAAGAGCGATGGCCAGACAAATCCATCAAAGGTAGGAACGACCAGGCGACAGTTTTTCGAGCGCGGCAGCCATGGTGTCAAAACGAGGAAGTCGCGACACACGCGTAGAAAGAAAGCGCAAACACCCGACCAAAGAATCAAACCTCGCGGCACTGTCTTGGAATGAATCACTCACAGTGAGCCCGGCAAATGCACCAAAGACATGTCTGGCGCTCCACGTTCTGCTGGGAAAGATGTTGAATGTAAGAACGCTCGCAAGGGGAAAGCGCAACCACGGCACCAAACGAAAGAACCCCGCATGACAACGAAGGAGAACGGAAGAGCACTTGTCGAGTAAGTTGATGGGCGTGAACATCAGCAGAGCCCTAGAGCAGGTTCTTTCCATGCGCGATACCCAGAGTATTAGTAAGGAAGGAGCAACAAAGACACGATGCACGTTGGCGAAAAGAAAACATGGAAGGGAAGCCCCTCACTCAAGTACAAGGACAATACGAGAACATGGCATGACACTATTGAATGTTCAACATTCCTCTAGAACGTCGATTTCGTTGGTACACCAGCTTGCCGGACCTTTGTCCTGGCAGGCCAAGCTGGGTAAAGCGGCACATGCAATACGAGAGCCACGAGGAGGGAGCCTTCCAGAAGCGACCGTTAAACAGAAGACGAGGGCTAGATTTCGTGTCGCAGTTTGTAGTATACACAAGGTTAGACTTTAATAAGTAGAGATGTTCTAGGATGGCGTTTGATCCTACCCGATATATCATGATCTAGCCACCCCCAGGGATGAGGACGAGGCTACAAAAGGTTCCTTCTAAACGCGTCACGAACAACCGCATTCACAGCAATGCACGAGAACAAGAAGATAGACATCATCGTCACTGGTACATTAGAAACTCGCTTTCTGTGGCGCGCTTGACTGATGACGGTGAAGCACATTGCGGTTATTACCTCAATAATCAACCTAGGAGCCGACATTGTCTTAGGAAGTAGTCACGTATCAACATTCAGCACTCTGTATGCAGCAACACGCGACACGAATTCAAGCGACATCAGACATCATTGGAAGGGCAAATTGATCTCATAAGTCTTCCATTCCATGTGAATACGCCCATGACTGGTAAAGCAAACTGCGCATATATCTGAGTGCGTCTAAGCAAGCCATATCTCCAATGCGAAAAGTGCTTTTCTACTCATACACGTGGGTGCCAATGCAACCAAAATGTGACATGAAGGATGCAACATCTGGCGACTCTACAGTCAACCATCTACAACTCGTCGTGGTCATCGGGCATCTCATCGTCACCACCGGGGCCGCCAGAGCCGTAGAGCTTGGAGGTGATGGGGTAGGCGACGTCAGACAGCTTCTGGAACTGCTCGTCAAAGTCCTCAGCCGCGGCCTCGGCAGCGTTGCTCTCGAGCCAGTCCTGAGTCTCCTTGACGGCCTCGAGGAGAGACTCCTTGTCCTCCTCCTCGATCTTGCCACCAAGACCCTCGTCGTCGTTGACCTGGTTCTTGAGGCTGTAGGCGTAGTTCTCGAGCTTGTTGCGAGACTCAATGCGCTCGCGGTTGGCCTTGTCTTCCTCGGCGTACTTCTCCGCCTCCTCGACCATGCGGTCAATGTCATCCTTGCTGAGACGGCCCTTGTCGTTGGTGATGGTGATTGACTCACCCTTACCAGTGCCCTTGTCGATAGCGGAGACCTTGAGAATACCGTTGGCATCGAGCTCGAACGTAACCTCGATCTGAGGAACACCACGAGGCGCGGGACTACATGTTGTTAATTTTTGTTCATATGTATGCTTCAAGCATGGATGACTTACGGAATGTTGGTGAGCTCGAACTTTCCGAGCTGGTTGTTGTCCTTGGTCATGGATCGCTCTCCTTCGAAGACCTGGATGAGGACTACGGGCTGGTTGTCGGCGGCCGTGGAGAAGATCTGGCTCTTCTTGGTGGGGATGACGGTGTTACGCTTGATAAGATGGGTCATGACACCACCAGTGGTCTCAATACCAAGAGTAAGAGGGTTGACATCCATGAGAACGAGGTCGTCGGTAGCGGCGTCACCGGAGAGAACACCACCCTGAACAGCAGCGCCGTAAGCGACAGCCTCATCGGGGTTGACATCCTTGCGAGCCTTCTTTCCGAAGAACTCCTCAAGCATGGCCTGGACCTTGGGAATACGAGTGGAACCACCAACGAGAATAATGTCGTCAACGTCGCCCTTCTTCATCTTGGCGTCCTTGAGAACCTGTTCAACGGGCTTGAGGGTCTTCTTGAAGAGGTCGTTGTTGAGCTCCTCGAATTTGGCGCGGGTGAGGGTCTCGGAGAAGTCCTTGCCCTTGAAGAAAGACTCAATCTCGATCTTGGTGGTCTTCTGGGAAGAGAGAGTACGCTTGGCCTTCTCAACCTCGCGCTTCAACTTGGACATGGTCTTGGAATCCTTGGTGATGTCGACGTCGTTCTCCTTGTTGTATTTCTTAGTGAAGTAGTTGATGACACGGTTGTCAAAGTCTTCACCACCGAGATGAGTGTCACCAGCGGTAGACAGAACCTCGAAAACGCCGGATTCGATAGTGAGGATGGAAACATCGAAAGTACCACCACCGAGATCGTAGACGAGAACCTGACGTTCCTTCTGGTCGGTCTGTGGTGCGTTAGCCGAGTTGCTTCAACGGGAGATGTTGATGTCGTACCTTGTCGAGGCCATAAGCCAGAGCGGCAGCGGTGGGCTCGTTCACAACACGGAGAACATTGAGACCAGCGATAGTTCCGGCGTCCTTGGTGGCGGCACGCTGAGCGTCGTTGAAGTAGGCGGGAACGGTAACGACAGCGTTCTTGACAGACTCGCCAAGGTAGCTCTCAGCCACCTCCTTCATCTTGCCCAGAACCATGGCGGAAACCTCCTCGGGGGTGAAGGTCTTCTCCTCGCCGTGAACCGGAACGGAAACCTTGGGTTGACCGCCCTTGTTGACGACCTTGAAGGGGAAGTGCTTGATGTCATTCTGAACAGACTTCTCCTTGTACTTGAGACCGATGAGTCGTTTCTGCTCTACAGTCAGTATGACAGCTTTCCAACAACAGTATACGGGAGTGTACGTACGATATCGAAGATGGTGCGTTCGGGGTTGGAGGCGAACTGGTTCTTGGCGGCGTCTCCGACAAGACGCTCGTCATCGGTGAAGGCTACCCAAGAAGGTGTGATACGGTTACCTGGAGAGGACACATGTCAGTTTGGTTGTGGGAGATGGTCGAGCATGCAAACTTACCCTGGTCGTTGGTGATGATCTCGACCTTTCCGTTCTTCATGATACCGACGCAGGAATAGGTGGTTCCCAGATCGATACCGATGACGGGACCGGAGACAGCATTGCTGTCCTCCTTGATGGGTTCCTGGTCCTGGGCGTGTGCTGTCTTAGCCAGCATCAGACCGCCGACAAGGACGAGGAGGAGGTAGAAGGCAATGCTCCATGTTGAGCGCTGGTTGGCGCCCCGCGAGCTTCGTGCCATTGTGATGTGTGTGTAGTCCTCAAGACTGTGGGTATGGCCTGGATGCCAGGTGCAAGTGCGGGCGTAACTCTCTGGGAGCTCGCAATGTGTGGAGTAGACGAGGCTCTCCGGGTATCGCTAGGAAAGAAAACAAAAGGCGAGTTGCGGTGGTTGCAGTTGCAAGGTGAGTGGAGGAGGAAGGGCAAGTAGCGGTGGGAGGCTACTGTTATATGGACACGTCGTGGAAGTATTTCGAAAGAACACCTTGCGATCTCGAGGATCTTGCTCCGCAAACGGTCTAGCGCGCAGCTCGCCCATGGTCCGTTCACTTGCCCCAACCGCCCGCATCAGCCTCAATTTCACCTGCGTTTGACGCAGCTGGCTACAGGACACGTGTAATTCGCTAGCACTGGGCCTTCACGGCTCCTGTGTAGCATGTGTGATTCCGCGCTATGCATACCTATAGGCCACGGTAGCTTCTTGTGTAGACGGTGATGAGGAAGTCGCAGCTCCGTCGTTATCTGCTATCGTGCCTCTAGTCCAATTTACCCCTCCATCTAAGCGAACGCGAACATCTGGAAACCTCGGTGCTCTGCCATCTTGACGTCCAAGTCGCGGATGGGTACACTTCAATTGCAAAATCGCCATTTTCACCCTGCACGAAACCTCAGCCGGTCTGAGTCCTTGCGTCGGCAATCTCGGACACGGTCCTCGTTGTCTGTCCCAAGTTCCAGGTGTCCTTTCGGTAGTCTTCCAGTCGCTAGGCAGACAGATCTACACGAGACACTGGCTCCACCGCACCGCCAACACCATTCACCTCGATGACTCCTTTGTCTACAGGCAACGTTTCCTCAATCTTGCTGCCACCGGATGTGAACACACTGCGACAGGTATCCTCACAGCTGCCTAGTATGAGGAGGTGTCGGTGCACTCTGCTCGCCATTCACGACTAGTCGCCATATTTGCACATGTGAACAAATTCGCCGGTAAGGAGAACTGGCTTCTTTGACTGCGGGAGGAGCGATGAATAGTATATGCGCGTTGCTTGATGCTTCATTCCGGATTACTTAGGTCTGCCAAAGAGAATCTTCGCGATCGTTCCACTGTCCCACTCTGCCGATCAGCCGCATCGCCGCTACGACCAGCGAAACTCGTCACCAGGCCTCTGCCAACATCTTCTTGAGGGTGCTCAATATCTCAGCCCATCGCACACCAGATCTGCTCTTCCACACAACCAGGCCGAGGATGCCGACACTCAGGGCGGAGGGTATTGCTTTCTTGGCAAATCTTGCTGCAACGTGTTTGAAAAACATGTCTTGCTTTTGCTTTACCCGCTTCACATGCTCATCTCTCTTGTTCTTCACAGGAAATGGTGCGTCTGGTACCTCTTTCTCTAGAAACTCGCATAGCGGCTTCCAGCCATCCTCCAGGCGGAACTCGAGTAAGCGGTGGGCAGGCACCGCAGCCCGGACTTCCGCATAATGCAGCCTATACCGATCCTTGGCAACTCGCCGCATCTCTTGCACATTGCTCACACCATAGAAGCCCAACATGATTTTGCGAATCGTCTTGCCGCCGTTGAGCCCATATAGCGGACCTAGTATGTTGATTACGAGGTCAGCGCGAAGCCCCCATGTGGTGCTGAAGATGGCTGCTTCCATACTGTCGTACCACTCGTCGACATCACGCTCTACCAGGATGATCTTTGCCTCGGGATAGGCCTCGATGAGCTGCGTCGCGAAGAAGGAGCTCATGTCGGTAACGGCCTCATAAGGCCCAAAGATAACATCCCAGTCGGCGCGTGTGAATGGCGCGCCGGTGTAGGTCGGCAGTACGGGGTAGAAAGCATCGCATGCTTTGCTGAAGAAATCCCACTCGACCGGCGAACTGATGGCTTGAATGCCGTGATGCACGCCTTGATATCCGAGTACCTCGAGGGCTTGAGTGATGGAGGCCGACCCTACGTTCACTCTAGTCAGCTTCTCCTAGCGGCTATATATAACAGCACAAAGCCAAGGTTTAGAGAACTCACCAGTGCGTGTCATACCCAGTGAAAGCACTTTGAGCTCTCGCTTGGGGCGAGTGGCGATAGAGGCTGGTGTCGCCATGGCTCAGACCAAAGCTGGTAGCAGTCAGGCAGAACGGCGATTGAGTGAATGTGGTCAGGAATGAAACCGGACGGTAACGTCTCTCGACCATCTGCAAGTTCGTCAAAAGGCTAGCTGTTCTAACATTTAATCGCCACAGACCGTGGTAAACATTCATCTACAATGTCCGCCAGAGCGTCTACCACGTGGTGAAAGGAATGGCCGTTCACTTGCTATTTCGGCTCGAATTTAATCGCCGAGGAGCGTACACTGCTATCAGATTGATCTACCGTTAGACCCATCCCTAGTCTCAACACACTCGGGCCGAAGTGCAACGGACCGAGCAAAGCGGCCTTGCAAACGCATCGCGCATGATCGGCCAATACCCCAAACGTACGACAGAGCATACGCACCCACCACCTGGTTCGGTACATATGTGTCCGAAAAGAGGAGCTTTGTGCCGTCAAATTCACGTGACGCAAGACGACTATGCCAGTGTTTCATACGGACATCGTCTTTTCAAGGAGACAGGACAAGTAAACTTTACATAGATTTGTGTGCTGACATGACAGACGCTGAGACAAATCCTAACTACTGCCTTGGCTTTATGGTGACCATGAGCGGCTTCTTCTCCCATATCAAATACGACTTTTGAGAGATCCACCAATTCTCACTGTTCGGGCTAAGCGCGACGTCGAAGTTCCAGAAGAGCTTGGCCAAAGCCAGTCTCATCTCGTTCATTGCCATACTGGGAAATGATGAAGTCAGTGAGGTTTCTAGCAATAAAAGAGAGGGGAAGGAATCCTTACGTTTGTCCGATGCAATCATGTCTTCCGTAAGAGAAAGGACGGGATGCGCCTCGATCGTCGCTAGCAAACTCTCCTTCTTTCGTCTGCAACCACCTCTCGGGGAAGAAGTCAAGAGGTCGATGCCAGTTCCATGGAGCGTGACAGGCCGCCAGATTGTGCATGCCTACGGCCATCTGTGATTCGATTGGTCAATATAAGTTGCCACGGCCATGATGCAAAAGCAGACTTACTCCACCCGGTATCCATCTACCGTCTATCTCTTCTCCGCCCTCTGGAACCCAGCGTGGAAAAGCTGATGGCGTTGGTGGCGATATGCGCAACGACTCATCGATGCAAGCCTTCAAGTAAGGCAGCTCACCAGCAGCAACCATGGTGATGTCCTCTTCGTTCGCAAATCTGCCTCGAACCTCGGCAACGACCTTCGCATAAGCTTCCGGATGTCTGCAAACGAAGAAGACGAACACGCTCATCGCATACGCAGCCGTGTTACTGCCCGCCACAATCAACGCACTCGCCAGACCGTAAAGGTCCGTGTTACTCAGACTCGCACTCTCATTACCAAGAACGTAGCTCATAAAATCCCTTCTCTTCTCTTTCCGTACTCCACCATGCTCCTCATCAATCCGTCGCTGTACTTTTTCACGCGTCAAAGTCTGGTGCTGCTTCCGCGCCTCCATAGCCGCTTTGGGCGCTGTCCACCTGAGTATCCATTCGATGTGGTAATGAGCAGCGAGCTGATGCCAAGCAATACTCTTGATACGCGCCCCGATGACGGCAACCCAAGGCTCATCAGCACGGTCTAGGCAGCCTGCCGGCTGACTGAAGGCGAGGTCGCTCATAATATCGAAACTCAACAGACTGAACCAGCGGAGCATGTTCTGCTGCACAGCATTGTACTGTGGTTTACGCAACTGTCCGATGAGCTTATCAGTGTGCTCTCGGAAGAAGTGTTCTTGGTCGCGCAACGCTCGCTCGCTGAACGCAGGCTGAATCGCACGGCGGAGGACAGTGTGGCGCTCGGGCGTCTCGGTAACGATGCTCCGTCGGCCATTTACTACCGCGGGAGCGACACCGCGTCCATCGAGGCATTTGAGAAACTCGCGTGGCGGGTTTGAGCCGTATATCTTCTTCGAGGCCGTGCTGCTGGTGTACGATAACTCGTCTGGTGCGATGCGTATCACGGGGCTGTTGTAGTAGATGTGCATGTCTCGAATGCACCATGCGAGGTCGCCTTGGAGGTTGACATAGTGCCAAGGGATGCGGGAGATGGCCCAGAGTTTAGGGCCTGGGAAGGTAGAGAGTGGGTGGAAAAAGAGGTAGTAGATTGAGCGGATGAGGAAATAGGCGATGGGCTGTACTGGGTCAGACCTTGGAGCTTGCTAACATGACTAGCAGTGGATACATACACTGATGAAGACAAAGAGAGCTATAATAGACAACATCTTGGCATAAAGCTTGGTGTTGGCTCGCCTTGGCTCTTCATCCAAATGTTCAAAATACGAGCTTCAAGATAGCATTCTGAGGTGGTTCCTTCACAAGATATGTCCTTTCCCGCAAGTATAGCGAACCAATTAACTTCACAACAGTTTCCCTCTTTCGCTCTTTCGTACGAGATTCTGGCATCATCGTCCTCGCTGGTGACGCGGCCGTCGGCGAGCCAATAGACGCAGACAGAGATGAACGTGGCTCATCGGTCTACTCTAAGCTTCTGATCTCGACTATAACTCCACTCGTAGATCCCAAGCCTCCTAACCCCAGCTCAAGACTCTCGGCGATACTAGTGCCTTCATACCGGATTCGGCCCGGTCTCGTTAGTCGGACCTAGAGACCGTTGGTCATTGTATGACTCGGCATACAGATGGCATCGATACGAGGACGGTGTCGATGAACATGGAAAGAGCGAGAGTCGTGCGTACATTCTATCATGGGCTATCGGCTGGGAAGGGAACAACACGTGACTAAACTCATGCCGCCAACACCAAAGAGCACATCCATAATCGGAACGACTAACTGGAACAACGCACTAGTAACTGCATTACCAACACAACAACACCTACTCAACAGCAACCTTCATCCTACACAGCACCGCCTCCTCCCTCTTCACCGGACTCCCCGGGCTACACACAACCGTAAAATTATGCCAATCCCTCTCAAAATCCACATCCAGTCCCTCAATAACATCAAACCTCTGCACCAACCTCACAATCACATACCCTGCCTCCGTAAGCGCAAACTGCTGCCCAATACAGATACGCGGCCCCCCATTAAACGGCACGTACTGCCAAGTTGACCCCGGCCGCCTTTTCTCCCACCGCTCAGGAATGAACTCATCGGCGTCTTCGCCCCAGAGATCCTTCCTGCGGTGGAGAACGTGCGTGCTGAAGTTTACTTCTGTGCCGGCGGGGACGAAGATGGGGAGGGAGCCGTTGGGGCCGCCGCCAGTGGGGAGGGTTGTGTCGCGGATGGCGCAGCGGGAGTTGAAGGGGACGACGGAGTGGAGTCGCAATGTTTCGTTCAGAACATGTTGTAGATACGTGCAGCTTTTAAGCTTTTCGAATGTTATACTCTGGCCAACGATGGTACTTGAGTAAGATCCGAACTCTGCGAAAACGGTTTCACGTAGCTTTCTATATACGCGTGGGTTCCGCACTAAGCAGTAAAACACCCAGGCTGTGAGTGACGCCGTGGTATCTCTACCCGCAGCTAGCAGACCGAGAACTTGCTCGCGGACTTCAGCGCGGTCGGCACAGCGCGATCGCAGTGTTTCGAGGAAGTCGTAGCGGAGCGACGAAGAACCCTGTTTTCTGGCTTGGTCTGCGGCGTCGATGGCGCGGTCGACGAAGGCGTGGAGCGTTTTTATGCACTTTTTTAGTTCGGTGTTGCCGTAGAGCCAGTAGAAGCTTCGGAGACGCATTCTGATTCCGAGGATAGTCAACATACGCTCGAATGCGTGGTCGAAACTATCTTCATCGTGCTGCTCGATAGCACTACCCTGCTCTTTCTTTTCTTCCGCGAGCAACATATCAAGCGACCCCGTACTCATCCCCAAAAAGAACTCCGTCGCCGAATCCATCGTCAACTTCGGCAGCAGCGCCGCTAAACTGACTGGCGCTGACCACGCCCTCCCCTCCTCATCAACCTTCAATCCCCCATCTTTCTCCTCGATAACCCGTAGCAAACTCCTTACATGCCCCTCCAACACCTCCAGCCGACTCACATTCTCTCTACTAAAAAGCGGCCGCATAGTCTCCCTCGCCCGATGCCAAGCCACCCCATCAACAGCAAAGATACTGCGCCCCAGTGCTCGTTTCAAATTCGTACGCCGCGCTGTACCCATGATGAAGTCGTCAAATTGAGTGGCGAGCAGGGCTTGGATATTGCGTGGCTCGGCCGTTATCAGATTGGTTGTGCCGAGTAGGGATATGGCCCATGTGTAGCGGTCCATGGCGAGGAAGCGCGAAGAGACGAAGTCGGGGGTTCTTTGCTCGCGGTCGGCGAGGAGACTGCGGCGGATGGTGTCGATGCCTAGGGGCAAGTGGTAAGGCTCTGTGGGGACGGGTCCGCATCCTAGATTGCGGCTCTTGAGGTAGTTGCGGAGGGGCTTGAGGAGGAACAGATTGGCTATGTGGATGAGGATGAGGAAGCCAGCTCCTAGGATGAGGAGGTGAGTTTGCATGTTTTGTGTGGGTGCTTCTGTAATCGAAGTTGCGTTGATCTGGCAGTGCGCCACTCTCAGCTTAAGTATGCTACCGAGCTATTCGTTCTGGCGCACCATCTTTGACCCACGTGCATAGCACTAAGCAGGGGGGCGAGTACCCAGTCACTTCTCTGAATCTTGAGCTGAAAATCGCCCACTTGGCGTTGCTTCCATGAATGGCTGGAAGCGAGTCACCCCGTTCACAATACAAGTCCGATTTGGATCATATCGTGGCTATATCTACGATAATTCGCTATCTATATTACTACATGCAATATATCGTTATCAGAAGCACATCCAAGGCTGCATTGCCAGCGATCACTATCCATCCAGATCAGACACAGGCGTCAATTTGACCAACAGAGGCAGCTTCTCCCACACCAAGTAGGTACCCTGCTTGTTCCACCAGTCATTACCAGGATCATAAAGTTCCCAGTCAAAGAACCGTACCAGTTTCGCCATCGTAAGCGACATCTCGGCATAAGCCATAGAACGTCCGATACAAGCCCTCTGACCGTACGAAAACGGCTGAACAGCGGAACGGTCATCGTCCTTGAATTCTTCGGGTGCGTCATCTAGCCAGCGTTCCGGATGGAACTCACGAGCCTTCTTGAAGTTACGCTCAGAGTGTCCAGCTGCCAGCTGATTGACAGCAACAGCATAACCACCAGGAACCCATTTGCCCTCAATCATCTCGCCCTTGCCAGGGACAAAGCGTGGCAGTGAGCCTGGTGTTGGTGGGTAGAGACGCATGCCTTCGTTGAGGCAGGCGCGCAGATACTTGCAGCTTGTCACTGCCTGGAGAGTCATGTCTGCGCGGCTTTTGAACAGGCCGCGTATCTCTTGCTTCAGCTTGTCAAGTTTGTCTGGATTTCGAAGTAGAAGATATGTCAGACCAGACATGCCGCCTGCTGATGTGCCACTGCCGGCTACGATGAAGTTGGAGGAGAGCATCACTAGTTCGAGATGGTTGAGCTTCTCGTCGTTCTCGAGGATGTATGACCTGTTCAATCACTGAGTTAGTAGTGTATAGATAGCATGCATGACATGTGTAGCAATCCGGTTCAACTTACATGAAATCTTTGCCAGGGTTCTTGGCATCAACGCGCGCCTTCAACTTCGCTTCCGTCATAGCAATATGCTTCTTCCTTGATTCAGTGACGTATCTAGGGGTCATCCAGATGAGTAGACTCATGAAACCGTACTGGACGGCAAGCTGGAACCAGACGATGGCTTTCGCGCGAGCGAGAATGGCTTGGATCCAGGGTTGCTCGGGATTGTTGACGCAGCCTGATGGCTCGCCGAAAGCCAGATCGGATACGATATCGAATGCGACAAGATTGTACCATGTAGTCATGTCGACGGGTCCATCTTTGCTTCGTTCCTTGAGCTTCTGGACGAGGTTATCCGAATGGTCTTGGAAGTAGCTCTCTTGTTCGCGTCTAGGATGAGATCAGTATTGTCATACCATGCCTGCATTTCGATGAATAGACTCACAGTGCTCTCTGACTAAAAGCCGGATCGATAGCCCTTCTCAACCTCAAGTGTCGATCTTGATGCTCAGTCATCAAGCTACGTTGGCCACCTATACTCGCAGGCGCGATACCTCTACCGTCAAGAGCCTTCACGAACTCAGGGTTTCGCTGTCCGTATATCTTCTTCCACGCTCCCGAAGTCGTGTAAGAGAGCTCGTCAGGCGCGATGCGCACAACCGGGCCGTATTTGTCGTGAAGCTCCCGGATCTTCCAGCTGATCCGACCCTTCATGTTTGCGCGATTCCATGGTAGACGAGAGATGGCCCAGAGCTTTGGACCCGGATAACCAGCTAAGGGGTTCAGGTAGAGGTTGTACACGACCTTGAAGAAGATGTGAAGCAGGATCTGGTAATCTTTGTGAGCTGAATCAGAAGCCAGTCTAGAGACCGCGTAAACTTACGAGCACGAGAATCCCGGCGGTGATGTTTCGAAATGTCAGCGGTGGTACTTGACCGAGCTGATGCCATAGACTATCTGGTGTGAAAGCGGTAGCCATGATTCTGTGAAGTTGCCAGAATGCGACGAAGTCAAGATCCAGCCGTTCGAAAGCCAGGAAACAGCGCAGTCTTCTCCAGCTCAGAATTCCTTGGAAAGTCCAGATAGACGGAGTAAGCTACCCCGACACGTTCGATCCATGCGGCATCTGGCTAGAAACTCCATCCTTCTTCTCATCGCCAGACTTCGCACTCACCGATGGATGGTGTGAACCAGAAAGAACCAATAGCACATCTCCGACGACGCACGCTCTACCACAGTTGGTGTATACAGAGATTGAAGTCCTCCGTGGCGAAAATACAAAGGTAGGCTCAGGTGACCCGGACCTTCATTCGGCCCTTGATGATCGGGCCGAAGCTTTCTCCGAAATGGCTTGCATTCGGCTGTGCGTATGCGACAGTGGGTACCAACGGGATGCATGGGTTTACCAACAGTGCGCAAAAGATTGCGTGCAGCTGGGCCACGTGCTTGGAGTGGATGGTGAAAGCTTGACCACGGGTACGGAGGGTAATGACTCGTGATTACTACACAGCAGTCCTGGGTGGTGTGGACCCTTTCTACACCTGCAGAGCTTGGATGTGTGTCGGGCTTCCTTGCATAGCCCTCAGCACGCGGTATCGCTAGGTTATTGGATTATCGCTATGTCTGGAGGCGTGGACTATGGTGACGGACTGGGTGGCCTGCGGGTCGCTGAACACCTTGTCGTGCAAAAATCCGTCTCTTTTCGGTCTGAAATCACCGTGTCATATCACCAGTCGATGTGGTGTACATTCGAGGCCTCATCTGTATTGCCCTTCAATCATGGTCAACCAACATGGCGCCGACGCGCTTGCCTCATTGGCGAAGACAATCCGTGCCGAGCTTCAGCAAAAGCTTTCCAGCGATGCGTGGATTCACCTGCCTTTCGATGAAAACAAGACAGACTTCGACAAAGCCAATCTCCGTTTCACTCAGTACGAGCGCCCAACGTATCTCGCAGTTGTCGATCCAGGTTGCGAGAACGATGTGGTCGAGGTGGTGAAGTATGCGCGGGAAAAGGGTATTCCATTCACACCGCGCGGCGGCCATCATGCGGTCACTACCACGATGAGGCATTTCCAAAACGGCATATGCATCAACATGCGCCCGCTCAACCAGATGGGGTGGGACGCTGAGAAGCGGCATGTTACGATTGGCGGTGGAGCAATCACCGATGAGTTCGTGCGATTCATGCATGATTTGGGTATGGAAGTTAGTAAGTGTAACAACATCTTCGCTGAAAGTGGAAGTACTTACATAGCTGGTAGATGTAGGGTCATGTCCTACGACTGGTGTCATTGGCGTGGCCTTTGGTGCAGGCCTTGGGCGTTTGCAAGGCAAGTATGGCTTTCTAAACGACAACATGGTTTCTTGCAAGCTCGTACTCGCCGACGGAAGTGTGATAGTTGCATCCAAGAACTCACATCCGGATCTATTTTGGGCCATCCGTGGTGCTGGCCATAATTTTGGTATTGCAGTCGAGGTTACATTCCAGGTCTATCCGCAGCCGCACGGAGGTATACACCATACTTGGGATCTGGAGTATACACTGGATCAGTGCGATGCGGTATTCGAGACGCTAAATAGCGTCTATGAGACTATGCCCGCTGATTTGGCAATTTTTGTCCTATGGTTGCGCCAGAGCAGTGGTCGCAAGGTAGGTCGCTTAACGAGTAAGGCATCCACGCTGCTAACAAGGCCCAGCACATCATTCTCGTCAACCTAGTCTGGTCGGGTCCAGCTGCGGGTGCAGACCCCTATGTGCAGCGCTTCGAGTCCCTGGGCCCAGTCTTGATCACAGGGCGGAAGTCCGTGCCATGGCCAGAGCTACCTTTCACCACCTACAAAGAGATAAATAAGCTCTTTTGCAATCCCGAAGTCTGGCTCCGAGGCCCCTATAAGATGATGGGGGCCGCCTGCGTCGATAAGTTTGATCTCAAGACAACACGCGAGTTCTTTGAGAGTGTCAAAGCTATGAGTGAGGAGTGGGAGGACCGCGGCTGGTTCAGTGCCATGTTCGAATGCCTACCTGATCAGCGTGTTCGCGAGATCCCCGACGATGCGACAGCCTTTCCGTGGCGTGGAGGTTCGAATCATTTCCTGTGAGTGTACCGCATTAGTTCATCTACGAAAAGAGTTCTAACGTGTGAGATGTAGCATGCTGAATGCGACACCAAAGCGAATGGAAGACCGCAAGGTCTTCGAGAACCATCTCGACTATTGGAAGCAACGCTTCGTCGAGACGTCTGGGTACGGCCGTTTGCAGCAGTATGTGAGCTATGGTAATGGCACGGCGTCCTTGAAGGACCCGCCAGAAGCACTGTACGGCTATGAGCCCTGGAGATTGGACAAGCTACGGCTTCTCAAGCAGAGGTATGACCCTGACAATGTGTTTCGATGGTACCAACCGTTCGTCGAGTCATGAGGAATTCTGAGTAGATCTTTGGAGTAGTCTCCAACACAAACCTAGCTTACTGATAATGCCGTTTGATGAGATACCCTGTGAAGCAAAATGATCCTGTCTACGTCTACGCGTAGGCGTTTCGACTCGGCGGCGGCACCATTAGTGTACATCTGAGCGTTTTGAGACATCCGATAGCTTAGCGGATACGACATCAACTCCTTGCCGAATGGTAAAAGGCCGCGCGCGTACACGTGGGCATGAAGGATGGCCTGTAGATGTTGCTAGAGCTTCGAAATCTGGCCAAATCGTGAGCGCAGTAGCGAGTGGGTACTCTCATGCGACGTGGCCCACGCTGGACTTCGAAGCGAGGACCACAGCAGTACGATCTGGGGAAATGTCTGAGGCCGACGCTGATAATTCTCCGATTATAAGGGCCTTCGGTGGGCCCAAAAAGTCTTGGAGAGTCTTGTTTAGAGTGGTGGAGACACACCTGAGTCGTACCTTCGTCTACCCCGGTCGTTTTCAGAGATTGGGAAGATAGTCGAGTATGTCCACCTGTATCGGGAGAACAACATGCTGCGTGCTCGAAAAACACAGCGGTATTGGATGGTTTCGTCGAGATGTTTGGCCGACTTCATGTCGCTCCTGCCTAATTGCAGTTCGGATGCGTGGGCTTGAGAACGGTGATCGGGCCATTGCGACGCGAAACATGTAGGATTAGTAGATGAGAGTCTCATGAGACCCTTTGAAGATGATATGTATCTATAGCCTTCACAGCAGACTTTCACGATTGTTCTCCTCACGTTCACCACATCATACAACTGTGTACTATTCTCCACAAGCCTCCCTCCTCTTCAAGCTGTTACAATGAACAAGCCAATCGCCATCATCGGCATGTCTTTCCGGGGCCCGGGCGATGCTCGCAACCCCGAAGCCTTCTACCGTATGCTTGTAGAAGGTCGTAGCGCGCGCACCGAGATCCCCAAGGATCGTTACAACGTCGACGCTTTCTATCATCCCGATCCAGAGCGGCTAGGTAGTATTCAACAAAGGTGGGCTCAACCTCTTGCCGTGCGTACGTTGATGACCATACTGATGTGATGTTGCGGCAGACATGCGCACTTCTTGGAACAAGACTTTAAGGTGTTCGATGCTCCTTTCTTCAGCATCACGCCTAAAGAGGCGAAGGCCATGGATCCAACACATCGCATTCTGCTTGAAGCCACGTACGAGGGCTTCGAAAACGCCGGCTTGACATTGGACCAAGTCTCAGGCACAAAAACATCGTGCTACATCGGAACCTTCACAGCAGACTTCCCCAACCTGCAAGCCCGTGATAACGAAGGGCCCTCAATATACCGTAAGTAATCGATTCAGTATGATGCTGATCCAAGCTAAGCCTTCTGTACAGACGCGACCGGCATGTCAGCATCCCTAGCTTCCAACAGACTATCATGGTTCTACAACCTGCGAGGGCCTTCTCTAACAGTCGACACGGCCTGTTCATCAAGTTTAACAGCATTCCATCTAGCCTGCCAGAGCATCCGCACAGGCGAGGCCGAGATGAGCGTGGTTGGAGGAGCCAATCTCATGTTCGGACCGGACATGTCCATCCTTCTAGGCGCTGCCAAGATTCTGTCGCCTGAAGGCAAGAGCAAGATGTGGGATGCAGACGCGAATGGCTTTGCCCGCGGAGAAGGATTTGGCGTTACGATTTTGAAGGTGTGTACTGAGCGCTTTCGTCGCGGTTTTTGACATGACGAATTTGACTGATGAGTGGCAACATGTAGCCTCTAGACGCGGCGATCCGCGATGGCGACAACATCCGAGCAGTCGTGCTGGCTACGGCCGCCAACGAAGATGGTCGCACACCAGGCATCTCGTTGCCAAACAGCGAAGCGCAACAAGAACTGATTCGAACCGCATACCGTCAGGCTGGTGTGGATCCCGCGGAGACAGGATACGTAGAAGCTCACGGGACAGGTACACAGGCTGGCGATCCACTTGAAGCCCGGGCTATTCTTAAAACCATTGGATCAGTTGAGAACCGCACGTCAGATCTATACGTCGGATCGGTCAAGACGAACATTGGTCACCTCGAAGGCGCAGCAGGTGTAGCTGGTATCATCAAGGCTGCGCTGACTGTTGAGCGAGGCACGATACTGCCGAATCTCTGGTCAGTAGATCGCTGATGCTCTCAATCTGCATATACTGATATCTCCCAGGTTTGAGAAGCTCAATCCCGATATTGATTTACCGGAGAACGTCAAAATAGCTTCGAAGCTGACGCCATGGCCACACAGCGGTCCTCGCCGCGCGAGCGTCAACAGCTTCGGTTTTGGCGGTGCGAACGCCCATGTCATCCTCGAGGACGCAGCGTCTTTCCTGTCACGTCACGGATTGAGGGGTCGGCATGCAACGGCACTGCTCCCTCCTGGTTCGCCCAGTGTGCGGGCAAGCAATCTCAGTGACAGTCCAAGCAGTTCTGCGAGTACTGTCGCTGACGAGACAGCCAGCGGGGAGTGCAGCGACAACACAAGTGATGTATCGAGCGAGATCTTGCGCGACCTTCATTCCACATCGAGATTGTTTGTCCTGTCTTCCAACGACCAAGAAGGAGTCAAACGCAATGCCGAGCGCCTGCAAGACTACCTAGCCTTGAAAACATCCACTGCACCTTCATTCTTCAACGACTTGGCATTCACGTTGAGCTCCAAGAGAACCACGCTGCCATGGAAATCATATGCCGTCGCCTCAAGCGTCAGCGGTCTCCGAGAGAAGCTTTCGAGCCTTGCTCCAGTGGTCCGTTCCTCCACTTCTGCGATACCACGAATCGCCTTTGTCTTCACTGGCCAAGGTGCGCAGTGGCATGCAATGGGAAGAGGTCTTTCGTCGTACAAAGCCTTTGCTGAGAGCATGCGGAGATCGGAAGCCATGCTCAAGTCATTCGGTTGCCCGTGGAGCCTTGGCGAAGAGCTTAGTCGCAGCGAGACTGAGTCCAAGCTACGTGAGACTGAGTACAGTCAGCCGGCGTGTACCGCTATCCAGGTCGCGCTCGTGGACCTCCTGAGCGACTTCAGCGTAAGACCCGTTGCCGTTCTCGGTCATTCCAGCGGTGAAATTGCGGCTGCGTACGCTGCGGGCTTCATCGATCAAGAAGCGGCAGTCAAGATTGCTTGGTTGAGAGGACAGGTTAGCAAGACTGTTTCCAAGAACGGTGGCATGTTGGCTGTTTCTGCCAGCGCCAGTAGTATACAAGATCACCTCAATGGTTTGAAGAGTGGTCGAGCAGTCGTGGGATGTTTCAACTCCACCAAGGCCTGCACTATTACCGGTGACGCTTCAGCCGTCAGTGAGCTAGAGGCGAAGTTGAAGGACGCGCAAATACCATGCACCCGGCTGCCCATGGATGTCGCATACCATTCTTTCCACATGGAGTCAGCACGCGAGAACTACGAGCGGGCTCTGGAGGGCATCGCACATGGCTCCACTGCGACCGTTCCCATGTTCTCCTCGGTAACGGGTACTTTGGTTGAACCTACACAGATGAAGCCCTCTTACTGGGTAGAAAACCTCGTGTCGCCTGTCAACTTTGTTGCAGCTACCCGTTCCCTTTTAAGTCATCCTCAGGAGAGTAAATCGCGCAAGGCTTTCGCCAATCTGTTCGTCGAGCTCGGCCCACACTCAGCCTTACGGAGCTACCTCCTGGACATCTTCAACAGTGAGAGTCGTGCTGCCGACACGACCTACACTACCCTTCTTCGCCGCAACTACGATGGCGCTACTACTATGTTGGAGGCCATGGGTCATCTCTGGGCGCATGGATGCAAAGTCGATTTGAGCAAAGCCAACGACATTTCTCCCGACAACACCAGCATGTTGGTAGACCTAGCTCCGTACGCCTGGAACCACAAGGCATACTGGGAAGAATCACACCTCAGCCGGCAGCACCGCCTTCGCAAGTCGCCCCGTACCGATCTTGTCGGCTATCGCCTCACTGGAACGCCAGAGCACACATGGCGCAACTTCCTGCGGTGCAACGAAAACCCATGGATCCGTGAGCACAAGGTCCAGGGCGATATTCTGTATCCAGGTGCGGGCATGCTCGTCATGGCTATTGAAGCGGCGCACCAATTGGCCCACGAAACCAATGCCGACGAAGTACATGGTTTCGAATTGCGCGACGTCAGCATCGACACTGCGCTTCGCGTACCTGATACGGAGAAGGGTATTGAGGTCATGACGCAGTTGCATAACCGTCGCACAGGAACACGAGCAGCGCCTTCGTCCACACTTTACGAGTTTGTTGTTTCTTCCTGGAGTGAGGAGATGAACTCTTGGAGTGCTCATGCTCGTGGCCTCATCTCCATCGTCTTCAAAGCCTTCTCTCCTTCGATGGAGCGTGAGCTGGCGCTTGAGAATAAGCGCTACATGTCGTCTCTTGCTAAGGCTAGGGACATCTGCCAGAAGCCGGCTCGGAGCTTCTTGTACGACACAGTCGAGACGATCGGCATGCAATACGGACCGACCTTCCGCAACATGACTGAGCTGTATGCTGGTCCTGGCTCCAGTTACGGCATCATCAAGGTTCCCGATACCAAGGCAGTTATGCCTAAGGGTTTCGAATATCCGTATGTCGTTCACCCTGCCACGCTGGACTCGGTACTTCATCTTGTCTTTCCCAGTATATCTGGTGACGATCAAGCACTGAACGAGGCGGTCGTTCCTAGATCTTTTGATCGCATCTTCGTTTCGGCCGGGATACCAAAGACGGCTGGTTCAGAGCTACATGGCTGCTCTTCCGCGAAGAAGCTGAGCTACACCACGTGGACTTCCAGCATCACAATGTCAGAGGCGACCATGACCGAGCCTGTTGTCATCATGGAAGGCGTTGTACTAGCGTCTGTTGGTGCGACCGAGAGTGCTTCGACACAGCTTGACACGCGCGCGTCGTGCTTCGCACATAACTGGCACGTAGATGCTGACCTCTTGTCTCCATCTCAGATCAAGGAACTCGTCTA